TGTGATCCCAGCTGCTGTAGTAAACGTTAACACCTTTATGTCATTTGTTGATATGGTCCAGAAAACAACGTAAGAAGGATAAGATAACGTTAAAAGTTATAGATACGCAAAGTTTTTGTGATTCGCTGTTAAACAAAGAAGTTAATACGAAATGTCAACTCAACTGTAAGTCCTAAATATTTGTCGTACTTCTTTCAGTTAGTTTTTTTCAAGGAATAACTTTTTTCAATGATTAATGCGTGTTGTCTGTAGTGCTTAATGCCCATGTGAAATTTCAGTGGACATAAGCGAAGCGTTTCTGCGTATTATGCTGAACAAGCGATTCGGGAGCTGGATTGAATTTGATAGTGCGCTTAAGTATTTCCATAAAGTATGGAAGAGTAATTCTATGTTTTCTAAGATTACCCATACGCACTATGTTCACGCAGAAAGTAAATTGTTGATGGATGTGAGTTATAAATACTCGTTTGTGGTGTTTCATTGCACGTTTGGTCGTAAACGTAAATCAGCAGGTGTGACAGTGAATAAAACTTTAACTAATCTATGACATTTAAGGTCTAAGTTTTTAAACTGCCAATCTAGGTTTCGTATGAGATTGTAAGGTCAGAAATACGTCATAGAATCTTACAATATGTCTCACAACCATCCTTGTAGTAGTTCATGGATGGTTTGTAATCCGTGGAGTAGAAGATTGTCATCCAAAGAAAAATAAAACTTGAAGCCAGTAATATTGCACATTCAGTCAACAGATGAAGTTATAGAAAGTATTAAGGAGAGAACTGGCAAGCAGAATACCGCTGCTGATTTCAAAGCTATGAAAGCTGAACTCTCCACTGATTAAAGGACGAACTCTTACAGGTGAGCTTAATCACTTACGAAATATAAACTATGTAGCTCATCAAATTATTAGGCATTGTTGCAGATGAAAGTTAGACAATACACACAACTTACAAAATAACACAACAATTTCATTACCGAGACGGAGTGAAGAATATATACAAATTTGATGGCTCCAAAGAATGTGCAAACAACAAATTACTGAGAAATATGGTGAACAATTTTCAAAACAGGTGGGGAGAAAAGTCTACAATTTCTATTTAAGAATTACCATTAACTAGACAGTACGTTCACAATAAAAAGTTCTTTGTGGCTTTATTTTTAACTTCACTATATATGCAACTTGTAAGCTTATATTTCTACTTTAGTTGTCATGGTAAATCAATAAACGTTTTTCTCAATTCTTATTTTCGTCTTCTTCATACTTTCGTGGGGAGGTATACAAATCGTTTTAACGAATAATTGTGTGTGAGAATTAAAAACTTGTACTACTGCATTAGTTCGGAAGTGTCGTTAGAACTTAGCGTTATATCGTCGTTCATTGTGACGAATCTACGAGTCACATAAAATAGTAATGCAATTTCCACGTAAACCCTTACAGATTAAGCAACCGCCTTACATACTTTCCGCTGTCCGATTACGTCCATTATCAAGTAAGTATTCGTACCGAACTAGACAATTTCATGCAGTTAGTTCCTTGACAAGATGGGTTACGTAATCCTTAGACCACCCTTCCACTCACAGTTATTTGCTAACCTTACCCTCTTAAATTATGTTAACTCTTCAGATTGTATTCACTTATCTTATTAGTTTTATTCAATGATTCATTCATTACATCTAGAATTATCACACAATTTATCTTATCTGCTTCTGAACTCCACTCGACTATTACACCACCCATCCTTAATGTTTACCTAAGTCTAACACCAACTAACCTTTGACCTGTTCAAGCATATATATATATATATGTAATTATTATTATTGATAACCCAGGTCATTCCAATTCTTTGCTTTCTATTATGTCAATTGTTTCATACTATTTCTTTCCTCAATCTTAAATTATAATACATATTTAGTTGTGTGCAGCTTGCGAGAAACCACAAAATATAATGCAGTCACATTATTCTGCATCAATATTTGTTTTGGCTTTATTTAGACTATAATTATACATACTTACAGGATTTGTAACGTAAAACACTGAGTATGGTTGTTATAATTATATTTGAATAATTCATTAGGTGAATGAACATAGCAATAGGCAATATAAAACAGTTGCCGTAAATTTGTAAACCAATTTTCTACACGATCTTCCATAATCATGAATTTCATAAGCTTCATACTATTCTGAAAAACAACAAATCAATCTTGAGACAAACAATTAAACTTCGTTATCAGAATCACATTCAATTAGTTAATCAAACAGCAGGTAACAGAATATACCTATAAGTCTCTTATTTGCAGACAGTGCTATTCATTAGAGATTTCGGATTTCATTAATAGGAATTCATTAGTAATCTTTAGAACGAACGCATCACAAGTTAGTGTTATTTACAAATGGCTGTAGTTACTGTCATCGCAACATGCAGGCATCGTCCGACTCATGAGGAAAAGGTGACTAATTAATGTGGCACAAAGGAGATATGAGTGCTATAAATTTGTGATTTAGCTTCGATTACCCGTTCACTTTTCGTCACGTACTTTGCATGAATTAATTGAACGAGTCAGTCTGTAATGGAGTAGGAATTCAAGAATTAACTCAATAATAGTTGTTATTTGATCCTAGGGTTGTGTCGTATCAAGGACTGTGAGCTCCAAATCTCCATCATATAACTGTGAACGCTTCACAGCCTTATGACATTTGTTTATACCAAGTTCGTGGTGTAAATGAAGTGTTAATGGTTTCACAGCTCATATTGCCTTAAAACTATGATTTCAGTATCATTATGACTTCACTAGCAGGTTACAAATAACCCGTGTAAACAGCGCGCTTCATTTTATAATCCTTCTAGTATTTCACCTAGACATTTGGTATTAACAAAAAAAATTGGTAAGCACCATTTAGATATTACTGGACAATATGCATTATAACTTTGTTCATAATTTGGCCAGTGATTGCGGATTCTGTCTACAGAAACTTATTCGTTAACCCTATAACAGACCCATCATAAATCAGTATTAACTACGATATGGTTTTGTCAACATGCTCAAAAGAAACACTCATCGTTTTACTTGTGAAGACTTTGTGACTACTTAATGTGGCACTTCCAGTGGCGTTATACACTATTCCTGTGATCTATTTTTTGACTTGAAAAATGGTGAATTTTACTTGCTTGAGTTTCTGTTGTTACAAATAACCATATTAGGCTTACTAAAGATTCACTTAGGTGGTGAGCAAGAAGTACGTCAAACTGCTAATAAATTGGAATAAAAACTATGTAACAAGCACAAACATTACGAAAGTTGACGTGTGATGGTAAAAAGGCTGTTAGTAGCTGACAGATAACGACAAAAAATCAACGACAATGTATAACGTGCGGGCGAAAACCCTGGCTTACTCAGTCCCCGTGCCATGCCCCAGGGTAATGTTTTGGGGTCAATGCTATTCCTCTTGTGTGTAAGTGACCTTCCTCGTCTCATATCATCACCGGTCTTGCTATATGCTGACGACGTCAAGATATGGAGAACGATACGATGTAAAAGTGACAGCTTAGAACTTCAAAATGACCTGAAGAAATTATCCGAATGGTCTCAAACCTGGCAGTTGCCGATAAATACTTCCAAGTGTGTTGTGATGCTTATCGGTCATCAAAGTACAGACACATATACGATGAATAACACTGAGCTACCTGTTGTCCAGACACGTAATGACTTAGGAGTCATCATTAGCCAAGACTTAAAGACTAATGCACACTGTCATGCAATAGCCGCCAAAGGTTTTAGAACTTCATGGTCAATTCGTAGGGCTTTTAGTCATGTTGACGCTAAAACGTTTTTGACTTTGTATACAGTGTTCGTACGTCCTAAACTTGAGTACTGTATACAAACAGCTACCCCCTGCTCTAAAAAGGACAGTGAGCTTTTGAAAAAGGTTCGAAGAACAGCATAGCTTCCGTATGACGCTTGACTGACCAAGCTAAACCTATTCCCGTTGTCGTACCGTAGAACTAGAGACGATATGATTACAGTTTTCAAATTGCCAAGTGATAAATTTGCGCCTGATATGCCCCCATTTTAATTAATGAGGACACTCTAAAATAGTTCGCAAGCCCAGAACAAATTACTTGTCAGTCGATTATTGACTTTCCCATCGAATCCTCAACGCACGTGTTTGAGGCTCTCTCCGCCGACTCCTTCAAACGAAAGTTGGATAAACTGAGAGACCACCATTGTCAGGACTAACACAGGCCATCAGGGCTCCTGCTCTTTCCAAACTGACGTTGTACCTGCGATATGAAATATGGAACCAATGAAGATCAAGTGGCGGCCTAAATTATACGGTAGTGAGAAAAAGAAATCCCAAAATGGGTCAAATGATCTTGTTTTATCAATAAAGACCAATGACATCTAGCTGAAACTTGGGAGACCGCTCGTACACAAAGTAACTTTGAGAGGAGAGTGATATAGTGATCGGTTTTACTACCATTCACTTTGTTTCTAGAGCGCCAGACTAGGGAATTGTATGAAAAGAATGAAAATGTGGTAGATCTTTAGTTATTAAACAACTAGGTGAGCATAGATTTTTATGATATTTACACATAACATATAAAAATCAAGATTGATTGAGGCATTTTGTTTTACCACGCTATATGAACAAGCGCTATAGAGATTACGCTGGTAATTTTACAAAATACGGTTAATCACCGAAAATAAATGGTTACGAGAGATGTAAATGTTAGACTGAATATAGAGGATAGGATAAAAGAAAGATTGTGTTTCAAGAAGCCTACTGTCGCTCAAGCGAAAAGGCTTTCTGTTCCGGCACATCCTTTCGTTGAACCCTTAGTAATGTCAACTGTTTATTTATTTATTCATACATACTTCAGTCACAGTTACAGGAATTTCAGGAGTTTAATAAACCTGAATCAATACAAAAGAGAGCACGTGATTTACTTTCGGGAACTGACCCATATGTTTCCCACAAGGATGAGAAGATCCGTAGGGTCATGCCTTTCGACAGAGAACGACCATTAATACGTAGTGTCCCTCTAAGTTCAAAAAGTTCAGTCTTGCCAGAGGTAAGAAGTTTGTATTACAATGTTCTGTTAGGAAAAGTTGCCGAGTTCAGAACTAGTCGAAGGAGATGAAAATCCTAAACCTAGTAGCCTACTTAGATCGCATCCATATAGAGCACATCCAGGTAACTTTTGAATAAATATATAGTGTACTCTATCTCATGCCTTATTTTATTTCCTAATAGGTACTTGTTCCGTTTCAGAAACATTGGATGGTGAGTCTTCAAGATGTCTTCTTGACTGGTTTATAAATATTTTGTCGTTACATTGTGAATGTTCATATTTTCTTCCATTCCAAAGTTCATGTGGTCTTATGTCAGTTAAAAGCGTTTGAATTAGTGTGTCAACTAATAATTCTTCAAATAGTACAACTTTAGACAGGTAGCGATAGATGAACACTACCGAACGCATTATTTTGTAATTTGTCTTCTCCTTAGGTCCATCATGTCTGTTTACTGTGTATTGGGTATAGAATCATTATAATCTAGAATTTACTCATTAGTTTTAGAATAAGCAGTGGTAATTGAAGCGGACTCACCTCAGCCCTTGTGACGTATTCGGTTGTTGTGGCTGGTTTGAATATGGACCATAGATTTACTAATCATTTTAAGCAGACCCTTATTAGGTTATGGAAAATCAGTTCCTCGATGGTTTGTAACATCGACGGACTGTAAGCGTTTTTTATTTGGACGAAGATTTCTTCTTTGGACAATCTTATTTTTGTTTCTTGTGAGTACGGTGTGGTAGTTATACACTGAAAGACCTTATCTATTCTGCTCTTCGAGTCTGTGAATTTTGCACCCAAATTAGTAGGATTTGAATCAAGGTTTGGTTTTACCCGAGGCAAAGTGAATATTGGTTTCAAAAACCGACTGAATGTGTCCCATTTTGCCACAGTGAAGGCATTTAGTATGACAAAGTACACATGAGTTGCGTAAGTGAAATTCACCACAGTGTAAACAGTTACCATCCTAGTGCTCCTTTCTGTATCCTGCCTTGCAAATCTTTAGTGAGCTGTTATCTATAATTTCACTTGATTGAGAATTGTCGCCAATTGAACGCCTATCCGTATAACGTTGAGTACAAATCGGATAAGGATAATTAAGCAATAGTGCATAATTCTTGATGTCCTGGAAGTCAATTTCATATATTGTTTCATAATTAACTCACGCAGTTCCAGCATCTTGAAAAGAACACCTCGGAATATGCATAAGCTCTCTTTCTCGCAAACGTTGTGTGTTGATTCCTGAAATTAATTCGTCACGCAGCTTTACGTGAAGTCAATCACTAAAATTACAGTTGGCAACTTGTTTCAGCGATTCGGGGATAAAATCTCTAACCTTCTTGTTGTACTGGCAAACCATTGTGTGAAAATCTGCTTTTTATGGCATTCAAAATTTGCATATTTCACATGGTTCAGTAGTAATTCTTTCAGTGTTGCGTAGGGAAGTGAAATAGGTTTGTCTGGAAATGCTAAATATTTTAGTAGATGGTACGCATCCTTTTCTATGCATGTAAATAGATGACACTTAATTTTATTATCCTTAACATCCTCGTCATACTCCATATTTTGAACTTTTCCATGTGATACTCGAAAGTTTAAGGATTTGAATTAATACTCAACTGTCTAATCACAGACAACGCCAATATGATAATTAGAAGTATTTAGATTCATGCGCTAACTAAGAATTTTCAGAATAGTTAAATTTGAAGCAAGTAGAAATAGATGAGCACAAATGAACATATTACAATTGTGATTCGTAATGAGTGCTCAGTCAAGTCTAAGGGTATCATCAGTTAGTATAAATACCACAATTTTTTGATTAAGACATTACCTACAATTCACCACAAATTATAAGCACATAAATTTAGGCATATTATACAGTATGCAGTTTTCAAATTTATATAGTATATCCTTGCTGATCGTTACAAAAATTATGGGGATTTATATCATCTCCATATATTTTGACAACCTTCACTTAAAACCACAAACTTTTCTGCGGCAACAAATTGACATAAATAGCTTGCGTACGCTTATAATGCAATGTTTATTGCACGAAATGTTTTTTTCAAGCTTCTAATTGCTGATTCGCAAAGAGATTTATGCACAAAATACGCTACAATCACTAAGAAACAACGTCTTGATAACCTCCATCATCTAAAGCACCTCTAAGCATTTTCTGAAATATCTGTTTACGTTCATTTTCAATACAAACTTCTGGAGGTATATTCTGAATTTAGAGGTATAACATAGTAAACTGGACCCATGGCTTATCGAGACGAATTATCAAGACTTGTAATTGCCTGCCGGCCAAAGTGGTTGAAGTGACTACCCAGGAGTTTTCTGAGGAAAACGCTTGACATATTTGTAAAGGCTTAGAACAGTATTTCACGTACGCTTTTGTTTGTTTCATGTACAGAGAAATCTATAAGCGAGAATTTCTTTGATTCCATCAACAACCACTTGAGCTATATGAAAAAATTTGAAACATTGAACTACTAGAATTAAGAGTACTAGTTGGAAATTTAACATACGAACTAGTGATTTCTAAGGTTATGCATAATATACCTGACTAATCACTAATGAGCCAGAACACAAAGACAGTAAGAAGATTATGTGAACTCGTCAGTCAGTCAGTTACAACGTAGAACTTCGTACGTACGTACATCAGTTCGAGTTGCCACACCACATTAGCACAGAGATGCAGTTGTCGATTCAAATCCCGTAGTGGTAGAGGTAATAAGAGTATAAGCAGTAATCGAGAAGATAAGGGTTTGGAGATGTTATTTAAAGAGTATAATACAGTGAAATAAATTTGGAAAGAGGAAAAAAGGGACATAAAGAATTCAGAAGATTAGAATTTGGGAGAACACAAAGAGTCGATGCATCTGCGCTATTGTAAACGATTTTGAGCCATGTCATTCAGGGTCTCTAACCATCGGTTGCTATCATCTCGCCGTCCCCAACCAGGTAGTCTACACCTACCAACATGACTCAGTCCACTTGTCAGTGACTTCATGGACTTGTGCCATGTTTTGGTTTGGCCGCCCCTAGCTTTCTTCCAACCTTCTCCTATACTACTGAACATAGCACGTCGAGGCAGTCGGTCGTTGGGCATACGTAACACGTGTCCAAGCCATCTCAACTGATGAAGTTTCACTACTTCATCAATTGATTTACCATCCTTACCTAGTATCCGTTTCCTAACAACTGTGTTACTTACTCGATGGTCCCATGATATACGAACAATGCTTCAAAGACACATATGATCGAATACTAGTAACCTACGAATATCCCCTACTCTTACTGGCCATGTTTCACTGCCATAAAGTAGGACGGAACGAACTGCTGCGCAGTAAACACATCCTTTGGTTGATAGATGGATATCTCGCTTACGCCATAAATGACGCAAGTTGGCAAAAGCTAGTCGAGCCTTCTGTATCCGCGCTGAGATTTCGTCACACACTAAACCACAAGGGCTGATGAGCCTTTCAAGATAAGTGAAGCGATCGACACACTCAACTACTTCACTCCCTATCACTAGTTCGGGTGTCAATGTAACCCAATCCTGAAGCAACATTTTGCATTTTGAAGGAGAGAATCGCATCCCGAACATGCTTGCATTGTTGCTTAGAGTGGTCAGAAGACTCTGCATTTTGTCAGCGTCTTCACCAAATAAAACTATGTCATCTGCATATTCTAAGTCAACAAGTGAACCTCCCGGTACAAGTTCAATACCTGGAAATTTAGATGAGGAGATTGTTATCTCTAAATGTACGTCGACCACAAAGTTGAACAAGAATGGGGAGAGTCTACAGCCCTGACGAACACCACTTGAGGTAATCAATTCTGATGACAGTTCGCCATAAACTCTCACTCTACCAGTTGTGTTCGAGTAGAGAGCCTTTATAAGGTTAATGTACTTTTTTGGTACTCCTTTCAGTAACAAACATTGCCACAGAACCTCACGATCAACAGAGTCGAATGCCGCCTTAAGGTCGAGAAATACTACCATTGTGGGGCGTAAATCTATTGGGACTAAAAGTGAGCATGCAATGAAGTAAAAGTTAACCAGCATTTTATACAAACACCACTGAAACCTTTCATTTTAATCTGCAGAGTCATTTGTGGAATACATCAATCCTTTTCAGAATAAATTAAAATCTGGTCTCATGTCAATTGCAAACACTTTCAGGGATTTTGTCTAAGTACATCAGAAAACCGAATAGTTGATCTACCTACCCAACTTTTATCTTAAGTAATCGATGAAATATTAGATGTTTTAGTACTATGTTACTCATAATACCGTGACTGAATGTTTCTTATTGATCTAAATCCTCTGTAGTGCAAAAGTAAATATTATTAATACCTTTTTCATACGTTCTTGTTAATTAGCACATTCATTGTTCTAAATGCCCGTTTTAAGCTTGTTTGAGGAGTAGTTAGGCTTGACCACTTTCTAGAAGTTTGACTGAATTCATACAGGATATGGATGAAAATGTAACATGGTTAATTAAATTAAGCTATCATTGATAAAGACAAAGATTTCTATCATGGATTGGCGATTCAATTGATTGGTTAATTCAGTTGTTGAACTATAGCACTACAAAGGGTTTGTTTGCTGCCCGCAGTGTTTTTCCCTTTATTCACTAAGGACAAGGAATTTAAATTTTAAAGTGGTACAATGATTAAATACCCAAAACCTAATTAGTTAATGAAGCACTGAGTTAACTGACTTAAAACTGAGTTGTGATACTCTTTACGAATTTCAGAAATCGTGTTCCATCTTTAAACCATACATACTGTAGATTATTTCGATTCTATGAAGCTCTAAAATATACTTGAGCGTACATAATGTAGCTTACATTTCATTAAATTTGAACTAATTTATGAAATCATACCAACGTTCACTATTTTCTTCAGTGAGTTACCATCTTACAAATAGACCGCGAGCAGGATCATGGATACGCACTGTTGAGGAGTCTCATACTAGGGTGAAACGGGAGTCCAATACTTCCAAGTTTTCCATGATGGTCTAGCTTCGATTAATCATTTCAATTTATATTCTCAATTATCTTTATCTAAGCTATATAGATGGACATTTGATTGATTGATATTATTTATGTTTAACTAAGACAGGCACAGTCTGCCTACTACTATTGAGTAAGTTGAATAGTATTGTAGTGAACAACAACACCAGTAGCGACAACTAATTATGAATAATATGAAATTACAGAATCTTTTAGTAAAATCTGTGAACCATACAATAACTACTTCATTTCAGTCAGTCAGTCAGCTGCAACGTAGAACCAGGCACATATATGCATCAGTCCAAGTTGCCATACCACATTGACACAACAAGACAGACACCGAATTAGTAAAAGTAGTTAATTCAGAGGTGGTAATATATAAAAGAATGATTGCATATAAGGATATAGTACAGGAAGAAAGAATTACTTCGTAGAAAGAAAGATATGAAGCGATTTTAATCTCATAGTTTAAGGGAAGGCAGAAAGTGTATACACCGACGCCATTGTGATCGATTCTGAGTCATATCACCAAGAGTTTCAAACCATTGGTTACGATAGTTACGCGGACCCCAACCAAGTGGTCTGCATCTACCAACATGGCTCAGACTACTTCATTTGCAAAATACCCATTAATTGTCTCAGATTTGATTGTTCCTTCTTTTTCACATCAATTAGTCTTTGTTCTCATTCTGTTCTCTTTGATCTTCTTAACCTTCTCCCATTAGGTATTTCACTTTCTTTTGATGATATATACTACTTATATATCTGTCGACATCAGTAGCATATAATTAAGTATCATAAGTCTTTAGAAATACACAAAAGTAAAACATGAGATTACATACATGAAATTTTAATTTGGTTACTAAGCTATATACCATAATTCTGATGAGCGGCCTATGCTCCTTCACGAGGAGTAACAGGCGTAAGTAAGTATATACCATAATTACATTTTGTTAATAATATCAATATTGAAATGTATAATCAGTAATATATATGAACAATTATGATTGATTTCTTTTCATAGAAATTGCAAGTTATGAAGGTGAAACGGATATATTGAAAATAATTCATATTCTTCGTGAAAATAAACGTATTAAATTCTTTTATTTAACCAATTGTTTACCAAAACGATCAACAAAATATAACTTTTATAATCTTAAGTAAGTATATATGTATCAGTCAGCCATGTTCATGTATATCGTGATGATATCGCCAATTAGAGAACAGTGAATTATCAATCGGATCAATGATGCGTAAAACCCGTGAGAACAGTCTAGAGTATTGATCGATCCTGCTTACTGTTAAGCTCAGCCAGTTAAGTCCACAACACCAATCTCAACTTCTGTGATATGAATCATTTATATCAAACATACGGGGTTTTTATACTAACCAGACAGACCACATAGTACCATAAAATAAGAAACAGCATCTGTACAAGACCTAGCCAAATGTGGCTGTGAATGTGGGGGGTAGTAATTAATAGACAAGGCATAACTCAAGAATGGTAAATGGTATAATAATAGTTCATAGATCAAAATAAAGCTCATAATAAGAGGAATATGAATATGCATAGTTTAGTTACTTAACAATTATACGATAAAAATATACGTTTAGTATTGGTTCATAAATGGATCTCAATAGTTACCATTCGTTTTGCTTATCATGACATAACATTTTCTCCTTCTTATTGTTATATTCTATCATAGAGATAATATAATCATGTGAATAATCAGTCTGAAATTGATATCATGAATGAATGTGCAATGCTAGGACGAAACCGACATTCAGTGTTTTCAAGTGTTCAATGGTAGTGCAACATTGATTCATTCATGATATCAATTTAAGCTCAATAATCTGCACAACCTTATATTGATAATTATCTTGATTTGTAAATTTAGACATTGAAAAAGTGCAATTTAGTACAAATATAAATATTCACTCGATTTGATTCCATTGCATTTATGCCTGTTACCCCCAATGGAGTATAGGCCGTCAACTAGCATTCTCAAACCCATTCTATTCTTGGCCTTACTTTCTTGTTCTATCCAATTGTTGTTCATTCCACTCATGTCTATCTACATTTCTCGGTGTAATGTGTTCATTGATCATCCTCCTTTCCTTTCACCTTGAGGATTCCAAGTGATGAGGGTTTACCTTGTGACGCAGTTCGTTGCTTCCTTCAATGTGTGTACTATCCACTTACAGCGATTCTTCTTGAGTTCTTCTCCCACTGAGATCTGGTTTGTTCTCTCACACAGTGAGTTGTTGCTGATAGTGTCTAGTCAACAGATCCAAAGTATTTTGCATAGACAACTGTTATTAAACACCTTTATGTTCTGGACGGTGACTTTCATAGTTGTCCAAGTTTCCACCCCATACTGTGCTGACATTTGTATTGAAAATCCTGATTTTGGTGTTGGTTGAAAGACAGTTGTTTTGAGTTCCAGATGTTCTTCAACTGTAGATATGCTGCACTTGCTTTGCCGATCTGTGCCTTCACATCTCCATCAGATCTACCATGTTCATCATTGATGATGACCAGATATGTATAGGTGTTTACATCTCTCAATGGATTGTAAAGCCATTGTTTTGTGGGTTTAACTAAATGTTACATTATTCTATAAATAAGTTTGAGTTCAATACTCTACTCTACATTCATTACTCTCTCAACATGACTGTGGAATAAACCATACACTGGATATTATTCAACTCTTTTTAATCTTCCTATAATCAGAAATTGAATATATTGAGGTTATCTGTAATGAGAACTACCTTCAGATGGACTAATTTTTCTTAAGGTTCTTAAAACTATTCATCTCATTGAGCTATTTCATTTGTTCAAGGCTTCACTTTAAATCAACAGTCTAAAAGATAAAATTCTAAATATTATAACTTTGTCAATCCTATTTAATGGTCTGCTTCACATCCATTACTTTTGGTCCGTCATAGACTGTCTAAAAAATCCCACTTATTGTGTAATTGTCATGTCCGACTTGAGGTTTTTGGTACTAGTACTAGTATTAATAGTACGTTTATGTATGAGGCTGCAAATTCACAACTCATCAGATGGTTGTGGCACTTATGAGTAATACTGGCTGGCTAAACCAAGATATATCATCATTTTGTGAAGCGAGTGACTTGCTCTCAGAAAGATCGGATGGTAAAGACTCTGAAGTCAAGATTTAAGAGATAATCATAATCGATAGTTAGAAGCGTTACGTTTCATGGTGGAGTTTTACTTATGGTTGTGTTTCTCCTAAATCTTCTTTTTATTATGGTTCCATACTTTCCATTCTATGGATATATTCCCCCCTTTTGGACTAAATGTTTCTTGTTTAACTTTCTGTTGTAATTAACATCACTTTTTCAGCTCAATGGTTTCTTATCCTGGTAACTTCTAATCCTGATTTTCCGGTCTAAAAATAAGTATGCTGGATAGATAAATATCCTTAATTATTAAACGATGAGATAACCCGGTATTACAACACAATAATGCAACTTCTTACAGAATCCAAGACATAAATATTTGTATCAGAAGGGGTTTTGTGGAGATTGTAGTAATTTCAACAGTTGAGAACATGAGTCATTTGAAGCTAGACCAGGTCCTGGGTTCAAATCCTGCGAGGCGGGGTCGTGGATACGCACTGCTGAGCAGTCCCACAATAGGACGAAATGGCCGTCCAGTGCTTTCAGGTTTTCCATGGTGGTCTAGCTTCAATTGACTCATGATCTCAACTGTCGACATAAATATTTGAAGAGAGTAAGAACAAAGGTTGGTGCAGAATAATATGAATTCATTTTATTTCGTTAGGTTCTCATCAGCTGCTTACAACCTAAAATATTTGAAATTCAACGTTATTATAGATATTGACATACTTATACAACAGAGGGCGATGAAGGATGAATATATGTAACATAATGTGGTAAAGATTTCGTTAGAGTTAATGAGGTCATAAAATTTTTGTTTCGAATATATAGAGTTTGGGAGGGAAGGTTCCAGAAAATTGAAATAGTGATTAGAAATCATGGAATTAAAACACATTAGACGATTATGTAATGAAATCACTGAAAATAGAATAATGTTAATAAAGAGAGATATGAATTGAAATTGGTCAGTTATGAGTGATGTAATTATAAAATTCAGAAAGCGTTGAAATATTTGAAAACAACTCAAACTACTGAAATATAGTAAGTAGCAAAGTGATATATAACGAAAAGTTTCAGGCTAAGTCATGATGTTTTGGGATAGTTAATTTCAGAATTATGTTTCAATATATAATATTCTTAATAAAAGTCATTGGACATTGATATGATTGGTAACAAGTAATATATATATTCTCTTCATTTTTCTTCTCCATTTCTCATTATTATCATTATTAATAAAATAGGGTTGTCAGCTTTCAAAATATCAATCGTGATGATTATTATACTTTAAGCCTTAATGGTTGTACACATTTAATAACAAATGATGATATAGAGCATATTACATTGGAACGTTTTGAAACAGAATATAAAACATTTCAAGAAATATGTCAAGTAAGCAGTGAATTGGTTTGTTTTCTTTTCTTTAAATGAAATAGCCCATTTGTAGTTAAGTTGATGGGTATTGTATTCAATTTTCAGTGTGATCATGAACACTGGAACAAAGAAATATCTTTGTTGATAAGTCACCAATGAAATGAAACTTGTTTTGTAAACTAAAATAATAGCCACCACTCATTATGCTTTGGTATCAATGTGACACACCAAAAGAATACTCTTTCGGTGTAAATCAAAGTATGTAATGTATGGAGTGAAATCAGAGATGGAAGAACACTCTAAATTCAACCATCTTTGAGCTTTATGATGTAAGGCAACCAATCATTGATTTAATTGATTGAGTTGATCTTAATTATAAAGTCTATATCCCCACAGACAGTTTAAACTGTTATTCATATAATGTTTTGATTTGTATTCGCCTTTAGCCGGCTTCAAACGATTTGTATACCAGTTAATAAAAGACGTCAAGGAAGTAGCTTATTTTTGTGTAACGCTTGATTAAATGAAGTTGGTTCATACATGTTATGAGTTTATGTCCGGCTTTTTATCACATGATTTTCCACCAATCAAAATGCGACTTATACAATCTTCGCCTTATGACAAAACCAATGACGTTCGACCGGTATGAGCAGCCTAGCGTCTTTATTTGGTCCTATGTTTGCCTAGCCCGTCCACTTGAGTCCAGAACACCGATACCAGCTCCCAATATGCGAATCGTATGTTTCGAACATATTCGGTTTATATATCAACCAAACAGACTGCAATGCACCATAAAATAAGAAATAACATTCATGCACAGTAACGCCAAAATGTGGTTATGAACGTGTGAGAAAGTAGTCAATAAACTGAGCATAGCTTAAGAACAGTAAATCGTACAATAATAAACTATAGGTCAAAATAAAGCTGATAAAAAGAGGAATATAGATATACATAATCTAGTTACTGAAGATTTATACCATAAGAATTTACAGATAATATTAGTTAATTAATATGTCTCAGAAGTTACTTGTGATTTAATCTTCGCTCGGAAATAACACCTCCCCTTCTTTTTCGAAGATTCCAAGTTCAGATTCTGATTTTTAAAAATCATGTGTAACTTCAAATTCTCCAACATTCTCCTCCTCCACGAAACAATGTCGGATCCTTATACACCTTCTCCACTACGTGTCATTCCGTTTCGTTTCTTTCTCTCTTATTCACTTCCCTTGCTCTGTCTTTCCGACTGTCTGCGTAGATCAATGAGTGTACAAAATGTACTTATTCAAACATCCATCTTTGTATTTGACTTATTTAATTCCGTTATACACTAACGCGAATGAAGTCAATGTTTATATACGTTTGATTAAGTCAATATATATACATCATTCATACGATATAACTGGAAGCAGATTTAGGACCACAACATATCTCAGTGAGACTGTAATTTATGAACGACTTTTGAACGACTCTAATATGATATTGAGAGTGTTCAACTACTTACTAGAACCAAATGATGATTATAAACCAATATGAAGAATTAGGATTATGATTTACAGTTGGTTATTAAGGTTAAAAATTAGATTTAAGGATTTTCTGACATTAGCTATCATGTCAAAAGTTTATTCAGTCAAATAAATGATTGAATTTCATGCCAAAAATCCAAAACCTTATTATCTTATATCTGATTAGTTCGTCTATAAATTTAAGTCTCGTCAATATCTCAATAGGATTCAATTTTGGGACAATTATATTTCAACAAATAATTACCAAGAGAACAAATATTTATATAAACTGGAAAAAAAACCCCAACTTTTCTTATCATTTCAATATTGAAAGCATATCTAAAAAATGTGACAACCCCCCACCCTTACTCCCATTCTCACTCCCATTCAATAACTTCTTTTCATAATTTTTTTATTATTGAAAGTATATCTAAAAAATGTGACAACGCCCTACCCCTACTCCCACCCTCACCCTCACCCCCGTTCAATAAATACCTTTTTTGAAAAAAATTTTTATTCTTGAATGCATATCTAAAAAAGTAACAATCCCCACCCCCAGCTCTACTCTCACCTTCACCCCTGTTGAATAAATACTTTTTTTCAAAATTTTTCTTGATCATTGAAAGTATATCTAAAAAATTTGACAACCCCCACCCTCAGCTCCACCCTCACCTTCATCCCCATTCAATAAATACTGTCTTGAAAATTTTTTTTTGATTGTTGAAAGGATATTTAAAAAAGTAACAATCCCCACCTCCACCCCCCACCCCATTCTCACCCTCACCCCCTTCTTCTTTTTTTTTCTGTTTTTATAGATTCCAACATTTGCTAGATTTTGTTTATGGAAAGGTTTTATATTATGGCGTAAAATTATACATTATATAAAAATGGATAAATCTAAACAATATTTATATTATAATTTATTTATATTAAATTCATCAATAAGACCAGCATTATTAAATATACATGAAATGTGTTATCGTATAAAAGAAATGAATTTATGTAAATTAAATAAAGAGAAACAATATACATTAATTGAATTTTTAATAAATCAAGTCAATCAATTAAATGATGTTTGTATTAAATTATATGAATTTCGTGAATTAATTAAAGAAATTGTACGTGGTGCATGTCGTACTGCATTATTAGAATATGGTTATATACCAGATGATTATATTATAGATCATAATGAGAATATAGAAAATGTTAAAACAGGTAATCTATTTGATATATTGTTTTATTTTATTTCTTTTTCAAAATATGTATTTTTAATGGATATTGGTCTGGGAGATTGAATACAATGGTTTTGAGTGCTGTTAGAGGTATGAGGATGGTTACTAGTTAAATTTTATGAAATTACTTTAACTACTATTTTTATTATAAGTAGCTAAATTATTCTCCAGAAATTAATTGATGTTGAAATTATAAATCACCCAAGCTAAAATGTCATGTAAAGGCGTTGAAAATCCTCATTGTTTTCATTGTAATAATGGTGATTCTAACTTCTAAGCAGTATATTCTTGCTTTTGTTCCACTTACACTAGAAGCTCTACAGTTAGTGAATGTTATCTTTTCAGTTTCCCCCTTTTTTTTTCAAAAAGATCCATTCACATATGTAGATGAAGATGAAATAATTTTTTCATATCTTAATTCTTATTTCAGAACCTTTAGTTGTTGGAACAAGTTATATTTCTTCAGCTTGTGATATGGAGATATTATCAGATGCACCAGAAAAAATGACTTTTACAGAAATGGCTACGAAACGTCAATATTGTCAGCGTTTAACTTGGTATGTAAATTGATTGATGGATAAGTTGTGAATAGCGTCACATTTCTGTACTCTTTTACTGTTAACTAAATTCTTTCGATCATGTTTCAATTTAGCTACTACTGACTCGTTATTTTGTGCAATAGTTTAAGTTGGAGGTATTCATATATGCAATAACAATTTTACTATTAGGCTGTTCACTTTAATGGTCATTATACCAGTTCAATATCAGTCAATACAGTATTTTGAAAATTCAATACTAAGATAATCTAAACCTGAGTACATATTTGCTGAAATCGGTTGAAAACTAGGATCATTTGTGAAAACTTCACACTTAACATAAAGGAAGTTGTAGACACTTACCTATGATGAATTTGATAAGAATGTATTCGTTTACAATTGTTGATACAAAGAGGAACCGAATACATATGATGCACACAAGCCACTTAATTTTTGTGTGATCTATGAAACTGAACGGGTGCCCGAACTGAAGCAGGTGGTTTTCTTAGAAGGCCACACCTGGAGCCCTTGACCTATATGTCTGATCCACAAGTCAGTGGAGTAATGTCAGAGGATTCAGTCCCATGTTAGTCGGTGACCGACAATAGATTCATACGCCATTCGTTCCTTCAGGATCCTAGAGTCCATGTACACCAATGGTTTGGTATCATAGTTTTCCAACTCCTCTAGGTGGATCCTTCTTGTCAACCAACCCTGTTAAAGCGCCGAATATTTGCGTTTCACTATCTCAAATTCGTAAACAACACCCCTGCTGCGAGAAGTCAGTGAGTAGAACTTCCCTGACAGTGGCTGTATACGCGTGGTCATATGACAGCATTTCGAGAAGGAGAGAGGACTTTCCCCACTCTCAACCGTACCAGGGCATTCGAGGGCATCGTTTGGGAACTAGGATCATGTGTGAAAACTTCATATTTAACATTTGAATTTAGTCGACTTCCAATGTTTTAACTTTCCTTAATATTCTTGTTTATTTAGTGAAAAGAACAGCTTATTTTGTGCCTTGAAATGTTAGTCATTTAAATATCGATTTACAGTTAATTGATCACTGGGAAGTGATCAATCCCATTTGTATCGGATCCTTTTTTAATGCAGATTGTTAAGTTCTTTACTTGATTAACGCAGAATACGGTTTACGACTACGAAACTTGAACGTTGAACTTCACCATCGTAAATCAGAAGACAGAAGAAAAAAGCTGGAGAAGTGTTTATTTGTTAAGAATTCAAAGTGTACAGGAAATCATGGGTATTTATAGACATTAGCTGAGGAGTCCCATACTAGGACGAAACGGCCGTCAACTGCTTCCAGGTTTTCCATGGTGGTCTAGCTTCAATTGACTCATGATTTGAATCTGTGAAATTTCTAAAATTTCCACAAAACCCCTTCTAATATTAGCACTTGTTAGATCAGCATTACATTTTGGCCAATCCGCTAAGACACATATTATGCTACTGATCAATAGTAGCATGCTACGTTGATATTCTAAAAAAGCTCCATCATATTCTGATTGGCTGGAACTCTTCGGCTCCTTTAGAGCCTCTGATGACTCCATTGTAGTTCTCGGAAGTCGACTCAACGTAGATCGAATTTTATTGATCAAGTTTCCGTATGGCCATTGGTATAGGTGTGCATTATGTTGAGATGTAAGGTAATGTCCAGGACATAATAAACAATAGATGAGTTGGGACTCAGATACTTATTTACTTACTTACTTACTTACTTACGCCTGTTACTCCTCGTGAAGGAGCATAAGCCGCTCACCGAATAACTCAATGTTATCATCTCTAACTCATGAAACATGATGATGCATAAGATTGAATTCATTTGAGTGTATCATTTCTCTTTCAGCATTACAAATACACCTTACTGATGAATGTTGTAGACTATCTTCTAACCTAATTACCCTACCATTGAAATATTCATCTCATTCAATTTGTTCTTTCTTGTTGTTGTTTTCTTACTTTATAGTTTTATACGTCTTGCTGATTATCAAATTCTTAGTACATTACATGTATTAACAGTGAATTCAGTTAATACAATATTAAATTGTTTCAATGAACATTTACAGAATACACCAACATTAAATGAAATTAAAGGATATAAAATTGAAGTAGATGAATTATTAGAAGCTCCATCTAATGATTTAAATATAGGATTAAGTAGTATAGATCAACGTAAAGAATCTATCAAGAAGCCAGTAAGTAATATTGTTTGTTTTTGAAATACTGTAATAGAATCTTTTGATCAATCAAACCAATGATGCATAAAACCAATGCAAACAGTCTAGAGTATTTATCGGTCTTGATTACTGCCAAGCCCTACCTGTTAGAGTCCAGAACACCAATCTCAACCTCTGCAATATAAATCAATTATTTCAAACATACTGGGTTTATATTATCAACCAGACAGACCACATCGTACCATAAAATAAGCAACAACATCTGCACGGGATCTAGCTACGGACGGCCAGACCAAAACATGGCACAAGTCCATGAAGTCACTGACAACTAGACTGAGTTATGTTGGTAGGTGTAGACTACCTGGTTGGAAACGGCGAGATGAAAGCAACCGATGGTTAGAGACCCTGAATGACATGGCTCAAAATCGTTTACAATAGCGCAGATGCATCGACTCTTTGTGTTCTCCCAAATTTTGATCTCCTTATTCCTCCTTGTCTCTTTTTTTTCTCTTCCCAAATTTATTTCACTGGATTATACTTTTTAAATAACATCTCCAAACCCTGATCCTTCCGATAACTGCTTATACTCTTATTACCTCTACCACTACGGGATTTGAAACGACCACTGCATCTCTGTGCTAATGTGGTGTGGCAACTCAAACTGATGTACGTACGTACGAAGTTCTAAGTTGTTACTGACTGACTGACTGACAGGACCTAGCCAAATGTGGCTGTGAATGTGGGAGGTAGTAATTAATAGACAGTGCATAACTCAAAAATGGTAAATCGTATAACAATCATTCATAGGTCGAAATGAAGCTCATAATAAGAGGGAAATGCATATGAACAGTTTCGTTACATAATCATTATACGGTAAAAATATACGCATAGTATTGGTTCATAAATGGATCCCAAAAAGTTACCATTCATTATGCTTATCGGGACACAACAGAACCAATCAGATTTAAGATAACAAATCTTGAATTATGGCGCAAAAATTCATTTATGCATTTGGTTAAATAAGGTTTTAGTATTATAAAGCTGATGTCAGTTCGTGATGAAAACCTCAAATCTATTTCCTAACTTTGTCCATCAAATGTAAATCATCCTTCGGATTCCTCACACAGATTTATAATCCATATTTGATCATAGTTATTCAGTGAATAGTTTCAAGGTCAGTCTAATGTCGCTGAATGGTCGTCCACAAATTATAGTCTCACCATTTTTACTTACTTCGATTACATTAGATGTATAAAATAGTCATGTGATTTTATTGTTACTTTCGAATATCTGGCTCCAATTTCATTGTATGATTATTGTTATTGAAGTCTGATCAGCCCTTGTGGTCTGGTATGTGACGAAATCTCAGCACGGATACAGAAGACTGGATTAGCTTTCGCCAACTTGCGTCATTTATGACGTTGGCGAGATATCCGTCTATCAAATAAAGGAAGTGTTTACTGTGCAGCAGTTCGTTTTGTCCTACTTTATGGCAGTGAAACATGGCCGGTAAGAGTAGAGGATATTTGTAGGTTACTAGTATTTGATCATAGGCGTCTTCGAAACATTACTCGTATATCCTGCAACCATCGAGCAAGTAATGTAGTTGTTAGGGAACAGGTACTAGGTAAGGATGGTAAATCAATTGATGAAGCAATGAAAATTCATCAGTTGAGATGGCTGGGACACGTGTTACGTATGCCCAACCACCGACTGCCCCGATGAGAGATGTTTCATGGTCTAGGAGTAGGTAGTAAGAAAGGTAAGCTAAGCACCAACCGAACCACACTTGACGGAAAATCATTCGAAAATGTAAACACCTATACATATCTGGGCAGCATCATTGATGAACATGGTAGATCTGATGCAGATGTGAATGCGCCGATCGCCAAAGCAAGAACACTATATCTACAATTGAAGAAAATCTGCAACTCAAAACAACTGTCTCTCAACCAACACCAAAATCAGCATTTTCAATACAAATGTCAACACAGTTCTATTGTATGGGGTGGAAACCTGGAGAACTACGAAAACCATCATCCAGAACATACAAGTGTTTATTAACAGTTGTCCACACAAAATACTTCAGATCTGTTGGCCAGACACTATCAGCAACAACTTACTGTGTGAGAGAACAAAGGAGATTGGAGTGGAAGAGGAAATCAGGAATAATCACTGTAAGTGGATAGGACACACATTGAAGGAAGCAACGAGCTGCGTCACAAGGTAAACCCTCATCACCTGAAATCCTCAAGGCGAAAGGAAAGGAGGATGATCAATGAACACATTACACCGAGAAATGTAGATAGACATGAGTGGAATGAACAACAATTGGATAGAACAAGAAAGTAAGGCCAAGAATAGAATGGGTTTGAGAATGCTGGTTGACGGCCTATGCTCCACTGATGGTGACAGGTGTAAGTAAGTAAGTAATGTTTTATGTACTTGGCGATTTGAATCAGAAAGGTGAAATGACGAGGGAAGAGTGAAGCAGATTGGAGAAGGATAGTGAGCCAACTTGATTTAACCAAGCGTTAATCGGTATTTATAGCCGAAGAAAAATAAGTTACAAACATGTGATGAATAGAATAAGAAACACACACAAACATACACATACATAGAAACAGACAAGGCTGTTAAGCGAGTAAATGACAAGGTAAAAATGTGACTTGAGAAGAATGAATAGATTGGTTTGTTCATAGGCTAGAATAAGCTATGTGAGTTTGATATAGTACAAGCTCCAACGGTTTTTCTAAAAAGAGTATTGCCAAAAAGCGCTTAACAATAGACATTTACAATGGGATATCAGTGTTTAGTTATCTGTATTCTAATTTTAAGATAATGACTGTAACATTTATTACAGCTGTTATTGACAACTTCCGTAGGTCCTGTGTACGATTCCTAGATGTGGAATGATAGATGTACACTATCGAGGAGTTTCATACTGAGATGAAACGGCTGTCCACTCCTTCCAGATGATCTGACTAGAATCGGTTGACAATTTAAACTATGACAATCCGTTGAGTTCCAACAGTTAGAAGTGATTATTTTCTCTAGTTACGGGAATTTAAATTAGGAAAATGTATTTTAGCGTTGATGAGATAGAAAAAGCTATGTCCAGGTCGTGGTAAATAACTCTCCAAAATGAATAACTTGAAAGGTACTCAATATTGATGCTAACTCTGTTAGTTATAAGTGATATCACTAGTTGAAGACACTCATTCAAGCATCGCGATCATGTTCTGGCACAGATGACAAGATACACTTATCCTTCACTAGATTTTCATCTTGGAAATCTGATGTTCCTCCATTTCTGCCTCAGTCAGTCATTCAGTCAGTCAGTTACAACGTAGGACCAGGTACATATATGCATCAGTCCAAGTTGACATACATCATTACCACAGCAAGATGAACGCCGGTTTCATAGAAGTAGTTAATCCAATGGTGGTAAGACATAAAAGAAAGATCACATATAAGGATATAGTACAGGAAGAAAGAATTAGTACATAGAAAGAAAGATATGAAATAATTTGAATCTCATAGTTTAAGGGAAGACAAAGAGTGTATACACCGACGCCATTGTGATCGATTCTGATCCATGCCACCTAGAGTCTCCAACCATTGGTTATGATAGTCACCGGCGGACTCCAACCAAGTAGTCTGCACCTATCAACATGGCTCAAACTAGAAACTTGGTGACTTTACAAACTGATAACATGTTTTAGTTTGGCCGCTCCTAACTTTCTTCCAACCATCAGAGTTTTCCATTTTCAACATTTCCATTTAACTCTATCATTGATATGTTTGATAGTTGGGATTTTCAGGGATTGATCTTCTACCAGGGGATTCAATTGTTGACTTAAAATATTCAAATGATATAGTTCTTCTTGATGATGACTCTGAAAATTTCCATGGTCATTTAACCACTTGAAGCAAAAATGCATCTATGTTTAGGATAAGATTCTCTCCCTCCAAATGCAAAATGATACTTCAGAATTAGTGATAGAGAATGATTTAGTTGAACATACTAAACGCTTCATTTGTCTTTGAAGTCTAATCAGTCCTGATGAACTGGTGTCTGAAGAAATCTCAGCAAGGATTCGGAAGACTCGATTGGCTCTGTCAACTTGCATCACTTGTGGTGTAGGCGAAAATTTCGTCTCCTAATCAAAGGATTAGTTTACTGAGGAACAGTTCTCTTTGTTCTACTATGTAAGTGTCTTCAAAACGCTGCTTGTTTATTTTGAGACCACAAATTAAACAATATCTAGTTTAGGGAGAGGGGATTTGGAAAAGGTGGTTGAGACGTGTAAGATGTATGCCCAACCACCGGCCACGTTAACCAGCGATATTATCTGAAGAAAGCTAAAGGTAGCCAAACTAAAATATAGCATCAGTCTATGAAGTCACTGACAAATGGACTGACGCGTGTTAACAAGTTTAGACTATATGGTTGAAATTGGCATGATTATTATAATGAGAGGCTAGAAACTCTGAATGAGATGACTCAAAATCATTCTATTTCACCGACTTATCTTTTCATGAATCGTATCGTTGATTTTCATCCATTTTTTACTATCACTAATACTGTGACCATTTCTACTACTCTAGGATTTCATGTGACTATGTTATTGTGGTATGATAACTTGAATCGATGTACATACGTACTAAATTCCACGTTGTATTTGACTGACTGATGAACTATTCCATTTCAACATTTACAAATACATAATGATTGATGGAGAAGATTTGTAGCTCAGGTGGATGATTTTGATAGAGTTTTGTCCTCTGAACTAGATGGTTTGGTCGTGGAGCTTTCGTCATTCTTCTGGACGACATCATCAGCAGCACGAACTTCAGATTGAAGTGAAGTGTTCGAACTTCTCCATATAATTGAGGAAATATTTCTTTTACATTTAGTTCATTATCTATGATTGTATATTTATTGATGGATTATTACAACTAATGATTATGCAATCTTTAAACTTCTATAATAGATTAAAATAAACATATCTGATAATGAAATTGAAGAAGAATCAAAACCAACACCACTTTTTACATTGGAAATCATAATGGAACCATCTCGTTTATATTTAGTTCCTGAAGAATCTTTATTTCAAGATGGAATTATGGAAATTATTAATAAATTTCAAGTAAATCATCTGTTGTTAGATTTTTTTTCTTAGAAAGATTATCTATTCTATTGTATGGTTAATATTAATTCATTTAATGGTCCCCTAAATGCTCTAGTATGGTCGAGGGTGGGGAGAGTCAGCTCTCTTTCTCTTTCGAAATGTCCTCATATGACCACGCGTATATAGCCTCCGCCAGGGAAGTTCTACTCACTGCCTTCTTGTGGCATTACTGTTGTTTACGAGATTGAGAAAATGAAAAGTGAATGTCTGAAGCTTAAACCTGATTTGTGGATACGGAGGATCCACATAGAGGAGTTGGAAAACCGTGATTCCAAATCAATGGTGTACATGCACTCCAGGATCCTGAAGGAACGATTAGCGTATGAACCTATTGTCGGTTACCGACTACCATGGGATTGCATCTCCATATATTGCTTCACTGGCTTGTGGATTAAATCTTTAGGTCGAAGTCTCTGGGTGTGGTCCGCTAAGAAAACTACCTTCTTCTGTTTGAACACCAGGGCAATATCACTGTCCACACATAAATCAAGTGACTTGTGTAGCTCATATGTATTCGGTGCCCATTCGTACCAATATTTATATATTCAGATAAATGAATAAAATATACTGAATCACATCAAGTACAACCTTTATTGAGCAAGCTAAATTGTATTGTCAGTTTAAGGGTTGTAGAGATTGTTAAGTTTTTTGTTGTTGATTGAAACCATGAGTCAACTGGAGCTAGACCACCATGGAAAACCTAGAAGCACTGGATGACCGTTTCGTCCTAGTATGGGACTCATTAGCAGTGCGCATCCACGATCCCGCACCCCGCGAAATTCGAACCCAGGACCTATCTGTCTCGCGCAAGGCGTTTAACCAACTAGACCACTGACCCGTCAGCCAATGGTATTAATGCCTAACTGAGGAGTCCCATACTAGGACGAAACGGCCGTTCAGTGCTTCCAGATTTTCCATAGTGGTCTAGCTTCAATTGACTCATGATTTCAATCAGTGAACTATTGATATAATCTATTTTCTCAATTGATTATTATTGATTTATTGATTTAGGAACAAGTAATCAATATTAAAAATTTATCATCTGATCCATATTTTAATGCATTTACTCAACCATTAATTAATAATAAATTTGAAGAGAAATTATACGGTGCTGGACCACAATTAAAGAATATATTTGATGAAGATCTAGAATTACATAATATTATTCAACGTATACAATATTCATTAAATTGTTCATTTGAAGCAATTCATTGTTATAAGAATACATTTCATGATATACAACAATTTTATCAAGAGAATAATGAAATTACAATGGATAGTATACAAAATGATTATTTAGGTATAATTTCTTTTGTTTGTTTTTCGAAACTACTTATATTAAACTACTTATAATGTTGTTTTGTTTGAAATTGTTTCATGAATGTTTAAGATTGTAATTGATGAATCTCTTGTTGGTATATTTGGATTCTTTGCATATTCTATCAAACGTGCCTTCGGTTACAAAGCATTCTAAGCAAAGATAGATAGTGGTTAGGACTCACATTTCGTTCTATTTAGGACTCGTCAATTGGATGTACCTATATCACAGAGTTGATGTTCACTCTAAGACTTGAACCCAATAGCTAAGTGGATAATTCAATGGAGTTTGAAACGAATGGCACTAGGTTTGAGTCCATAAGTACCTGTATCTTAGACTTGATATACTCCCAGTGACTCGAACCTAGTATCATTCATTTGTGAATGAAGGTAATATTGAGGCAATACACACAGGATGCATATATATATTTCAATAAAAGACTGATCAATTGCAATCCCAAACATCAATAGGAAGATTCAAGTAAACAATTGCAACTTATTTTAAACTTCATCCCATCGGACAAGCAACTGACTATCAGGACTCAGTAGCTAAGTGGATAATACGATGGCGTTTAAAATGAACCGTACTAGGTTCGAGTCCAAAAATGAATATCAACTCTGAGATACAAGTACTTTGAACTGAAGAGTTCCAAATAGGACGAAACGCGCATCCTGGATTCTACTGCTAACCAATATACATCTTTGTTTATTTATAATACTGACTAATAAATGATTACAAGAAATTTTTTGAAAATAATTCATTTGGTTGCATTTTCTGGTTAGCGTTTTTCTAGCGAGTTAGTTTCCTACAAGGTGGGATTGCTAACCCCATGCCCAACCCTCCTTTACACGGGACCGGCAGTAACTCTAGAGGAGCTACAGGCGGAGTTATCTTGTTACAGATAAAAGGTAACAAAGGAAAACCATTTGAGTGATAAGAGTTGAATAAACAGATGTTGTCTATACTCATCACTACTTCCTGGTTGTTATTTTTTTATATATCAGTGTTCACTATGGTGAAATAACATTTCACTCTCATTGTCTATCTACATGATCAAATCTATAAGCGGAATTAGAATGATTACCTTTCTGAAATCAATTCAGTCAAATCAGAATATATATTTGGGCCATCTAAACATATTTTGAAGTAAAACCCGCAAAACTTTCTGCTAATTTTTTTCTTTTCTTTTTATCTTTTATTTGTAATTTAGCAAAGATTAATGAAATGAATCATGTGGAACGTCTTAATGAAAGTAAGTTTTCCCGAAGCAATGTGTTCAGTGTCGTTTCTCATTTCAGTTTCCCTTCACGATTCCAAGTGAGTGCATGCTCTGTGATGCAGTTTGATGATTTCCTCAACGTATGTCCTATCCACTACCACCACCTTTTCTCGATTTCCACCTCAGCTGGAGGCTGTTTTGTTTACTGTCTAGCTTGGATTCAATAAGTTTCTCTGATTCCGAGTACTACCAGGTTGTATCTCATCATTTCCACAGCTATATGACTGGTTTTCATCGGTCACCCACATTGTCTGGACATTTCATGTACTGGTATTAATTGTTACTCTGGTTGTTAGAAGGAGCATCGGCCTCGTGACTTCCAAAGAATCTCGGCTTTCATCCTGAGGCGTCATAATTCTTCCTTGAACTCGGAGGGTAGAGTTTAAATGGTTTAAATTGTTTGTTGTCGTTATCGTGTTTGTAGCAAGGTTTTCTTCTACAAAATGAAGTTGTCGACCCCATGACCAACCCTCTTCCTTTACCTGGACTTAGGACCGGCAGTGGCCCTTGAAGTGCTACAGGCGGACTTAATCTGAACAAAGGTAAAAACTAATAATTCTATGTTAAACAAACAATCATTGTAGCGATTACTTACTATAAGTCAAATCAAAACCGATTTCTTATTAACCGAAACCACAACAGTCATCAAGCAAATATGCTATTTTATGAAATGAGCCAGATTACGTAATTTCAAAGATTTCACTAACATTTTAAAAAACATTATAATGATTCGAATGGTTGAGAACTTGAGTCAGTTGAAGCTAGATCACTATGGAAAACCTGGACGGCCGTTTCATCCTATTGTGGGACTCCTCAACAGTGAGCATCTATGACCTCGCTTCGCGAGAGGCGAGCCCAAGACTTATCAGTCTGGCGCGCGGGCGTTTAACCACTAGACTACTGAGCCGACCGGCATCCAACGCCGTTAATGTCTAGCTTCAACTAATCCACGAAATTGAGCGACACATCCACCAATGTATTCAATAAGTTACTATCTCATTCCTTCCATGTATTCCATGATGCTCTAGCTTCAGTTGGCTCATGATCTCAACCATTGAAATTACTATAATATCCACAAAACCCTTCTGATATAAACATCATAATGGTTTCCTTCATGTAAAACATAAATTTCTTCATCAATGAACAACTATTAATCGAGTCCGTATGAATATTTCACAAACTGGGTCAGTTTAGTCCAAGCTGATGATTGGTTAACGTCAATCTCACAAGAATAAATTCAAATATGTAACAAAGTATTTACGGAGTATATAAGCAAGATGATTTATCAAAAAATGCATCCAGTTACTGTCAAACTGTACATCCTGAAGTAGCGTTTTCTTTCCCACAAAACTGAATGATACATTTGTAATTTAGTTAGATAAGATTAATGGAGAAAACACATATTTATATGTCAAACTTTAAACTGATCATGACTGACGGAATTGATTGTCCGGTTAATCAAACCTTCCAGTTTAGATCATCACGGTAAATAAAGCTTTTCATCTCAGTTTCACTCTTTTTCTCTCTCTCTACACATAGTAAGCTGGTTAAGTGCTAAGAAAGCACTTGTTCGCAACTCAATCACAGCACCTTATGTAGCTTTTTCATTGAGTTTTAATGAACGTCCTATAGTATAAACTGGAGTCAACTAAATCTCTATATAGATTCACTTGATGTTGTTTAGGATTGTAATTGATTAGTCTTTTGTTGGTATATGTGCATCCTATACGGATTGCTTTGGTAGTGCCTTAAATCACAAGCTTTATAAGCAAAGATCGATGGTGGCTAACAGTGGAATACACGATATGTGTTTCGTTCTATTTAGAACTCATCAGCTGAATGTACCCGTATCTCAGAGTTGATGTTCACTTCAAGGCCTAAACTCAGTAACTAAATAAATAACTCAATGGTATTTGAAATGAACGATACTAGGTTCAAGTTCCAGAGTGAATATCAACTCTAGGATTCAAGCATATCCAATTGAAGAGTACCAAATAAAATGAAACGTATATCCTAGATTTCATTACTAGCCACTATGCATCATTGTTAACTACTAGTTCTAGTCAATTATAATACTTAATAAATATCCATTCAATGAAAACTTAAACAACATTCACTTATTTTGTAAGTAAACATGAATAATGGATAGCAGTGGAATCCAGGACGGAGCGTTTCGTCCCAGTTAGGACTCATCAGCTGGACATACCTGCATCTCAGAGTTGATGTCCACTCTGGGACTCGAACCCAGTACCATTCGCTTCAAACGCCATCGCGTTATCCACTTAGCTACTGAGTCCTGACAGCCACTTGCTTGTGCAATGAGGTGAATTTAAATTCACTTGGTATTGTTTGGCTTGTATCTTCCCATTGAGGTTTAAGACTGTAATTGATCAGTCTGTTATCGGTATATGTGCATACTGTGCGTATGCCTTGATATTGCCTTAATTCACAAGCTTTATGTAAGTAATGATGAATAGTGACTAGTGGTGGAATCCAGTTTGACGCGCATTTCGTCCTACTTGAGACTCATCAGCTGGATGTACCTACATCTCAGAGAGTTGATGTTCACTCTGTAACTCGAACCCAGTCATATTCACTTAACTTCATTCATTCATTCACTCATTCTTTCTTTTTGTTTTCTTCTGTTATTGCAAGCTTTACAATTTTTTAAAAGAAATTTATTAAAATATCATCATCAATTAAAAATCATTGAATTGGTACCAAAAGAAAAATCGATTGGAATGTTCTTAATTAATACTAACTTATTACATAATAATTTATTACCATCAACAAATCAATGTTTAACTATATTACATCATTTATTACCATTATATATTCATAATGAAGTGAATAGATTAATAGATGAAACTCAAGAAGCTGAATATACATTATCAATCATACCAAGTTCTACAATAGATTATGTTAATTATTTTGGATTTTTAAATCAAATACAAAATAGAGTAAGAATATTATGATTAAATATTAATAAATTATTCAATATTCTTATGGTTTTAATGAATTGATTCAGCTCCCGAAATGCCCTGGTATGGTCGAGAGTGAGGTTAGCCCTCCATCCGTCCTTCTCGAAATGCTCTCATATGAGTACGCGTATATAGCCTCTTCCATGGAAGTCCTATTCACTGCATTCCCGTGGCGGGGGGGTGTTGTTTATGAAAATGAGAGGACGAAAAAAGAATGTCTGACGCTTTAACGGGAACCCAAACCAATGGTGTATGAACTAATCATTGGTCACCGACTACCATGGGACTGCATCTCCTCACGATGTTCCACTACCTTGTGGGTTAGACCTTTAGGTCAAAGGCTCGGAGTGTGGCCCTTTAAAAAAACCACCTGCATTGGTTTGGGCACCCAGGCAGTATCACAGTCCAAACACACACAAATATGGTGTGGCGCATAGATATTTGGTGCCCTCTTGTATCAATATTTATGTGTTCAAATAAATAATAATAATAATCAATTGATTTATTGGTTCCAATAAAGATTTATAATTACTTAATTACACTTGTTACTCATCGTCGTTGATGAAGCAAAAGCCACATACCAATATTCGTCATCCCAACTGTATTCTTGACCATTGTTTCCAGTTGTAATACGTGTTGTTTAGTCTTCCCGTTTTCTGTTTCCCTTGAAGATTTCAAGTTAGCTAACTTGCTTTTGTGATGTAGTTTGACGATATCCATAATGTATGCTATATCCGCTTCTAATATCTTTTCCTAATTTTCTCTTCAGTTGGAAGTTGGTTGATCCTTTCCCATAGTAGACTGTTAACATTAGTATCTTACGTAGAAAATTGTTTATAAATGATAATTGTACATTTTTGATGATAGTTAGGTTATAGTGGTTTTCCATGTTTCAGCTTCGTACTATAGAACTAACTATTTTGATGTTCATATTGAAGATTGTGACTTTGATATTGGTTGATAGTTGTTTTGAGTTCCAAGGATTTACAGTACTGTTCGTGAAGTTGACAATTGCATATAAAATCATTTGCATCGATTTGAAAGATTTTGTTTCATTTCACTCATCAATCAAATCTACTTGGAGAATTATTCTATATTTGAGTTATACTCTGAGATTTATAATCCAACTACATAAACATTGCATAATAAACTTGTTGTTTAGACTGTTTTAGTTTCCTGATCAGCTTTATTGGATTTCATCTAGCCCTTCTACGTCATACACATAAACTAATACAGATGAAGACAATTAGTGTAGCAGCAGTCTCCGCATCAGTAGGCTTAGACATACACAAAGGAAAAACCAAGAACCTCAAATACAACATAGCGAGCACCAACCCAATCACAATTGATGGAGAAATTTTGGAAGATGTAGAGTCTTTCACGTATCTGATCAGTATCATCGATGAACAAGAATATTACGATGCAGACGAAAAGGTGACGATTGGCAAAGCAAGGATAGCATTCCTACAATTGAAGAACATATGGAACTCAAAACAAATGTCTGCAAATCAATATCAAAGTCACAATTTTCAATAAGAACGTCAAGACAGTTCTACTCCACGGAGCTGAGACATGGAGAACTATCACAACCATCATCAAGAAGGTACTGAATATCTGTTCACCAGATACCATCAGCAACAGCCAACTGTGGAAAAAAACAAACTAGCTTCCATCTGAGGAGGAAATTAGGAAAAAAACGTTGAAATTGGATAGGAAACACATTGAGGAAATCATCAAACTGAATCACGAAGCATGCGTTAACTTGGATTCGTGAAGGGAAACAGAAAAGAGAAAGATTGAATAACACACTGCTTTGAGAATTGGAGTCTGACATGAAAAGAATGAATAACAACTGGAAAGAAGTGGGAAGTATTTTCCAGGACAGAGTTTGGATGGAGATTGCTGTTGAGCGGTCTATGCTCATTCATGAGGGATAACAGGCGTAAGTAGGTTAGTAAGCAAGTAAGTAAGTAAGTAAGTAAGTAAGTAATTTGTATATCAGTCTATCTACTTTCCTACTGCTATATCTGTTCAACTGTAAGTTTCATACTTTATTTACAAATGAACTTCGCAAAAAATCAATTTTAGATTGAACCAATTGAGAAAGAAGCTGAAGTTATTAAAGAACTCTATGAAATGATTGAAGCATTTGTTATTCCTGTACCACCAGAAGATTATGCAATCTATCAAGTACGTTCATAACATCATTCAGTAAAGACATTACATTATTCTAGTATATATTAAGTTCATTTCTTCCGTTGAATAATGTTTACATTCTAAAAAGAAGCAAGATATTATATGAACGAATGAATTCTTGTTTATCGCTCCATATTGACGAATCATTAAAAACACAGAGTAAAACCCCAAAGATTTAAGATTCCCAATTGACGATTTGATGTCGAGCTATTGTATTGTTTAGAGTTATGGGATATTGGCGAGACTCTAATTTTATGGACAAACCTTGAACGAATCTTAAATGACCTTGACAATTATTAGCCAATCAGAACCTAATGAATTACAGTGGATATTCTTCTTATACATGATTTAAAAATTTGTTAAGGTTTGATAAAGTTTCAGATGTTCTGAAATCATAATGCATACGGTATAGGAACTCGTCCATATGGCTCCATAATAGTCGTCCTCTAGTGCCGTGGTACGGTCTTAAAAATTCCTTCAGTCTGGACCATATGGCTTCAATATTATTAGTATGAACGCCGGTTGTAGGGTTGACGAAATGGCGCTTGTGCACTACGACATGATGCACATACCCAGGTCTATGTAAGCATCTATAAGCTCTCCAATCATCCGTATATACTGTAGTACCCGGCTGCACGTATTCCTGTATAATTTGTATTATTGTGTTTACTTGCCGGTTTCTGACCCTCTGAAAATGCCCCTTTTGCGTTGATCGATCATAAATTTCAAGTACTTGTCAAGTATATTTCCGGAAGTGCTACTTACCCCGTCTTCCTTGATACTACGTACCCTGTTGTATTTTCGCTTTCTCACTACTGTTTCGTCTATCTCCACAATACATCCTACGCCTCCGAATGATTGGTGTAGACATGTCATTTTGATTGTATATATGTCACGGCAATACTCATATCACTGGACGGCTGAAGTTTCAGTAACATCTGCCAGTGTTACTGGTGCCTTCATTATCCAAGTCGCAACTATTATCATGATCTGCCTCAGTTTCAGTCGCGACTGAGCGAAGAAAGTCCCCGTTCGAGCAGACTTTTTCCTCCAACATGAAGAACAACGGGATACAATCTCATCACGGTAGTCTGCACACTTTACTACAGTTATTTGATAACAGTAGTCACAGATACAAGAACTTCTTAGTAGTCTCATCTCTTATAGCCTTTCAATAATCACCACTTCTCTAAAATCCGCTGTAAACCGATCGTATGTGAGCATCAGGTGTTGAACTTGGCTCCGTGACCTTGAAGTTGCTCAAACGCTTCTGATTGGCTCGTCCATAAATTAGAGTCTCGCCAGGATATTTTATCCTTAAATTCTTTGGGACATACTCACAAATACAAATATATAGTCTCTTCCCTGTTCCTTCAGAGGATATGCTTTTGGTGTATATATAAGCAAATTGAAAAATAGGGTTGGAAGTACTGTAAAAAGAGTACTTATCAACGTTTATTTGTTTTACTGTCCATGTCATTTTACATCGTAGAACAAGTAATCTTTAGTTTAGATTTAATTCGATGACTGGTTTATTCAATGATCCCACTTCCTTCAAATCTAAGATATAAGAAGGAAACTTTCGTTTAGACTGTTCAGTACCTGACCTGTTCATTCGTTTCAGTGCGCATACTGATGAATTTCATTGGATATGCACTTCCAGGAAGGCATTTTTAATAACTGCAATCAATTCTTTTAATTTTTGATCAGAGAAATATATATGAGCACAGTCAAACCTAGTCCGTACATCACCCTCTACATAACGTATTAGCCAAGAAAAGCGTTGTAGTTTAGATAAACCCTATTATAAGTATTTTATAATGATTATCTCTTCATAGGATTATATCTAGACTTTATTGAACTTCAAGATCTAAACAAGCGAGTTTTCATGTTTCATAATGTTTCATGGTGTTTAATATTCTCTTTTGTCTTTAAGAGCCTTATACCGTCAATTGATCGAGCTAAAAATGCTATGGATAGAGCTCTTGGTGATCGTGATGTATGTGTTGATAAATTTTTTGTTTCCTTGGAAAAAGATATAAATGAATTAATTCATGATATTAAAGAAGTAAAGCAAGCTATTAATGTAAGTGATTTATCATTACTTTCATAAAACAGTAGTAGTCTATACAGTGAATTGTTTATTTCTAAATTATAATACCTATTTTCTATTCCATAAAGAGACAGTTTGAACTAGTCTACAGTAAGATGGAGAACATTTCAAAAACAGGATTATTCAAAGATGGACGGTAGCTAGCAGTAGAATCTAGGGTTCGCGTTTTGTCTTATTCGGGACTCGTTAGTCAGATGTACCAGAATTCCAGACGGATCAATAGTTGAAATCATGAGTCAATCGAAGCTAGACGACAATGGAAAACATGGAAGCACTGGACGGCCGTTTCGTCCTAGTGTGGGACTCCTCAGCAGTGCGCATCCAAAATCTCGCCCCCCACGCGATATTCGAACTCAGGACCTATCGGTTTCGTGGTTGAACACTTAACCTATAGACCACTGAGCCAGTCGGTATCCAACAGTCTTAATGTGTAACTTCGACTAACCCACGAAATTGCGCTACCGTACACCATTGTCTTCAGTGAGTTGATATCTCACAACAGACCTGGTTGAACTCCACTGATAACGGCTTCTCACTAGAACTCCAGGAAATGCCTCTTGAAGTCGGTCACCAGTGAGCAGATGATTATTATCAGAAGGTGTTTTGTGGAGATTTTTACAAATTTCAATAGTTGAAATCATGAGTCAATTGAAGCTAGACCACAATGGAAAACATGGAAGCACTGGACGGCCGTTTCGTCCCAGAATGGGACTCCTCAGCAGTGCGCATCCACATTCCCGCCTCCCGAGACATTCGAACCCAGGACCTGTCAGTGAGAAGATTCAAATAAACAATAAAAAAAATGAATTAAGGATTACTCAAGATTGAAATCAACCATAAGTGACGACCTTTTAAGCTGTTATATAACGCAAATATATAGATAGTATGAATTTACATTCCTTGGGGTTTTATATTTTAATAAATTCCTTGAATTTCACCATACCCTCCCCGAATTGCGATATTAAAAAATCTGTAAACTACGATATTGATTGCCATTACCGAACCATAGTAAGAAGATAATGATTAATTTGATTTCATTATTTTGAGGTAACCATCGCGCGCGGTGTTTCCCGTTGATCACTGTAATATGAAATATTGACTAACATAAATGTTGATTTCCTGAAAACTAGATACAAGTATATCTAGACATAAATCCATGGAATATCTTGAAGTCTATGAAGTCACTGACAACTGGCGTGAAGCCTGTTTTCAAGTGTAGGATTTTCGATCCATACTTCGACATTCATCGTAAATAGAGATTAGAAAAATAGGTTAGCAGTAGTATTCATTCACTATATTACTTTAAATCTTGAGTTTAATACCAACCATAACTTCCTAGTCATTAATTTTTCATTTTTATTGCTTCCTCTATCGATATGATGGCTAGAGTTGTAGCAACGTAGATTGAATTATAAGAATAATCTAAGATGAGCACTGCTGAAGAGTCCCATACTAGGACGAAACGGCCGTCCAGTGCTTCCAGGTTTTCCATGGTGGTCTAGCTTCAATTGACCCATGATTTCAACTTGTGAAATAATCTAAGATTTTAATCTGATAGTGATCTGAATTATATTTTTGTTTTTTATGTATATGCATGTTCATAGAACCCGATACTTTTAGATGTGACAGCAGAACGTGAAGCTATTCGTTCAGAACTATCTAGATTAAAGATAATAACGGATGATTTACAAAGCAGAGCTACAACTTATAAAATGTATCATCGAAAATTTAAAGTAAGTGAACTAATCTAATCAATTTGAGTAATCCCAAAAGATTCATTGTTAAATCAGTTCAACTCATGTACCCCATTAATTAATTTCGTTCATCCCATATACATAGCATTGCTTATAAATTTATTTACTATTTCATTGCAATATTTCACTTAATGGTTGAACTTAAGGGCCCCAAAATCCCCTGGTATGATCGAGGGTGGAAAATGTTCGCCCTACTCATCGAAATTCTCTCATATGGCTACGCGTATACACTCACTGTCAGAGAAGTTCTACTCACTGACTTCTCGTGTCATTATTGTTGTTTACGAGATTGAGATAATGAAAAGCGAATGCTCAACGCTTTAACCGGGTTAGTGGATACGAAGGATTCACCTAGAGGAGTTGGAAAACCCAGATTCCAAAATAATGGTACACATAGACTCCAGGATCCTGAGGGAACAAATGACGTATGAACCTATTGTTGGTGACTGACTACTATGGGACTGCATTTCCTAACGTTGCTACAATGTTTTGTGGATTAGGCATTTAGGTCGAGGGCTCCGGGTGTGGCCCTCTTGAAAAACTACCTGTTTCGGTCAGGGCACTCGGACAACATTACAGCCCACACAGAAATCAAGTGACTTGTTTGGCACATATGTATTCGGTGCCTTATTGTACCAATATTTATATGTTCAAATAAATAAACAAATTGAACTTAAGATCTCTAACCCCTTGCAAATGACATAGATTGTAGTATCATTCATTCGTTCATTCATTCTACTCATTCTGATGTGAGTTTGATTATATTTAACGATATCATAGAGTATCAGAATATGATTAATAATTCATATACCTGCCTATATTATATTACGTCTCATTCACAAAACTGATATAATAGGAATTCTATGTAAAATGACTACTTTTATGAATCCGGTGTTCATCTTGTTGTGTTAATGAGGTATGACAACTTGGACCGATGCATATATGTGCCTCGTCCTACGTTGTAGCTGACTGACTGACTGACTATGTAAAATGAATTACAATTGTTAATCTCATTGGAATAACGAGTACAGTTTCCTTGTTAGTTAATTACTTCCTGATAAAGAAATAAGAACCAATTAATTTAAACTAAAACGAAGTAATCAAACCAAATAAGACAGAACGTCCTGTCGTTAAATGCATCATTTCAACATATCTTCATATAGTTTTAAATCATAAACTAATCTTAGAACTAGATCAGCACTGAAAAACTGGAGATAATGGATGGTCATTTAGTTCCAGAATGCGATTCCTCATTAGTGTGCATCCACGAGACCACATCCTGGAATCGAGTCCAGAATCTTCGATCTCACTTGCAAACGCTTAACTTCTAAACTACTGAGCCAGCATACAACGAAGTCCTATACTAAGACAGAATGGCCATCGAATGCTTCAAGGTTTTTAATATTGATCTAGCTCAGATTAGTTAGTAATTTAAAACTCTGAAAATACTACTGTACTGTATGCTACTTATATTGGTGGATATGACTGTGGTGTGTGCTACTGATGTCGACAGATATAAATGGCATCTATCACTGATCGAAAGTAGAATGCTTGGCAACAGAAGGTTGAAAAAGTCGAAGAGAAAAGAATGAGAACACAGAATGATTGGTAGGGAAACGAGGAAGCAACAAAATTTGAGACAGTTGATGGGCATTTTACAATAAAGTCTTTACTTTATAATTCCCAGATTCTATCAGTATATTTTGCAATGTTGCTCTGAGACACATTTGGTTATCCCCAATGTGTTCTCATTCATTACATAAGTAGTATGCAGCATCATTCAAATGTGAAATGCCTGTCAGTAAAAGATTGAAGAGAAAAGAATAGAAACTAAATTAGAGAGCAATCGAAATAACAACAGAATTAGAGGAATAATAAAGGTTGTAAAGGACAATGCATAGAAGATTTGCCAATAATGTTCTTACTATATGATTTTTATTATATTTGAGATGTTAAAGAATCCGTGACTAGTGGAGTTCAACCGACTCTGTTGTGAGATAGTAAATCACTAAAGGTAATGGTGGACGGTAATGCAATTTCGTAGTGGCTAGCAGTGAAATACATGAGGTGCGTTTCGTCCTATTTGAGACTTATCAGTTGGATGTACCTGCACCTTAGAGTTAATGTTCACTCTAGGATTTGAACTCAGTACAATTCTCTTTAAACACCATTGCGTTATCCACTCAACTGACTACTGGCTACTATTATTAGTAGTATTTAACCTGTCAAGTTGGTTGCCATTAACTTTCCTTTATTAATATTGTCATAAATTGTATGTATTACCTGAACAATCTGTTTTATTTTGTAGGATCTTGCACAAGCTTTAACAGGAACATCAATTGAAGTAAGTTAATATGTAGTGAATTATGTACAGCGTTTTAATAATACGTAGTATTTAACGTTATCAAAGATTTTGTTACTTACGCCTATTACTCCTAATGAAGCATAGACCGCAGATCAGCATTCTCCAACCCACTCTGTCCTCTGCCTTCTTTTCTAGTTCCATCCAATTCTTGTTCATTCTTCTCATGTCTATTTCCATTTCCCGGAGTAATGTGTTCTTTAGTCTTCTTCTTTTCATTTGGCCTTGAGGTTTCCATGTGAGGGCTTGTCTTGTGATGCACGCAGTTGGGTGCTTTCTTCAACGTGTGTCCTATCCACTTACAGTGCTTCTTCCTGATTTCTTCCTCCGCTGGGATCTGGTTTGTTCTTTCTTACAGTAGATTGTTGCTAATAGTGTCCGGCCAACGGATTCGAAGTATTTTGTGTAGACAACTGTTAATAAACACTTGTCTGTTCTGGATGATGGCTTTCGTAGTTCTCCAGGTAACAAAAGATTTTGTTACAGCGAAACATGGCCATTAAGAGTAGAAGACACTCGTAAGTTATTAGTATTTGACCACAGATGCCTTAGAAATATTGCTGGCATCTGCTGGGATCACCGGGTAAGTAATAGTGAGGTTAGACGCAGAGTATTAGTAAATGATGGTAAATCAGTTGATGAGGTTATGAATGTTCATCGACTGAGATGGTTGGGCCACGTGTTACGTATGCCTGAACACCGATTACCACGACGTGCAATGCTATCCGGTATTGGAGATGGTTGGAAGAAAGTTAAGGGGGGGACAAACCAAAACGTGGCATCAGTGCTTGAAGACACTAACTTCTAGTCTGAGCCATGTTGATAAGTGCAGACTACTTGATTGGAGTCCGTGTGACTTTTGTAACCAATGGTTGGAGACTCTTGGTGACACGGCTCAGAATCGATCACAATGGCGTCGGTGTATACACTCTCTATCTTCCCTTAAACTGAGAGATTAAAATCACTTCATATCTTTCTTCTTGTACTATATCTCTATATGCAATCTTTCTCTTATATATTACCACCTTTGACCCAACTACTCCTATGAATTCGGTGTTCATCTTGTTGTGCTGACGCGGTATGGCAACCTGGACCGATGCACATATGTGCCTGGTCCTACGTTGTAGCTGACTGACTGACTGAGTAGTATATTTCTAAAAGCAAAATACACAAAAAAATTACTGAATAGACTAGTTAAATGTGTTATGATTTCAGCGATCAGATGCTTAAGTAATTAGATAATTAAATTACAGAATTCGCTTATAACAAGTTAGTTTATTCTTATTAGATCAATTATCTTCTTTCTAATTATTCACACAAATGATGATTAACAATATCTATCGATTCATGCAACTCCTCCCATTATCAATAACTATTTAGAAATCGTGAACAGTAAGTTACTTTGCCTTCTATTATCAGTATAGAGTTGTAGGGACTGTTGAATTTCATTGAGATCATGAACGGATCTAAATTAGATAGTCACTGATAACCCGAAAGTAATAAATGGCTATTTTGGTTTAGTATGGGATTACTCAACAGTAAGCACCCATGACCCCCACCCAGCAATTGAATCCGAGATTTTCGATCTCACCTGTGAACACTTAACCTTTAGACTACTGACCTATCATCCAATCGTGTTAATGTCTATGATCAATCTATGATATCGTGTAATCTTCCATTGACTAACAGTGGAGGATAAATCTTTCACATCCAACAAGGATTGAACTCCACTTCTCAGTAATTCACACTTGAACTCCAGGATTGGCATCCTGAATGTAGTCACTAGTGAAGACATGCTTATTGTTCTTAACACAAGTATGTGGAATTTGTGGATATTTAGTAGTATTTACACAGTTTTAAATTACTAACTAATCTAAGCTAGAACAATGTTGAAAACCTGGGAGCATCGGATGGCCGTCCCGTTGTAGTATGGAACTCTCTTGTATTTTGTCCCAGTAGTCCAGAAGTTAAGCGTTTGCAAGTGAGACCGAAGAGTCCGGACTCGATTCCAGGATGTGACATCATGAATGTACACTAATGAAAAGTCCCATTCTGGAACTTAACGATCATTTATTGTTTCATATCTCCACAAACCCTCATTCTGAACATATGAAGTTGTTGGCTTCCACGGTGCTTATATAAAACCAAAGTTTATCAGTCAAAATCTATGAACTTTAATTGCTTCTAGATACTGGGTTGAAAGTATTCTTCAATTTGCTCAATTACAACAAACACTGAATACAGTAAATATCTTTCATTGGTTAAAAGCTGATATTTTTGTCATAGAATCTAAAGTTTATGAAGTCAATATGACCTACAATCTTAGGTATCCCGTTTTACAGATTATGAAAATAAAACATTCAAAGCATAATTTCAGATAAACTAGAAATTTTTTTGTAAATTTTAGTAATATGGTAGTAGTAGTAGTAGCAGTAGCAGTAATAGTATGAGTAGAAGTTATGGCTATGTATAGCTGAAGGTCTCATATGAGAATAGAGGTTCGCCATTGATATTGTAGATGGTTCCACATTATTTCGGCAAGTTTTGCTGACTGTTCATACACAAAATTGGTTCGCTGGTTAACCGATTTCATTCACAGTGGTGGTCGCTTTTCAGTGTTCTCAAGGGTCATTGTCACTGGGACATTGTAAGGCATATCACCATTGCTAACATTAATGAGCTTGAATGTCGTGTATGTGGAATAGGTCAGCTTTGGCCTGTTTGTGTTGTGCATCATTGATTCACTCGACCATTGATCGGAATAACTATGCATGTGACGTGAATGTGTATATGAATGGTGCGAATGGTCCACCAGGATGCTTGGTACCTGTGTGGTTGCTCCACAGGATTGAGCTGTACTATTCAGGTTGTAGTGTTAAAGTCTATATGGTGTTTGGTTCTCCTTTGAAGTGGGATTGATCTGTATTGCTTGGATTACAAAAACCATTTAAGCGTGGGCGGTTTCTGGCTCTTCTGTTAAACGAGACTGAGTTGTACTATTTGGGTTGTTACGTGGAAGTCTGGATGGTGTCTGGTTCTCCTGAAAACCAATGTGAAATTACCCAGGCTCACAAAGGTCTATTATATAACTATAACTAGAAGTTATGTAGTATTAAGAACTCAGTGAGTGGGGTCGGAAAGTAATTTACTGTCCAATGAAAAATCATATAGTGGCTTAGCAAAATATGAAAATCATACATTAAATTTATTATATCATCACAATTTATTGACCACTGAGTGGTGATCAATGTCATTTACGTCAAGTACTTCTTAGTGCAGATCGAATGCTATCGACCAAGTTGCATTGTGGCCACTAGTCTAGGTTACTCATCTTTGCGTGCACTAAGTTGAGATTAGCTGGAGGTTGGAGGTAGTCAATAGGAAAACCTGGACCCGCGTTTCTAGCTACTTGGCACTCGTCAGCAAGGTGTACCTGTCATCTTGAGGGAACTGGTGTTCCCTGACGGATTCAATCCCGTCTCACCCACCTTCAGAATCGATATTGGCAAGTCTTAGAAAAGCACAATTTAAAGCATCGAATTCCAGAAAAAAATGTATTCATTCCCATAGACAGACCATTTATAAGTGCTTTGTAATTGTATATTTCATATTTTTCATATTTCTAGGATCAAATACTTGCACGAGCTGGTGTAAAAGCTTCATCATTTGTGGTAAGTGAAATTTATTCTTGGATCATTAATATTAAAACTATATTGACTGTTGTTATATCTCGATAAGAATAATGAATGGTAACTATTGAGATCCATTTATGAACCAATACTAAACGTATATTTTTATCGTATAATTGTTAAATAACTAAACTATTCATATTCATAAACCTCTTATTATGAGCTTTATTTTGATCTATGAACTATTATTATACCATTTACCATTCTTGAGTTATGCCTTGTCTATTAATTACTACCCCCCACATTCACAGCCACATTTGGCTAGGTCTTGTACAGATGCTGTTTCTTATTTTATGGTACTATGTGGTCTGTCTGGTTGGTATATAAACCCCGTATGTTTGGAGTAAATGATTCATATTGCAGAAGCTGAGATTGGTGTTGTGGACTTAACTGGCTGAGTTAGACAGGAAGCAGGACCGATAAGTACTCTAGACTACGTGTCATTGATCCGATTGATAATTCACTGCTCTCTAATTGGTGGTATCGTTACGTTATACAACAAACGGGGCACACAGATCACAAGTTATAACAACTGTTTTTTTTAAAAAAATTTTCAATCTACATTCTCAGTTATATATATTTTATGTTCAACCATTTTGTCCTGCTTCGGTTTAGTCATCAAATCAGTATTCCAGAGATTACATAAATCGAATGATTTATATGGTGCATACCTATTTGATGCCTCCTTGTACTAATGTTTAAGTGTTTAAATAAATAAACCATTTTGTAAATATATATTTTAGAAGTATTTCATTAAACGGTTTCCAAAACTGAAAAAGGTTAGCAATTCTTGAATTTGTTTACATTTTATTCAAGTTCTGTTTTGTTGTTGGGGTTGTTGGGGTTGTTGTTGTTGGGAGTGGTGGTGATGGTGGTGTTATTATGATTATAGTTACGATCAAATAGATGTAGATATTTCAATCAGTAGAAAAATTAAGACGTTTCGTGACTCCATGTAAGCTACTTCTTCAGTGTAAATAAATAATCAAATCAAAAATCCATCCAAGTTTAATTAGTACAAAAGAATAATGCAAGAATATTATGTGCGATCAATTACGAAAACCAGATCTGAATAAGTCAGTGTCATGTCATTTCGGTTAAGGTGATTTATAACCGACATGTATGTAAATTTGTGTGTGTGTGTGTGTGTTTGTGTGCAAGGCCAGGGATGAAAAAATGTGAGAAAGGATAGAGTTTAATTTCTATGTAAGATAATAGTGTGAAATGTGAATAGTATCAGACATGGTATCTTGGATAGATAGTTCAAGTCGGATGTTTAGTGAGATAATCTTTTCTATTGAGATCATCATATAGAATACTTCAGCTATTCTCCTTTGTTTGTAGTTGGAAAAACCTTTTTGTATTATTTTAATGTTTTTGAAATTGATTTGGTGGTTGTTGAGAATGGCATGAAGTGCTATTTCTGATTTAATTTGAAGTCTATCCAGTTCTACAGAATTATTAAGTGTTTTTTTGTGTGTACCTAATATGTTCTTTGGCTCATGTCGAGATTTCGTGAGATGACTCTCCAATATAGAAGGTATCACAATCGACACAATCTAATTTGTAGACACAGTTCCGTATTGATATAAAGAAAAGTTTTTCGAAATGTATTCGCTATTTCATAATATAGTTTGATTTTGTGTGTTTTTTATAATTCTTTGAAGTTCTTCTGTCATACCATGACGGTACTGCAGTTTTACCAGACTTGCCCCCAAATTCCCTGATACAGCCAAGAGTGGGAAGAATCCGCTCTCCCTCTCCAAATGCTCTCACATGGTCATGCGTATATAGCCTCTGTCAGGGAAGCCCTACTCACTGACTTCTCGTGGCAGGGGTGTTGTTTACGAAGTTGAGAGAATGAAAAGCGAATGTCCGGTGCTTTAACCGGGTCGGTGGACATGAAGAGTCCACCTACGGGGTTGGAAAACCCTTATTCTAAGCCAATGGTGTACATGGGATCCAGAATCCTGATGGAACGACCTATTGTTGGTCACCGACTACCATAGGACTGCACCTCCTTAAATTGCTCCACTGCCTTGTGGATCAGACCTTCAGATCGAAGGCCTCCTAAGAAAACCACCTGCTTCGATTTGGGCACCCGGGCAGTATTACAGCCCTCACATATATCAAGTGTGATTTGTGTGGCGCATATCTACTTGGTGCCTCATTGTACCAATATCTATGTGTTAAGATAGATAAAATAATAAATTACCATACCTGACTTGTTCAGACCTAGTTTTTATGATTAATCGTACACACTATTAATGTGTTGTTCCTTTCTACTATTTTATTATGAGTATTTTCTAATAAATAATCCCAATATTTTTGAGACTTTCAAGCTAATAATGTATAATCATGATGTTGGAGATAAGGTGTGTTATTTTTTAGAATCAATGTTTTCTAGTTCCTTCCTTCTATCATACACATACAGAATTTCTATAGATACTGATTTTCCTAAAGGAAACACCTTACAATCATCACATTGCGATTTCATTCTTAAATCTTAAGTTTGTTGTTTTTGATTGCATAACTTTCTAATCAAACATTCTAACGTTAGTAGAGAACTTAAAGTATACTAGTACTCTTGTAGTGAACACGAACACCAGTGGGGACAATCGAGTGTGTCTAACGCAGAATTACAGGACTTGTTAATGAAATCTAACAGTCAAGTAGTAAATATGTAATTCGCAAAATGTCCATCAGTTGTCTCAGAATGACTTAGACTTCATTGTTCTTGCATTTTCATACAAATTGCATCCTGTTTCCATTCTTTACTAGTCTATCCTCTTGTCTCTCTGCTACCAGACTTTCTGTTCACGACTAACGTCATATACTACTTATGTCGATATAAGTAGCGCACACCACACTCTGATCAATGTAATTAGATAGGATCATTGTGATGGATAAGCCTTACCAGTACATTAAGGTAGTAGCTACACCTAAAACTTCTTCAGTTAATAAACATACGAATCCACTTTATAACCAATAATGGAATCCAGTGTTTTATTTATTCTCCTTTTTCTCTTTATTTCTCAATTTCAAGATAGAATCACCACGTTTTGAAGAGTTAGATGCAATCATTAATGAAATGAAATTAAAATATTTATTATGGGATTCCATTGATGAATGGGATAAAACAATTAATGAATGGATGAACACTGAATTTTTCAAATTAAATCCAGATGATTTAACAAATACAACTATGAAATATGTAAAATCAGTTTCATTAATGGAAAAAGGTTTACCTCCAAATACTGTAGTACCATTATTAAAAGAAAAAGTAGATGATATGAGAGTAAAAGTAAGTTTAATTCATGTATATATATGGTGGGGAAGATATGTAGCTCAGGTGGTTGATTTTGATGAAGTTTTCTTCCCTGAGCTGGATGATTTAGTCGTGGAGCTTTCATCGTTCTTCTGAACAACATCATCAGCACAAACTTCTATCCTATTATCTGATTCTTAGTATTGAAACAACTATATCAGTTCCTTCTACGATTCTAAGTGATCAAACTTTACAGTGTATTTTATTTTAGGTGGTAAAATACAGCTGATACTATCGAATTACTTATATAAGTGGTTAAATTGACACCTGATGGACAAAATTCAACCACCTCTAAGAACTAGACATATATAACATCATAATCGAAGGTGTATAATGGTTAGCAGTGAAATGAAGGACTCGCATTTTGTCTTAGTTGGGACTCGTCAGCTTGATGTACCTGCATCCCGGATTGGATGTTTACTTCAAAACTCGAACCCAGTATCATTCGCTTTAAACGCCATCACGTTCTTCACTTAGCTACTGAGTCCTTGCAGCTACCTGCTCATGCAATAGCTTAGGACTTAAGACTATTTCGAGGCGATCCGCACAGGATACACATATACCAACAAGGGACTGATCAATTGCAGTCCTAGATAACAATAGGAAAATACAAGTAAAGAACACCAAGTGAATACATATAACATCAATTAATGCTCAGTGACGAATCAGTGTAAATATCTCCGTTTGATAGGCTATTTTTTTAATTTAAATAGTTCATTAATAAGTTGTTTTATCATAGCACTTGTTGACATGTGTTCACACTTGATGGAGAAAATCAGTACCTTCAGGAATTCTGAATGTCAATATGCTCAAAAGTAGGGACTGGATATTCCGGTTCATTTCTTTGAACTGGAAGGTATGCTACGAATGCTCGAGTACAAAAATATGATATTGTCTACATATTCTGTCGTTCATGTAGAAAGAACTATTGTACGGAGAGCTAACTCTCCCCACTCTCAGCCGTACCAGGACATTCGGGGGCACGTGATTATTGTTCTACAAATATTTATATTCGTCTAGTTTATTACATACTACAGATGTACAGTTTTCAAAAAAAAATGTTCATTTTTCACTACCTTCATACGAGTTGAAGATCTGAAAATGTCTATTCAATGTCTCTTATCTTTTACATATGGACTTAATAAGTAAACTTATATTATCAAAGTTCATGATAAAACTAAGAACGTCTTAAATATCAGTACAGGGCTGTGGTGGTTATTGAGTTTGAATTGAGATCATGAGTCGATCAATGTTAGACCACCACTGACAACCTAAAACCACTAGACGATCGGTTCGTTCCAGTATGGGTCTCGTCAACAGGTTCTCAATGGTGGTCTATGATTGATCACTTCATGATCTCAATCAAAATGTCCTAAATGTTTGGTAACGGTTGACTAGAAATGATATTGATATCTAACTTGATGCTGGAATATCTTTCCTTGATACAATAAAGAGAGAAATAACCCATTTCAATCGTCAAACATGAAATTCATTGTCGAGTCAACGATTTATGACTTCTGCATCTCCTAACCACTTATATATCAGTCGTCGTTTTTTGTATGCATAAATGATGTCGTTTAGAAGAATGATGAAAGCTCCACGACCAAACCATCCAGCTCAGAGAACAAAACTCCATCAAAATCATCCACCTGAGCTACAAATCTTCTCCACCATCTCATGATCATCATGATCGGCATCATCATCATCATCATCATCATCATCAAATTGTTTTCTTTTTTAAAGTTAACTACTATTATGGATTTGCGCAATTCATCATTAAAACCACGTCATTGGAAAATGTTAGAAGAACTAATCGGTTTTCAAATGTCTGAATTGGAAACACCATTAAGTTTAGGCTATTTAAATGAATTAAAAGCTTTTAATAAAGCTGAACAAATTCAAGAAATCTCAGGTCAAGCTAGTTCTGAATCAAGTTTGGAAATGTTGCTTAAAAAGGTAAGTATAAATATGTCTTTATTGATTATTGAAATGATCATCAATATTAAAAATGATTTTGATACTTCATCAATCATATCAGAAATAGACCAATGACTAAATTATAAATCCAAATTAAGTAATAGGATTATTTGATGTGAAATATGGTGTCATTAATGGAGTTGGTTACATTCATCTAAAAAAAGTCATAAACAATATAAGCAAAGATGAATGTCGGCTAGCAGTGAAATCTCGGACGCAGGTTTCACCCTACTTCGGGACTCGTCGGTTGGATGTACCTGAACCTGCGGACACTGTTGAAGATCTGGAGCTGAGGTGCTAGTCAGGGCAGGTGATGTCGAGTAGAGTGTTCTGGCGGGATGGCATTGACGGAGCGCGTGCTTTCGATGGAGAGGAGCGGTTGGACGTGCTACTGGTGGGCGAACGTTGGATGTAGATGGCTCAAAATGTCATCGGAGCGCAGGCGTTGAACGTCCCGGGTGCCAGATGAACATCGGATTTAGGTGGCCAGATGGGTCGATGGAGCTATGAAGGTTGGCGCGCCACAGACTCGACATTTTGACAAAGAGTATGGCACAGACTGTTGAGAAGAAGAAAGTGGCACGGCGAGTAGAACCACTGCAAGAACGACTGCTCTAAAGGAGGGATGAGTGTGATGCTCTACCGATGTCGACAGATATAAGCAGTGTGTATCGTCAATCGAAAGTGAAATGCCTAGAGGCAGAAGGTGAAGAAGATCAAAGAAAAGAGAACGAGAATAAAGAATGACTACTGTGGAAATGAAGGAACAATGAAGTCTGAGATTTACTAAGACATTCCGTTATTTCGTGTTTAAATACATTCGATTGTCCCCTACTTGTGTTCTCGTTCACTACATCCTATAGTTGATGTTCTATCCGAGATCGATCAGCTGCAGTCTCAAACATCAATGGGAATATTCAAACAAACAATACAAAATGAAAATCATAAACGTTTGAAAAGCTTAAAGATAACTAGAAAGTCATTTTATATGAAAACTAATAAAGGTTCAAGTGAACAAAGTTGATAATTGTAAATAAAAGAGATAGAATTAACATCATATAGAAAGAATAGGAAATTATCACATTAACCCAAGCTCATAAAATAATTTAAGGATTACCAAGGCAAATTCAAGGCTACGATACATAGGACAATTTGAATTTGAGAATAGTCAGAGCTTCTGCTAACTTAGGAATACATCCTTAACAATTTCTATACAACGTTTTAAAAGCTGTATTAGGTCATTTCTGTGCCCCATATCAGTTATATGCTTTAATATCAATGAATATGATTTTCTACTTCCCACTTTTATCTGAATATTTGACATGAACTGAATTTGAAACCATTTAGGCACATATTCCATAAGCCTTGATTGAATAATTCATTTACTACGTCTGCCATTCAGATTTCGAATTATACAATTTAATCGACAACGACTAATCTTCAGTAGTCATAGGGTAATCGAAAGACTTGTTTACCTAGATTCAAGTCCTACTTTCCCCTCGCCTATTGAGTTCAGTAAGAGAAAACAACGATGCTGTCTTCCCACAACAAGGGGTGGGGTTATAGAAGGTCGACCCTAAAAATGCACACTTCACCTTATCCCACGGATATCCGTCTCCGGAGGTAAGGTTTCAACAAGTACGGAGCTAACACAAAAATTACCCATAAAAAGGTTGTGTGTGAATGACTTCAATCAGTTGTCTCTTTGGCACTGCCGTCACGCTCTCAGGTCACTAAGACCACCTGTAATCCAATTTCCTTTGCAGGTACCTCCAGAAAAACCCTTCCACGGTGTGAGCAACCGGGAAGTGATGACCATCCTCATACCTCTAACAGCACTCAAGACCACTAATTGTTATGTTTAAAGAAATAATGAATAATCAGACATTAACAAACTCTAAATAAGGAATTTTACCTTATATATAATCAAGCCATGAGTGATAGAGAGTAAAAGCTTACAATTAGGGGAGTTTAGAAATATGATAATCCAGTACATACGACAATAAACCGTAAAATAATTCCCGAGATGATCACATTTTCTATATTCACTTTGATATTAACATCAGTGGTGTTAAAAGCCATCTAGTAAGAATTTGTTCTTATCGTTTCTAATCATATATCCTTTGTTTCATCTTATTACTATCACTAGTATTACTACTAACTGATCTACTCTTGTTATTCCTTTTCATGATTTGATCTCGTTGTCTTGATGTGTTACCCACTTGTTTCATTCATTCAATTTATTCAAGGTTGAAGAATCATGGAAATCAACTGAATTCATTGTTCTACCATACAAAGATAGTAAAGATGTTTTTATTATTGGTGGAATTGATGAAATACAACAATTATGGGATGATTCTAATATTAATATATCAACAATTGCTTCATCACGTCATGTTGGTCCAATAAAACATCGTGTTGATGAATGGCAAACTTTATTAGAATTATTTGGAAGAACTTTGGTAAATTAATTCTGATTTAGTGATTGATGAAAAGTGTTATGTACAAAATGTACTTGATACAACAGAATCAGGCTATAAGTCGTAGGGCTCGATTATTCCGTAGACATTGAATCGATTATCAATTAAAAATAGTATATTAACGAGTAGAGTAGAATAGAATAGAGTATTTCTTTTAGGGCATAAGCAGAAAAGAACAAGATTGCCAGATTAGGTTTAGATGACGCTCTCTGGTGTTTCTTCAGTATTTATATGCGATAAAACTAACTAATTTAGCATCATGATAGGAGTAACTTGAGAGGTCACTCCCGGAATTCTAGTGAGAAGTTGTGATCAGAGGAATTCAAGCAAGTTAGGAGCTGAATAGATGCCATCAATGACAATGTTTGACAGTTGTGAAATACTATGAATTGAGCAAAGTTCGAGATATAAACAATCAAATACCAACTCCATGATCTTAAAGTTGAATGATTGCCGCGATTCCCAAAGGTCTTGAATTTGGCTTCTATCTGGGTTCTATAGTAAAACGAAACAGTTGTCTAATGCTTCTTAGTTTCAATGGTTATCTAAATTGTGATTGGTTGGTTGGTGTACTGAATCAGTCAGTCAGTTACAATGTGGGACCAGGCACATACATGCATCGGTCCAAATTGCCACACCGCATTAGCACAGAAAAACGAACACCAAATTCATAGAAGCAGTTAATCAGTGGTGTAATAAATGCAGAAAAGATTTTATGTAAGGATATAGTACAGAAAGAAAGAGTTCGTTCGTAGAAAGAAAGATATAAAATAATTTGAATCTCATAGTTTAAGGAAAGACAGAGAGTGTATACACTTACGCCATTGTGATGGATTATGAGCCATGTCACCCACAGTCTCCAACCATTGGTTACGATAGTTACCAGCAGCCCCCAACCAAGTAGTCTGCATCAAAAGTTACACTGATCACGAGGACTATTAATGTACTGAATTCGTTTGTAGGGAAACTTCAAGAAATAAACTTCATCACATGTATCATCTGAAACATTCAGGAAGTATATTCCCAGCATTTACCTAACACATAAGTTAACATGCTAAGTTATTTGTTTTCATAGTAGGCTTAATTGACGTTTCAGAGTTGTGACACTGAAACCCAATAATAATTTATCGGAATTTAATAAATGAAGATCTTGATTATGTAATCATATCCGCGCTTTGCATGATAGTTTATTTGTATCACTGAGAACATTAACTATAAAGAATTACGTTCAATAATTTTTTTTAGAATAAAAAATAAACAGTGTTACAGTCTAGCATATTGTACATGTTTTTGTTGGGGACGTTAGATCCCCCAGAACTCACTTGGTAAAGGATCTAATTTTGTAATTTTATTTAGAAAATTTGAATTTCTTTGTTTTCGCGCCAAAAGCGCTCTTGTCACCTTCATGTCGTATTTCCCACTGGGAAATATCTTAAATGCTATTGGTCCGTTGAGTCTTTTGGCGTGCTGTTTGGTAACTCTCCCTAAGGACGGTTTTGTACTGTATATATACGTTTTGAATAGTGTTTGTTGTTATAGCTCGTTTCTGGCTGTTTGCAGAATATACTTCCCCATTCCAAGCTTGGACTTCTCGCTCTAGTTAGCGGGGCTGGGACGCATCAAATAGCTAGCTTACTGGTTTTTGGTCACTGAGTCTTTCCTCTCGTTTGCCGATTAAGTGAACTCGTGATAACTTCAACTTCTAGCAGTTTTCTTAAGTGATTTTTACTTGAGATCATCAACCGATTTATGTTAGATAATCATCAGAAACCTGATAAAAATGGATGGTCGTTTTGTCGTAGTACAAGATTACTCAACAGTATACATCAACAATCCCACAACCAGAAATAAAGCCCAGCACCTTAGATCTCGTGTGTAAACGTCTAAACCAATAGACAGCTAAACTGAAATCCGATAATGTACTAGCCTAACTTCATCTGATCCATGATATTGCACAACCCTTCTCAGTGTTATAGAGGTTAAGTATTTACATGCAATACTTAAGGTCCTGGGTACTGTTTCCAGTCCCGACCGTTGTTGCTACCTTGACGTGGTGGTCGGGTTTGCCTATCGTGACGAAGCAACCGATCTATACTGGCTGGAACAATCGTTCCTCAAGGTCCTACCGTATCAGACAGGTCGGTTGAATAGCAGTAACACTAAAAGCAACAAACCCAAGATCCGAAGGCGAAGTCGTATTGCTGACTGTACAGAGGTGTGACAGCGGTAAGGTGTTTCCTTCAGACAACCAGTATAACAGAGATGCTACCTTCCCACAAGGAAGGGTGGGGTTAGAATCGGTCGTCCCTAAAAATGCACACCTCACCTTATCCCACGGATATCCGTCTCCAGCGGTAAGGTCTCACAGGTACGAAGCTAACACAAAAATTACTCACAACAAGGTCGTGTGTGATCAACCTCAAGCAGTTGTCCCTTGGACACTGCGGTCACGCTCTCAAGTCACTAAGAGTTACCTCCAGAAGAACTCTTTCACAGTATGGGCAACCGGAAAGTGACAACCACCCTCATACCTCTTCTAACAGCACTCAAGACCATTGCATTCATAATCAACCTCCCTCATTTCCTCTGACTTTGAGTCATGAGTGCCTGCTACTGACCAGGATTTTTGATGGTTGTCTTAGATGAATTTGTAACTTCGTAATATTTACAACTTTATTGATTGCCTTAAAACGTTTTCTTTTACTTCAAGGATGAATGGATGAAATGTCAGCGAAGTTGGTTATATTTAGAAAGTATATTTTCTGCACCAGATATTCAACGTCAATTACCTAGTGAATCAAAAAGTTTTATGTCTGTTGATAAATCCTATAAAGATATAATGCGTAAAATACAAAAAGTTCCATTAGCTATACGTGCTGCTACACAACCTGGTTTATATGATACATTACGTAATAATAATCAATTATTAGATCAAATACAAAAATGTCTTGAAGCTTATTTAGAATCGAAACGTTCCATATTTCCACGTTTTTATTTTTTATCTAATGATGAATTATTAGAAATTTTAGCACAAACCCGTAATCCATTAGCTGTACAACCACATTTAAGAAAATGTTTTGATGCTATTATGAAATTAGAATTTGGTATAACATCAGATTCTATGAATAAAGGTAATCATACTAGTTTTGTTTTGATTTTATTGTTGTTTTTCTCTTTTTTGCTAATATAGAGGTTGTGGAGATTATTAAGATCTTGATAAAGATCATGAATTGACTGATATTAGACAAACTTTGGGAAATCTGGAAGCACTGGACGGTTGTTTCGTCCTATTGTGGGACACCTCAGCAGTGCACATCCACAATCCCGCTCGTGGGATTCGGACATAGGGCCTTCGGTCTCGTGTGCGAACGCTTAACCAACTGGACCACTGAGCCAGCATCCAATGTTGATAGTGTCTAACATCAACCAATCCATGAAATTGCGCCACCATCTTCCATTGTGCTGAGGTAGATACCTGTCTCTACCCGAGATGGATTAACTCCACTGGTCACGGCTTCTCACTAGAACTCCAAGAATTCCCTCACAAAGCTAGTCACTAGTGTGCACATATTAATTACTAGTATGGGGGTTGTGGAGATTATCATGTTCTTGATTGAGATCATGAACCGATTGATGTTAGACCACCGTTGGAAATCTGGAAGCACTGAATGGTTGTTTCGCCCTATTGTGGGTCAATAAGAACTGATCAACGTCATGGTGTACAGACCAAGCTGTGAAACGCATATGAAGAAATTCGAACACTTCACTTCTATCTGAAGTTTGTGCTGATGATGTCGTTCAGAAGAACGATGAAAGCTCCATGACCAAACCATCCAGCTCAGAGAACAAAACTCCACCAAATCCATAGTTATTATTTATTTATTTATTCGAATTCATAAATATTAGTATAAAGAGGCATCGAATACAATATGAGCTACACAAGTCACTTCATTTGTGTATGGGCTATGGTACTATCAGGGTGCCTAAAGTGAAGAAGGTGGTTTTCTTAGGAGGTCACACCCGGAGCTTTCTACCTAAAGGTCTGATCTACAATGCAGTGGAGTAACGTTAAGAAATGTAGTCCTATGGTAGTTGATGACTAATAATTGGTTCATATGTCATTTGTTCCTTCAGGATACTGGAGTCCATGTACACCATTGGTTTGGAATCAGCGTTTACCAACTCCCTTAGATGGACTCTCCGCGTCCATCAACCCGGTTAAAGAGCCGGACATTCGCTTTTCGTCCCCTTAACTTCGTAAACAACACCCCCATTGCGAAAAAGCAGTGAGTAAGACTTCCCTGGAAGTGACTTTACAAGTGGCCATATGAGAGCATTTGGAGAGGGAGAGCGGATTCTTCCCACTCTCGGCCGTACCATGGCATTTAGGGACATTGAAGTTTGATGATGAATATTGAATAGGTTGTGATTGTATGTATCACTGATTATCGCATTATTTAACTATACGCTGGAAAAGATCATTAGTTAAGTTCTAGTAGATTTTGAAAACTATTCTTTACTGAAAAATGCTTCAATTTTATGTCAGTTGTGAACTTCGCTCATAATTGATACACAGCATACTTATTTACTTAATTACTCCTGTAACCCCTCATAAAGGAACATTGAACAACTACTAGCATTCTCGATCCAATTCTGTGCCAAACAATCCTTCTCACTTTTTTCCAGTCGCTATTCATCCTTTCTATACCAGCTTACAGTCCTCGAAACAGCATGTTCTTTGGTCTTCCTCTTTTCTGTTTCTTTTCACGATTCCATGCTTCGTGATGCAGTATGATGATTTCCTCAATATGTGTCTTATCCGCTTGTAACGTCTTTTCCTAATTCAGTTTTCAGTTGGAAGCTGGTTTATTCTATTCCACAGTTGACTGTTGCTCATGGTATCCGGTCAACAGATATTGAATATCTTGCATAGATAACTGTTTATAAATACTTGTACATTTTTGATAATGGTTGTAGTAGTTTCATCTCCATGCAGTAGAACTTTCTTGACGTCCGTATTGAAGATTGTGACTTTGATGTTGGTTGATGGTTTTTCTTAGTTCTATATGTTCATCACCTGTAAGAATGTTGTCCTTGCTTTACCAGTTCTTGCACCAGATCCTCCACGTTCGTAGATGATGCTACTCAGCACACAACATACTTCTGTAGTAATTCTATGTAATACTGATTTTTGTATTTCCCCCTAATAATGAAGGTATTTGTTAACTAATTATCAATTTCAATGGTTAAGATCATGAGTCAGTTGAAGCTAGACCACCATGGAAAACATGGAAGCACACCACGGCCGTTTCGTCTTATTGTGGGACTCCTCAACAGTGCGCATCCACGACCTCGCCCCCCGTGAGGTTCGAACCCAGGGCCTACTGGTTCCGCTCGCGAGCACTTAACCACTAGACCCCTGAGCTGGCCGGCATCCAACGGTGTTAATGTCTAACTTCAACTAATCCATCAAATTGAGCGACACATTGTAAATTACTGAAAAAATGATTGTTTTTTTTAATTAGGTCAGTTAATGTGGTGTTGGATGATGAGCAGAACTTTCTCATACAATCAGCTTTTTTTCGTAAAGTAAACTATAGTTGTTCTTTATTGAGAATAATCATTCTTTCAAAATCACAGTTTCTTTAGATTTCAAGTATTCAATATCCATAATTACAACATAACAGCTAAATCGAATTCATATTAGTGTAAAGTATTTGATCATTAGTTTCTAAAAACAGCTTGAAGATCACAGCTACGAAACTTACATAATCAAATCAGTTTACAAACTATATTGATTACTCTCTTTCTTCATGTAACTTTTTCCTAGGTTAGTTATTAAATTTGACTAAGACCATAAATCGTGAACGAACCAATCAGATATAAGATAATAGGTCTGAAGTTTTGGTGCTAGTTTATAATCCTCATTTAGTCCTAGTTATTAGGTAGACATTCTCAAGGTCAATTTTGTGTCACTCAAAGGTCATCTATAAATTATAGTTATATAATATAGTTATATAATAGACCCTTGTGAGCCGGGGTAATTTCACATTGGTTTTCAGGAGAACCAGACACCATCCAGACTTCCACGTGACAACCCAAAGAATACAACTCAATCTCGTTTAACAGAAGAGCCAGACACCGCCCACGCTTAAATGTTTTTTTGTAATCCAAGCAATACAGATCAATCCCACTTCACAGGAGAACCACACACCATATAGACTTTAACACTACAATCTGAATAGTACAGCTCAATCCTGTGGAGCAACCACACAGGTACCAAGCAACGCGGTGGATCATTCGCACCATTCATATACACATTCATGTCACATGTATAGTTATTCCGATCAGTGGTCGCGTGAATCAATGATGCACAGCACGAACAGGCTAAAGTTGACCTATTCCACTTACACGACAGTCAAACTCATTAATGTTAGCAATGGTGATATGCCTTACAATGTTCCAGTGACGATGACCCTTGAGAACACTGAAGAGCAACTACCAATATGAATGAACTCGGTTAACCAGCAAACCAATTTTTTGCATGACCAGTCATCAAAACTTGCCAAAGTAATGTCGCACCATCCACAATATCAATGGCGAACCTCTAGTCTCATATGAGATCTTCAGCTCTACATAGCCATATAGCTTGTATTGTATACAACACATATGTAGGATAGTAAACGAAATTGCTCAGCCTGAAGCATTAGGATTTAAATAACGCTTAAAACCCATCGTCTGTTGTCGTAATACGATTACTAGACCACCAAGATCATTTTTAACGCATTTGCCAAATTTTCATTTTTCTGACTTTTCAGACCCTGAATTAGGGGTAGTATCACTATAAATTATAATCTCAAACCTTGATTCTTTTCAAGATTGTTTATGTTTATTTTTCATAGTTTAACCAACTAGTTAGTGATTCTAAAACATTCTATCCAAATTATAATCGTTCCATTCTTTATTTTTTCTTTTTAGATGAACCTGTTTATACTAATGATATATTGGCTATGCTTTCACCTGAAGGTGAACGTGTCTCACTCGGCAAGGTAATCTATAATTTGATTCAATGTTTAAGATTAATCATAACTTAATCGTTTATTTTTCTTTTAGATCTATTTTAGGTTGATCAACTATGTTCACACTTAAACTCATCAGATAATAAAACCTTACTTACTTACTTACTTACGCCTGTTACTCCTAATGGAGCATAAGCCGCCGACCAGCATTCACCAAACCACTCTGTCCTCCGCCTTCTTTTCTAGTTCTATTCAATTGTTCTTCATTTTACTCATGTCTATCTCCATTTCCCGGAGTAATGTGTTCTTTAGTCTTCTTCTTTTCATTTGGCCTTGAGGATTCCATGTGAGGGCTTGTCTTGTGATGCACGTAGTTGGGTGCTCTCCTCAATGTGTGTGCTATCCACTTCCAGCGATTCTTCCTAATATCTTCCTCCGCTGGGATCTGGTTTGTTCTTTCCCACAGTTGGTTGTTGCTAATAGTGTCCGGCCAACGGATCCGAAGTATTTTGTGTAGACAACTGTTAATAAACACTTGTATGTTCTGGATGATGGCTTACGTAGTTCTCCAGGTTTCCGCCCCATACAATAGAACTGTGTTGACATTTGTATTAAAAATTCTGATTTTGGTGTTGGTTAACAGAGAGTTGTTTTGAGTTGCAGATGTTCTGCAGTTATAAATATACAGCTCTTGCTTTACTGATCCGCGCTTTCACATCTGCATCAGATCCGCCATGTTCATCAATAATGCTGCCCAAATCTGTAAAGATTTTTACATCTTCCAAAGCTTCTCCGTCAATTGTGACTGGATTGGTGCATGCTGTGTTGTGTGTGAGAATCTTGCTTTTCCCTTTGTGTATGTTGAGACGTACTGCTGCTGAGGCTGCTGCTACACTTGTCGTTTTCTCCTGCATTTGTTGTTGCGATCGCGAGATATTAAAAGCTGGACTTTCATAAATTGTAGACGATCATACTATTTATAGTATTATTCACTAAACTAGAGTTGTTATAACTTATGGGTTTATGCTCCTCTCAATGTATAACGTAATGATACTGTCAATTAGAGAATAGTGAATTACCAACCGAACCAATGACGTATAAAACAAGTACGAGCAGTTTATAGTTTTTATCGGTCCTGCTACCCACCTAGCCTGACCTATTAAGTCCAGAACGCCAATCTCAGCCCCTGCGATATAGATCATGTATTTCAAACATACTGGAGTTTATGTACAAACCAAACAGACCAGAGTTACATGTTGTCATTTTCTAGCTACATAACTATATTCTATAGTTAATGACATTAAATTTAAAAAATTTACATTTAGATAATATAAAAATTATATCAAAGATGGATAGTGGCTAACAGTAGAATCTAGGACACGAGTTTCGTCCTATGTGGGGCTCGTCAGCTGGGTGTACCTGAATTCCACTACTAGCCACTATTCATCTTTGCTTAGAACGCTTGTGAATTAAGAATATATCAAGGCAAGACGCACAGGATGCACATATGCCAATAAGAGACTGATCGATTGCAGTCTTAAGCATCAATGAGAAGATTGAATGAAACAATACCAAGTGAATTTAAAAATCATATCATATCCTAAAAATTTTGATTGGGAACTGATTAAAAGCAACATTTACAACTTGTATACTACTGTAAACTAAACTATTATTGTCTGTACATTTACTGTTAAAAATAACTATCTAGATGAGTTATCTACAGTAGAACCAAGCACCTCTTAATAGATCGTTTAGTAGAAGTAATACAATTTTACACCACACACACCACAGTATGTAACATTTCTACTGAATTCCAATGAATTTCTTAAACTATAAACTGAAGTCAACTAGAACTCTATAAATTCACTTGGTGTTATTTGCTTGTATCATCCGATTGTTGTTTAGGTCTGCAAACGATCAGTATCTCATTGTCATATATGCATCCTGTGCGGATCGCATCTCTATTGCCTTAAGTCACAAGCTTTTTAAACAAAAATTGATGGTGGCTAGCAGTGGAAAATGGCGAACTATACTGGGTTCGAGTCTCGGAGTGAAAGTTGAATCTAGGGTGCAGCCACATCCAACTGACGAGTGCTAAATAGGACGAAACGCACGTCCTAAATTTCACTGCTAGCCACTATCCATTTTCAGGTTTCTATATAAAATGACTTAGTAAAAAGAATGTGTTAAAAAAACTATTTAACTAAGTCGGTCTATTATACTGAATTAGAGATAAACGTTTAGAGATAGTGGATAAAGTTGAAGAGACTATCATTCTTCCACATTAATTGTAATGGAGTCAATAAATCATCATCTTCACCAATGTATTCAAAGTAAATATATAATTTTATTCAAGGGTTTTTTTTATACCAGACCTCAATTAACCGATCAATTATTTTAAACCAAGGAGTATTGGATGGATGTAGTCTGAGATCTGTTAGTATAACATATTCACAACCAAATAAGCGACCAAAATCTGTCAGTCTTGTCATAAGCAAGTTATCAATCACCCACTGAGTTTAAATCTCCTAGGATAGATTATCAACTTTATTTAAGTTGAATGAAAGTTTAATTCTATGCATTTCATGTTATCGTTGAATGATTTTCTAACTTCCAACTTCAATTTTTCCAAGGAAATTCCTAGTTTTTAGTAGTTTTTCACTTATCGTAACTTTGTTATAGCTGTTAGAAACACGAGCTTTACTAATTATTTCATGTCTGATATTTCTGTTCAAGATTTACTGTTTACTAACTGTAAGATAATTTAATAGTCGGATTCTTGAGTCGATTAAAGGTAGACCGCCATGGGAAACCTGGAAGCAGTGGACAGCTGTTTCGTCCTAGCATGAAACTCCTTAGCAGCGCTCATCCACGGTCCAACATGCTGGACTCGAACCCAAGACCTTAGGTCTAGTGCGCTAGACCGCTGAGCCGGTATCCAACGACGCTAATGTCTAACTTCAACTAATTCATGAAATTGCGCCAAGGTCCAACATTGTCTTCAGTGAGTCATTGCCTCACAAGATACTTCATAATCACATTATTATGTCTTAGTATGTTCTGTATTTTTCCACTTTTATTAAAGGGTTTGAAAGCTAGAGGTAATGTTGAAGATTGGTTAGGTAAAGTTGAAGAAGCAATGTTTACAAATCTTCGTAAATTAATGAAAATTGCTATAAATGATTTTGAAAGTTTACATCGTGAAGAATGGCTTAAAGCACATGCAAATCAAATTGTTTTAACAGTAGAACAATTAATGTGGTCACGTGATATCACGTTAATTTTGGAAGATCCTCTCCCAGAAGATCGTCTTGATGGTTTAAAAGAATATGAAGCGAAATGCTATACAGTAAGTAGGTTATTTTAAATAAATTGGTGAGGTTTTTCACACTAGGGATCTTTCCATCAAGAAAAACCATCATTTTAGTACTACTTCATTGACAAGCATACAGTTTTCCAATTATCGTTAACTGATTAGTACTTCTGAGACAGATCATTCTAAAAAATTATACATGATCTTGTCAGTTATTAATGTTCATTGTCATGCACCAACCAATAAGTAACCAGCTATATTGTGATTAACAACTTTGAGAATTGCTTAAGGATAGTATGGTTCGTGGAATACAGTTTATCCAAATTATCACTAACCAACTGTAAAACAGTTTTGTTAAGTGTAAGATAGTTAGTATGTGTCGTTAACTTGTAAAGTGATTGATAGTAACCGCTAGAAAGCTCTCGTTGATGTCTTTTCCATAATATATAATATTAATAATCAAGGAAGGCTTGCAATCTTGAAAGGTTCTAACTAGTAGATCATAGACGTTGATACTGACTCTATGATGAAGGATTTTATCCCGGTAAATTAGTCAGCTCATATCAACTGAATAAAAACTGAATCAATTTATTCAACCTTATTAATATACATTAGTATTTGATAGAGATCATGTGCTGATTGATGCCAGATCACCATTGAAAACCTAGGAGCACTGGACAGCCGTTTCATTCTTTTGTGGGACTCCTCGTGGGATCGTAAGTGTACACTGCTGAGGAGTCTCACAATAGGCCATCTAGTGCTTCCATGTTCTCAATGATGGTCTAACATCAATCGGTTCATGATATCAGTCAAAAATTGAATAATCTTCACAACTCTATACTGACAATACTATTTATCGTTAACCTTTTCTTTCAAATTTTAGGGACTTAACAAACTTGCTACTTTAGTACGTGGAGAATTACCAAAATTATTTCGTTCACTTCTATGTGCTTTAATTACAATTGATGTACATGCACGTGATATGGTTACAGAATTAGTTAATAATAAAGTTGATTCATTAGATAATTTTGATTGGCAACGTCAACTTAGATACTATTGGGATTTAGATTTAGATACATGTGTTGTAAAAATGGCCAATGCATGTTATATTTATGGTTATGAATATTTAGGTGCATCACCTCGTCTAGTAATCACTCCATTGACTGATAGGTAAGTATTAAACTAAGGTTATTTTTGATGAAGACATATATTATACAATTCTTATTATGAATTAATGTTAGTAGGGGAAATTTTGAAAACCTTGAAGAATTCAATGAATGTTTATTCAAAGTTAAGACTCAAAACTAAATGGCTTCATGGATATACACGGGGAAATCAAAAACAGACCATTATCTCAAGTGAATGCAAAGATAATAACAATAATGTCAAATGTAAATTCATGAGTCGATTGAAATTAGACATTAAGACTATTGGATAACAGCTGAGTGGTTTAGAGGTTAAGTGTTCAAGCGCGAGACCGAAGGTCCTGGGTTCGAGTCCAACATGCAGGATTGTAGATGCACACTGCTGAAGAGTCCCATATTAAGACGAAACGGCCACCCATTGCTTCCAGTTTTTCAATGATGATCTAGTTTAAATCGATTCATGAATTCAACTATTAATGTCACTACAATCTCCACAAACCCCATTCTGATCAAAATGTAAATTAAACGTTTTTGATATCAAATATCTTTCTTAAAATTTGATCCTACAATCCTCGTTACGTAATAAGATCTACCACACCACTGAATTTATTAAAGATCAAATTAATTTGAATAAACGACTCGACATGGAGTGTTAGAATGAATGAAGTTTAAGCTAACTTCTTTTTCATTAACCTATCCTGATATATTAGGATCTGAGATAGTGAAAAAGATTTGTAGCTCAGGTAGATGATTTTGATGGATTTTTGTCCTCTAAGCTGAATGGTTTGACCGTGGAGCTTTCATCGTTCTTCTGAACGACATCATCAGCATAAACCGATGAGTTACTGATTCATGATACTTGATATAATGACATTGTGAGTTTCGGTATTCTCTGATTTTACTGTGAACTAAGATTTCTTATCAATGTAGTTGCTAAGGAGCAATGGTTTAATGACAAGTAACGAGAAATTGTTAAACTAGATTACATATTATTTAAGTAGTGATCAAGCAATTTATATTTATGTTAAGTTTATAACTCAACATTTTATGAAGATGAATTGAACATCTCATCGAGACCCAAATATGAAACTACAGACTGATAGGTTTTCGATGTAACAGGATGTAGCATAAAAATCACCTATGATAGGTGGAGTATGATTATGCTGAAAGCAAAAAACACCATCTCACTGATGACATGAAATGATCGCTAAACAACTTGGAAAATCACCTTACCATTGAACTCTGCTTTAATTGTCGGAAGGTACTTTACTCATAATGGGACGAGTAGGCTATAGATTCCGTAATTGCATACATTATGGTTATATACTACTGAAGAGTTTCAACTTAAGATGAAATAGATATTATTCTGTATATCACAGTCGGCAGCAATTTAATTCTTTTATTTCTTTTATTTTCTTTTAGATGTTATTTATGTTTAATGGGTGCATTACAATTAGATTTAGGCGGTGCACCCGCTGGTCCAGCTGGTACTGGTAAAACGGAGACAACTAAAGATTTAGCTAAATCTGTAGCAAAACAATGTGTTGTTTTCAATTGTTCCGATGGTTTAGATTACAAAATGATGGGTCGTTTCTTTTCTGGTTTAGCTCAATCTGGAGCATGGTGTTGTTTTGATGAATTTAATCGTATTGATATTGAAGTATTGTCTGTTATTGCTCAACAATTGATCACTATTCGAAACGCTAAAGCTGCACGAGTAAGTAATAGTTTCTCTTTATTCCTTTGTCAAATTGTTACTGTTATTACTGTGCGACATAAACTTGAATAGTACTCTGTGAATGAGCTTATCAGTAATCGAATATATCCCCCTTACCGAGTACACAATAAATCGATCGAATAGATGGTGACAATTAAAAAGAGTATCATGTCTGTAACTCAATCAGTCAGTCAGTAACAACGTAGAACTTCGTACGTACATACATCAGTTCGATTTGCCACACCACATTAGCACAAAGATGCAGTTGTCGATTCAAATCCCGTAAGGGTAGAGGTAGTAAGAGTATAAGCAATAATCAGAAACATTAGGGTTTGAAGATGTTATTCAAGGATTATAATCCAGTGAATTAAATTTGGAAAGAGAAAAAATAAAGGGACATGAAGAATTCAGAAGATTAGAATTTGGGAGAACTCAAAGAGTGAATGCACCTGCGCCATTGCAAACGATTTAGAGCCATATCATTCAAGGTCTCTAACAATCGGTCGATATCATCTCGCGGTCCCCAACCACTTAGTCTACATCTACCAACATGACTCAGTCCACTTATCAGTGACTTCATGGATTTGTGCCATTTTTTGGTCTGGCCACCCCTAGATTTCTCCCAATCCACTCCTATACCACTGAACATCGCACGTTGGGACAGTCGGTCGTTGGGCATACGTAACACGTGTCCCAGCTAGCTCAACTGTGACTCAGACCAAGTTTGTATCCATGGTAGAAACAAATTTTATATATTTTTAATTTACATACAAAAGCGTAGATTTATTTACCCCTTATGGTATAGCAAGATATTTCAAAATAATCAAATTTCAAGTATAAATTATCCAGTCACATAAATTTAACTTTGATTGAATTCATTCGCATCTCAGATCCAGGGTTATTTCATCAACCATTTAAAAGGGATATTTTTCTGTCCCCACTCAAATGGTTTGCAGCTGCTTATACCTTTCAAAGCCAGTAAAAAATGACTTCAAAGATTGATAATGTGTTTTGATCTTACTGTTTTCCGTACTGAATATGGATAGATTGGAAATGTATAATAAATACTTTAATCATGAAGAAGGTTGCCAGGTTTATCAACCGAATCACCATCTCTACTTTACAATACATTAATAACTTCTCCATAAATCACTCAGGAGTTTATTTACACATATATTCTCTAACTTTGAAGGTGATCTATTATTTATCCAAACAATTTTATGTTCAATTGATTGAGATCATGAACCGATTGGTGTTAGACACTATCACCATTGTATGCCGGCTCAGTGGTCCAGTTGGTTAAGTGTTCGCACACGAGACCGAAGACCCTATGTCCGAATCCCGCGAGCGGGACCGTGGATGCGCACTGCTGAGGAGTCACACAAGAGGAGGAAACGGCCGTCCAGTGCTTCCAGGTTTCCAAAGGTGGTCTAACATCAATCGGTTCATGATCTCAATCAAAAAAACTTAATAATCTCCATAACCCCTATACTAGTAATCTTGTGTTCAGTTTCACGCACATATATACTACTATTCATTAATAATTAGTTCACAGAGTTTGATTAAATTTCAGTTAAGAAATACATTATTGTTTCTGAATTTCATTCCTTCTGAGATCAAATAATATTATCAGTATAGGGTTGTAGAGATTATTAAGTTTTTGATTGATATCATGAACCAATCGGTGTTACATCACCACTGAAAACCTAGAAGCATTGGACGGTCATTTCCTCCTATTGTGGATCTCCTCAGCAGTGCGCATCTACTATCTCACTCGTGGGATTCAAACCCAGGTTTCTTCGGTCTCGTGCGCGAACGCTTAACCTCTGGATCATATGTTAAAACAGGTGATCTTTCAACAACAAGTGGTAAAGCTAAATAAAATCATGAATTAAACTTATGTTTAACAACTTATCTAAACCATCAATTTTATTAGTTAGTTTTCTTTTAAAATATATAGGTTGCAAGATTCATGTTTGAAGGACGTGAAATTAAATTAGTACCAACATGTGCAGCTTTTATTACAATGAATCCTGGTTATGCTGGACGTACAGAATTACCTGATAATTTAAAATCATTATTCCGTCCAATTTCTATGATGGTACCCGATTACCGTAAGTCATTTTTGTTACCCTAAACATTATCATTACCATTTTTGTATAAACGAATATTCGATTGTATGTTAGAAGCATGACAATCAGTGTCTTTTAAATAATAATTGAAGTTGAGACAAGACATGTCAGTTAACTAAGTACATGATACGAAATAGAGTTTTTTTTAAAAATAACTAGATGGAGATAAGTGGGATTCCTTTAAACAATCGTTAACAGAATCAACTTAAGTGTATTTGCAGTGATCCGCTAATCGAATATTATATTAGACATTATCATCACACAGTACTGTTAGCCGGTCAGTGATCATCAGAACAGTGTAACTGAAATCAAAAGATTCAAAAGACAGAAAATATGATTATCGTTATATTCTTTCAGTGTACCCACTAGATCTTCTGACCCGCGTTAATAATTATTTTTTCGATATCTTATTGTTTGATTAACAGAATTTAACATTTGAGAAGCAGTGACCAGTGAAGTTCAACCAGGTCTGTGATGGGATAGTAACTCACTGATGACAATGGTGGATGTATTGGTCAATTTTGTAGATTAGTTGAAGTTAGACATTAACACCATTGGATGCCGGCCAGCTCAGTAGTCTAGTGGTTAAGTGCTGTCGCGCAAGACCAGTAGGTCCTGAGTTTGAACCATGCAAGGCGGGGACGAAACAGCCGTTCAGTGCTTCCAGGCTTTCCATGGCAATCTAGCTTCAATTGACTCATGATCTCAACTTTTGATGGATTTTTTTTGAGAACTTTTTAAATGTGCATTGCTCTCTATCTTTTACTCTGTTTCTCTATCGTCTTTGTTATCTTTCTTTTTATTTATAAATAGGTCTTATTGCTGAAGTTATACTTTATTCTGAAGGATTTGAATCATCAAAAACATTAGCATTAAAAATGACACAAATGTATAAATTATGCAGTGAACAATTATCACAACAAGATCATTATGATTTTGGTATGAGAGCATTGAAATCAGTATTAGTTATGGCTGGTTCATTAAAACGTGAAAATCCTGATAAACCAGAAGATGTTGTATTAATTCGTGCATTAAGAGATAGTAATTTACCGAAATTTCTTAAACAAGATGCTATCCTATTTACAGTAAGTTGAACTATTTTGATCCACTAGTAAATTTTCACAGAATGATGATGTTTTAACATGAAGAATTCGTTTACATTGTTCCAAGTTTAGCTCAAATCCTTGATTCTGAACAAAATGATCTTGAACAAAGTTAGAGATGTATCCATTTTGTAAAGTTTTTTAATGAACTTTAATGTAAAACTTGATTATTATTGAAATTCTTGTTGGTTAGGAAGTGTGGCAGTAGAGTCGATTAAATACACCTGTATCCGAAATCTCAGCACGGATACAGAAGGCTCGACTAGCTTTTACCAACTTGCGTCATTTATGACGTAGGCGAGATATCCGTCTATCAACTAACGGAAGTGTTTACTGTGCAGCAGTTCGTTCCGTCCTATTTTATGGCAGTGAAACATGGCCGGTAAAAGTAGAGGATATTCGTAGGTTACTAGTATTTGATCATATGTAACTTCGAAGCATTGCTCGTATATCCTAGAACCATCGAGTAAGTAATGCAGTTGTTAAGAAACGGGTACTAGGTAAGGATGGCAAATCGATTGATGAAGTAGTGAAACTTCATCAGTTGGGATGGCTGGAAATTTGTTTTTAACATGGATACAAACTTGGTCTGAGTCACAGTTGAGCTAGCTGGGACACGTGTTACGTATGCTCAACCACTGACTGCCTCGAAGAGAGATGTTTCTTGGTCTAGGAGTAGGATGGAAGAAAGCTAGGAGCGGCTAGACCAAAAAATGGCACAAGTCCATGAAGTCACTGACAAGTAGACTGAGTCATGTTGGTAGGTGTAAACTACTTGGTTGGGGAGTGCGAGATGATAGCAACCGATTGTTAGAGACCTTGAATGACATGGTTCAAAATCGTTTGCAATGGCGCAAGTGCATCTACTCTTTGTGTTCTCCCAAATTCTAATCTTCGGAATTCTTCATGTCCCTTTATTTTTTCTCTTTCCAAATTTATTTCACTGCATTATACTCTTTAAATAACATCTTCCCGATTACTGCTTATACTCTTATTACCTCTACGACTCCGGGATTTGAATCGACCACTGCATCTCTGTGGTAATGTGGTATGGCAACTCGAACTGATGTACGTACATACGAAGTTCTACGTTGTTACTGGCTGACTGACTGATTCTTGATGTACAAATTCTTTACTATTTAAACTTTATCTCCTACCTTAAGAATGGAGTAAAATGAGGTGTGCTCATTTTAGAGCCAATTCTTTCTCCTATGATAAGGTAGAACATCTAGTGATACCAATTACTTAAAGGAGATAACTTAATGACTGTCAGTTCAATAAATATGTTGATATTGGTTTTACAGTTTCTCAAACAACCTATCTGAAACAAATTTTTCGGACAGTACACCTCGATTAAATCACCATGGTAAGTAACATTGATCAACAAAAGAACTCTCAAACAATACATTCATTATGAAATATTTAATCTATCAATCAGTGTAAAACAAAATGATAAGATGATAATAGATGTTAAAAGAATCATTTATGATAACAGAAATACTACGTAAGAGACAGATGTTCCTGGATTCAAGTTAAGTATGAATGATCGTGGATGCACATTAGTGAAGAGTACCATACTAGGATGAAACGACCACCCAATGCTTCCAGGTTTTCAACGGTGATCTAGCTTAAATTAACTCATATATTCAATTATTAAAAATTAATTTATTCGGTGAGATTATAATTTACCGATGATCTTTAAACGATGCTAAAGTAACCCTGAGAATGTTCACCTATTAACTAGGATCAAATGAGGGTTATAAGTCAGTGTGTGAGGAATTAGAATTATGATTTATGATTAATGGTTAGGAATTAGATTTAGAGTTTTCATCACTAATTAATATCAACTAAAATGCCAAAACTGCATTTAACCACATTGAATGGATGAATTTCGTGCCAAAACCCAAGATCTATTATCTTATACTTGATTGATTCATTTGACCGTTGTCAGGCAAGCTTGCTCACTCTCACCCTTCCTCTTTCTCCTGGTGATCGATTGGATCATGAAGACGTCAACATCTGAAGGGAAGCACGGGAAACAGTGGACATCTAGGATGCAGATGGACAATCTAGACTTCGCTGATGATCTGGCTCTTCTGTCGCAATCGCAACAACAAATGCAGGAGAAAACGACAAGTGTAGCAGCAGCCTCAGCACTAGTACGTCTCAACATACACAAACGGAAAAGCAAGATTCTCACACACAACACAGAATGCAACAATTGAATCACATTCGACGGAGAAGCTTTGGATTGTGTAGAAACCTTTACATATCTGATCAGCATCATGGTGGATCAGATGCAGATGTGAAGGTGCGGATCGGCAAAGCAAGAACAGTATATATACAATTGAAGGACATCTGGAAATCAAAACAACTGTCTCTCAACTAACACCAAGGTCAGCATTTTCATTACAAATGTCAACACAGTTCTATTGTATGGGGTGGATATCTGGAGAACTACTAAAGCCATCATCCAGAACAGACAAGTGTTGATAAACACTTGTCTACACAAAATACTTCGAATCCGTTGGCCGGACACTATTAGCAACAACCTACTGTAAGAAAGAACAAACCAGATCCCAACGGAGGAAGAAATCAGGAAGAAGCACTGTAAGTGGATAGAACATACATTGAAGAAAGCACCCAACTACGTGCGTCACAACACAAGCCCTCACATAGAATCCTCAAGGCCAAATGAAAAGAGGAAAACTAAAGAACACATTACTCCGGGAAATGGAGATAGACATGAGAAAAATGAACAAGAATTGGATAGAACTAGAAAAAAAGACCCAAGACAGAATGGGTTGGAGAATGCCAGTCGGCAGCCTATGCTCCATTAGGAGTAATAAGCGTAAGTAAGTAAGTAAGTAAGATTGATTATAGTCTCATTATTTCTTCAAATCAAATAATCTTAAACTACAGTTAATAGTTTTAGTAATATGTAAATATTTATTTATTTTCTATAGGCAATTTTACAAGATCTTTTCCCTGATGTTACATTACCAGAACATGATTATGGATTATTTCTAGAAGAGATTGAAACAGTATTACAAGATATGAATTTACAAATTATTACTGAACAAGTATTAAAAATAATACAATTCTATGAAACATTAATTGTACGTCATGGAGTGATGTTAGTTGGACCAACTGGTGGTGGAAAAACTACAATTTATCGTGTTTTAGCTAAAGTTTTAAGTAATTTACATATAGCTGAATTCATAGATAAGAAACCAGAATATCAACCAGTGAAAATGTATGTTTTAAATCCAAAATCTATAACAATGGGTGAATTATATGGTGAAGTAAATAAATTAACATTTGAATGGCATGATGGATTATTAGCTTCTATTGTTAGGCAAACATGTGTAGTAAGTATAATGTGGTCATTGTAATATTGTTGTACAATTTATCGAACAATATTTGTGATGAATCTTCCCACTGATATTTAGGAGTGTAATTGATCAATCTCTTATTGGTGTATGTGTATTCTGTGTGGATTGTCTCGATATTGCCTTAAATCATAAGCATTATAAGCAGAGATTAATGATGGATAACAGTGAAATCCATTTGTGACTCGTCAGCTACTATTTATTTTATTTAACCACATAAACATTGGTACAAAGAGGCAGCAAATAGATATGCGTCAAATAAATCATTCGATTTGTGTGAGGGATGGGATACTGCCCAGGTGCCCAAACCGAAACAGGTGTCTTTCTTAGAAAACCACACTCGCAGCCTTCGACCTGAAGGTCTGATCCACAAGGTAGTGGAGCAACGTTAGGAGATACAGTCCCATAGTTGCCGGTGACTAATAATTGGTTCATACGCCATTCCTTCCTTCAGGATACTGAAACCCATGTACACCATTGGTTTGAAATGAGGGTTTTCCAACTCCCCTAGGTGGATCCACCAACCCGGTTGATGAGCCCGGCATTCGCTTTTCGTCCTCTCTATTTCGTAAACAATACCCACACTGTGAGAAGGTCGTGAGTAGGAACTCCCTGGTAGTGGTTGTTTGCCAGTGGCCGTGTGAGAGCATTTCGAGAGGGAGAGCTAACTCTTCCCATCCTCGGCGGTAACAGGGCATTTGGGGGCTGGTCAGCTACTAGCTACCATCCGTCTCTGCTTATATTGATTGTCATTGTTTTTCTTATTTGTATTTTTCATAATTTGTTACACAAACTGTTTTCAAAACATAAAAAGTATTTTACTAAAGGATAATTAGTCAATAAATGAATATATGGAAAGAAAACATGTATACACTAGCTTAAAAGCATACAAATTTCTCGTGAAGCGGGATCGTGGATGAACACTGCTAAGGAGTCACACTATAGGACGAAACGGTTGTCCAGTGCTTTCAGGTCTAGCTTTAATTGACTTATGATCTCAATCATTGAAATTACTATAATATCCATAAAAACCCTTCTGAAATATCTTTTTTTTTTCATTTATTCCACTATGAAGGATCCTACACAAGATCATCAATGGGTTATATGTGATGGTCCAGTTGATGCATTATGGATTGAAAATATGAACACAGTATTAGATGATAATAAAATGTTATGTTTAGCTAATTCTGAACGTATTAAATTAACAAATTATGTTCATATGTTATTTGAAGTACAAGATTTAGCTGTTGCATCACCGGCAACAGTAAGTCGTTGTGGTATGGTTTATGTAGATTCAGAAGATTTAGGTTGGTTACCATATGTTAAAGTAAGTTAATTGTATTAATTTAAAATATGTTTTTTTAATATTTTATTTTGAATAAATCTATTTACTAATTAGTGAATTCATTATTAATCTACGATTTGTTCCTATGGGGATCACATCATACATTATATTCCAAATAAACAAGCACAATCTGTTATAACTTGTGGCCTGTTTGCCCTGTTAATGTATATCGTGATGAGTTATCGATCGGACCAATGACACATAAACATGAGCTCTTGTTAGACAGTTAGCTTTCATTCTGTAGTAATCACTATTTCATTAAACTAAAGATTACCTAATTGAAATGATCATTTTGATTAAGTTTATTTATAGAAGAGCCTTGATTGGTCAGTCAGTCAGCTGCAACATAGAACCAGGTACATATATACATCAGTCCAAGTTGCCATACCGCATTAGCACAGCAAGATGAACAGTGGATTCATAGAAGTAGTTGATCCAATGGTAGTAATATATAAAGGAAAGATTGCAATAAGGATATAGTACAGGAAGAAAGAATTAGTTCGTAGAAAGAAAGATATGAAGCGATTTTAATCTCATGGTTTAGGGGAAGACATAGAGTATATACAACTACGTCATTGTGATCAATTCTGAACCATGTTACTTACAGTCTCTAACCATTGGTTACGATAGCCACACGGAACCCAATCCTTAATGGCCACGTTTCGCAGTCGTAAAGTAAAACAGAATGAACTACCGCGCAGTATATTCGTCCATTAATTAATAAACGGATATCTCGCCTTCGTCATAGGTAACGTAAGTTGGCAAAAGCTAAACAAGCTTTGTGAATCCGTGCTCACATTTCGTCACACACCAACCTATTTTCGTTGATCAGACTTCCAACATAAGTGAAGCTGTCAACGCGTTCGACTACTTCACTCCCTATCCTTAGTTCAGGTGTTGATGCAGTCAAGTCCTGAAGCAACAAATTGTATTTAGAGAGGGAGAAGTGGATCCCAAACATTCTGCGATTTTGGCTTAGTGCTACCAAAAGACTGCATTTTATCAGCGTCTTCACCAAACAGGACTATATCATCTGCGTATTCTAAGTCGATAAGTGAACCTCTTGGTAGGAGATCAATGCCCGAAAATTCAGCTGACGAGAACGTTATTTCCATTAGTAGGTCCATGATGAAGTTGAACACCACTTAAGGTTGCAAACTCAGATGACAGTTCGCCATAAGCTCTGACTTGACTAATAGTGTTCGAGTAAAAAGCCTTTACAAGGTTTATGTACTTCCGATTGATGCTTTGTCTAATTATGTCATTATTATTTAATTACTTACTTACACCTGTTACTCCTAATGGAGCATAAGCCACCGACCAGCATTCCTCAGTCCACTCTGTCTTTGTCCTTTCTTTCTAGTTCTATCCAATTATTGTTCATTCTTCTCATATTTGTCTCCATTTCTCGGTAATATGATGTTCTTTGATCATTATACAATATCAATTATTTCCATTTTCATTTTAGACATGGATTAAAACAATTGAAGAGAAATTAACCCCATATGTAATCGAATATATTATGAATCTTTTTATAAAATATGTAGATCCTTTTATGAATTTTGTCATGACTAAATGTACAACAATCATTCCACAAGTAAGTGTTCATCTTCACATTAATGGTTTCCATTATATAATGGTAGTTTAAAGATTTTCAACTTATGTGTAATGAATCAGTGTACTCAACGACAGTTATCAAATGAGATAGTTATATTATGCCAATTGAATATCTCCTTATTGATAAGTGCATATTATTGGTCATTCTCTAAGGAGTTCTTATTCATTGGTGATAAGTTTTGCTAATTGAACGCTTAGTTCGATTTCCTAAGCTCTTCTAATAATAATCCACAGGCAAAATTTACACAACGACTTGAACACAAGAGAAAAGGCATGAAATATCGAAGAAACGCTTTACTTTAAGGTTTGTTTATGTACAGAAAATCTAGGGTTTTTATGGTATTTTAGATAGTCTTGAGTTTCCGGAAAGTTTTGGAATGCTATTAAACATATTAGCAGTATAGGCAATCACCCAATCAGAAACTCAACATGTGACTTTTCACGTTCTAGATATTTCTGGCAAAACATCTATTGAATGCTGATTGTACAGTGTTTCTCAGTGTTTTCAGAGCTTTTTTTCACTTTTTCGAGGAATTTTCTGAATCTCTCCAACAATAAAACCGACTAACTTCCGCCTTCACTCTTAGTCTTCTTAAAGTAGCCGGTTGGGGGCTTGGATATAGGAAGTTTTGTATATTATGTATTTAACGTAACTGACTGAACTTAACCAGACAACCAATGAAAACAAGGAAGATCTGGACAGAGTTACATTTTACTACGGAACGTCTCTGTTGTTGCATACCTACAACTCCATAGAAGAACAAACTCAGGAACTTCAGAACTCTCAGCGAATGTTTAACCCTTTAACCACTGTCTCAGCAACCAATAGTTTAAATTTCTAACTTTCATCAACATGTGATACTAAGAAACCATCTTCCAATGCCATTCGTGGGTAACTAATTGATATGTTCAGACTCCACTAGTCACTGCTTTACACCAGAATTTCAGGAATAGCAATTCGAAGTTATTCATTCGTAAATACGTGACTGTTTTTAGTAATAGGAGGTTTGTGAGTAGTTTTGAATCTCATGGTTCACATCATGGAATGTCCTTAGTCAGACGTCCAATAAAAATTAGTAATTACTTACTTACTTACGCCTGTTACTCCTCGTGAATGAGCATAGGCCGCTCACCAGCATTTAGTAATTACTGGACGGCTGTTATTTCTTAACATGAGACTACTCAATGCACGTTCACAAACTTTTTGTACCAAGTATTTGTTTCATTTGATGATATTAGATAAGCTAGAAAAATTGGTGGCAGATCATGAAAGTGGATTTTATGGTCATTAAGATGCGTTACTTAATTGGATTCTACTCTTATATCAAACATACATTTCTTCTTTTAACCCCCGAAGGTACAGCATATTTGTACTGTTCTGGTACACTGGATGGTGGATGAAAATCGAACTTGTCAGAACATGTACAGATTAAAAGAAAATAGACAAATAATTCTATTTTAACCAAAGCGAATATACACATCATTAAGATAAAACTTAAAAGTGAATTATAACAATAATTATAAAGTTATATCGTTTAAGTTAGTTGAGGCTTGTGTTACAGATGCTCGACCGTTACATAGCTCGTCAGCATTTAGGTAGAATTTTAAAAAAGCCTACTTACAGACTTACGTTTATTACCCCACATGGAGGAGCATAAACGAATCACCAGTATTCGCCATCCAACTCTGTCCTAAACAATCCTTCCCAGTTCTTTCCAGTTGCTATTGATCCTTTTCATGTCTGCTTCCAATTCTCAAAGCAGTATGTTCTTTGGTCTTCCACTTTTCCGTTCCCATTCAGGTTTTGAGGTAAGGGCTTACCTCGTGATGCAGTTTGGTGATTTTCACAATGTATGCTAAACTTAAATATAAATGATAAACAGAAAATAAGCAAAATATGGGGTCGAACCTTGATATTAATAGGTAGTATAACAGACTCGAAAGTAATGGAATGAAAAGGAAACAAACTGAACATCTTTCATTGATACCACAATTATTTCAACTTTTTTCCCCTATACTCATTCCTACAATTGAAGAACATATGGAACTCAAGACAACTGTCTGTAAACCAATATCAAAGTCACAATCTTCAATACGAACGTCAAGACAGTCAGTTCTACTGTATGGAGCTGAAACTTGTAGGACTACCACAACCAACATCAAGAAGGTACAAGTATTTATATATAGTTGTCTATGCAAGATACTGAATATCTTTTGAACGGATACCATCAGCAACAGTCAACTGTAGGAAAGGACAAACTAGCTTCCATCTGAGGAGGAAATTAGGAAAAGACGATGGAAATGGATAAGACATACACTGTAAAAATCATCAAACTTCATCAAGAAGCAATTCCCAACTTGAAATCATGAAGGGAAGCGGAAAAGAGAAAGGCCAAATAACACATTATGTTGGGAAATAGAAACAGATATGAAAAGGATTGCTCAGGACAGAGTTGGATGGAGAGTGCTAGTGGATAGCCCATCCTCCTCCATGAGGAGTAACAGATGTAAGTAAGTTTCTCTTATATTCTCTCTAAGTAGTAAACATTTGATGAAAGATCATTTTATCCATGTTCATTTATATACATTCATTCATTCGTTTACATTTAATATTTCAATTCATAGGTACCTATTGCACGGATACAAACAATGTGTAAATTATTAGAAGTTCTATTAACTCATTCTTCAAATTGTCTATCAATGAATGAAGATAAAAATAAATTAAATCCATTATTAGCTATGTCATTTGTATTTTCATTATTATGGGGATTAGCTGGTTGTTTAATTGATACAAATTGGGATAAATGTGATGCATTTATTCGTAATTTATTTGATGATTTAGGTGATGCAAGAGTAAGTTTCCTTTTATTTTATTGATTTATATATGAATGAGTTGATTTTAAGTAGGCATAGAATCTGATCCCAGTTTTGATTGTTTCGGATTGCTAAGTCAGATATTACATATCGTTAATCTTTGTATATTATCATCGACTTAACTCACAATAATGAATAACCGAGTTAAATAAAGTGAAATACGAGAATGAATTCTTAAATGTGTATATTTTGTACATTCAATGATCTGGACAGGAAATCATAAGGATGAAGTGAATAGAAAAGAGCAAAGTGAAATGACGTGCAGTAAAGAAGGTTCGTGAACCAACTCCATTTATAGTCATAAAAAGAAAGAAGTTACAGACATATGATGAATAGGATAAGAAGTGTACACACATAAGTTTACAATGAAAACAGTCAAAGTTGATAAAGTCAAAATGTGACTCAAGAAGAATGGATAAATTGACCTGTCCAGAAGCTAGAATGGGGTATATACAGTAAGCAACACTACAGGTTTATGAAGTCTATATGTTTATTTCAATACCTTCGTTCGAAGAAGTAGGAGGTTGAGGCTGAGTAAAGACTGACCGACTTCGGTAGTTGATTGAAGTTAGAAATGTGAATAATTCTCAACTTATGATCCTTAAATGATAAACAGATTGCTAGACCTTTGGACCCTAGGTCCTGTCTTAAGGAAAACATAGACTGACACTGCTAAAGGATCCCCATAATAGTGCATAATATATTCCCTGATGTACAATGATTCTCGTATTGATATCTATTCGTAGCCGAAACACACTTTACAACAAAACTTACTTTAGTGTGAACTTATTTGAAATCGCTATTTATTAGTTTATGTAGGCAAATGATAGTTGATGAAAATAGTTAGATTACATAACTTCATTTTTCAATGATGAGAAGGTATTAAGTGGTCAACTTTACCCAAAGTATTGAAAATTCTCTTGATATTGTTTACTTGTGTCTTCCCATTGTTATTTAGGACTCCAATTGATCAGTCTCTTATTGATATATGTGTATTCTGCGCAGACTGCCTTGATATGCCCTAATTTACAAGCTTTATATGCAAATCAGTAAACAATATCACATGAATTTAAAACTTCAGCCCATTGTACAAGCGAGTGGCTATCAAAACTCAGTAGCTAAGTAGATATTACGATGGTGTTTGAAGCGAACGGTATTGGGTTCGAGTCCCACAGTGGATATCAACTCTAAGATGAAGGTACATCCAAATGATGAGTCCCAAATAAGACGATATTCTTTCAAACATAATTGAAACTTGACTTTGAATGAGAATAGAACTACATACTATATTATCAAAGTCTAAAAAACGAACCTCTGTAAACTGATGATTCAATGATTTAAAATTTTCATTTTCGAAACTGGTTCCTAATTACTTCGGTTTCAAGCGAGCATTCTCATCAAGTTTCATACTAGTAAGAAACTTCTATAAAATCCTTCTTAGTTCCTTTCACCATTTCTTCAGGTGAATTCAATTGATGACACTAATTGACAATAGATTTCAAACCTGAGAACAGAAATGACAAAACAAAGTTTAAATACACATACGTAAATGAAAACGATTTTAAAAAGACCACTCATTTTTGAAATATACAAAATTGGCTAAGGTTTGATGAGTAGACTTGAATTAGTTGGATTCTGATTTGAAACTCCCAACTAGCGGTTAAAAGTTGTTTGGTCTTAACCTATAAAGTAGTATAGTACTTCATAGATAGGGTTTTACATTCAACCTGAAAATTACATAGTTTATAGATATACAATAAATTGGTCGCTACTCAAAGATCTGTTACTTCTCGTGAAGGAGCATAGGCCGCTCACCAGCATTCTGCATCCAACTCTGCCCTAAACAATCCTTTCTAGCTCCTTCCAGTTGTTATTCATCCTTTTCATATCTGCTTCTATTATCCGACGTAATGTGTTATTTGGCCTTTCGCTTTTCCGCTTCCCTTCATGATTTCAAGTTGGGAATTGCTTCTTGATGAAGTTTGATGATTTCCACAATGTATGTCCTATCCATTCCTATCGTCGTTTTTTAATTTCTTCCTCAGATGGAAGCTAGTTTGTCCTTTCCTACAGTTGACTGTTGCTGATGGTATCCGTTCAAAAGATATTCAGTATCTTGCATAGACAACTATATATAAATACTTGTACCTTCTTGATGTTGGTTGTGGTAGTCCTACAAGTTTCAGCTCCATACAGTAGAACTGACTGTCTTGACGTTCATATTGAAGATTCTCACTTTGATATTGGTTTACGGACAGTTGTCTTGAGTTCCATATGTTCTTCAATTGAAGGAATGCGACCCTTGCTTTGCCTATCCTTGCTTTTAAGTCTGCATCTGATCATCCTTGTTCATCGATTATGCTTCCCAGGTATGTGAAGGATTCTACATCTTCCAGAGTCTCGCCATTAAGATTGATTCGACTGCCGTTCTCCGTTTTGAATTTGAGGACCTTGGTTTTTCCCTTGTGTATGCTGAGGCTTACTGATGCAGAGGCTGCTGCTACACTAGTTGTTTTCATCTGCATTTGTTTGTGTGTATGCGATAGAAGGTCTAGGTCATCTGTGAAGTCCAAATCTTCCAATTGATTCTGAGCTGTCCATTGTATTCCATGTTTTCCCTCAGATGTCGAGGTCTTCATAATCCAGTCAACCAGCAGAAGAAAGAGAAAGGGAGAGAGTAGACAGCCTTGTCTGACTCCGGTCCTTACTTGGAATGCATCTGTCAGCTGTCCTTCATGCACGACTTTGCACTGTAGTCCGTCGTATGAGCTTCCGATAATATTGACAATCTTCTCAGGAACTCCATAGTTTCGAAGAAGTTTCCATAACGTTCTCCTATCCACACTGTCAAATGCCTTTTCATAATCAATGAAGTTGATGTACAGTGACGAGTTCCACTCAACTGATAGTTCGACGATGATCCGTAGTGTCGACTCAATGATAAATCAATTGTAAATATTTCAGTCTTACAAGAGATCAGTTACTATCAGACTAGTTCAATGATAACTTTTGTAGAGTTGTATAACCTTATTTTGAATTCCATAAGAAACATCTCTCTCCCTTCAAGTTTCCAAATACACCTTACTAATGAGTATTAACAATCAAATAATCTATGTTAAGCAGTCTTAATTTGAAAATATCATTCTATATGAATGTATACTTCATTACTTTTTTTCTTTAGCTTCCTCAACATTCTGATTTATGGTCTTGTTTTGTTGATATGGATACACGTCGTATGGATAATTGGGATAAATTGCTTAATACATTTATATATAATAAACAAATACCATTTTTTGATATGATTGTACCAACTATAGATACAATCAGATATGGATACATGTTAGATAAATTATTAGCTGTAAATCAAAGTGTACTATTTACTGGTTTAACTGGAGTTGGAAAAGTATGATTATTACTATCATTGTTATGATCATTGTTAATATTGTATTATTATTATTTTTATTATTATTATTGGTAATAACGTGCTTACACTACTTATATGGACAAACATAAGTAGTATATGGTTGAATTCGAAAGTAGTATGCTGACCAGTAGATGAGTGAAGTAAACAGAATGGGAAAAAAAAGAAGAGCAATCAGGATCAATACAGGGTCGAAAGAATGATGAATTATGTTAAGGACAACTGAACAATGATGTATTTAGTGAATAACTTTTATATTTTAAAAAGCTACTGTTTGATTTTGTATAAAACAATAGGTTGGTTTCCCTAACTGAGTTTTCAATCACTGCAGTAATAATGATAATAATAATGGCATCACTTGTTATCACCTTTTTTCTACATTACTGGCAATTGATGAAATGCAGATTCTTTTGATAGCACTGAGTTACAATGCCAGAATTTTTGGGATCCACTTCTCTGTCTCTAAATGCTGTTGTTGTTACTTCAAGACTGGACAGCGTCAACACCTGAACTAAATATAGGGAGTGAAGTAGTCGAACGCGTTGACAACTTCACTTATCTTGGATGTCTGATCAGCCCCAATGGGTTGGTGTGTGACGAAATCTGAGCACGGATTCACAAAGCTCGTTTGGCTTTTGCCAGTTTACGCCACCTATGACGAAGGCGAGATATCCGTCTATCAATTAAGGAACGAGTATATTGCGCACCAGTTCGTTCCGTTTTTATTTACAGTTGTGAAGCGTGGTCATTAAGAGTATAAGATAGTCATAAGCTACTAGTATTTGACCACAGATGTTTTAGAAATATTGCTCGCATCTGCTGCGATCACCGGATAAGTAATAGTGAGATTGGACGTAGGGTATTAAGGAATGATGGTAAATCAGTTAATGAGCTAGTGAATCTTCATTGACTGAGATGGTTGGGCCACGTGTTACGTATGCCTGAACACCGATTACCACGTCGTGCAATGCTGACTAGTGTTGGTGATAGTTGGAAGAAAGTCAGGGGTGGCCAAACGAAAACGTGGCATCAGTGCTTGAAGTCACTAAGTGCTAGTCTGAGCCATGTTGGTAGATGCAGACTACTTGGTTGGGATCCGCTGTGACTATCCTAACCAATGGTTGGAGACTCTTGGTGACATGGCTCAGAATTGATCACGATGGCTTTAAACAAATTAATTCTTTCTCCCTGTACTATGTCCTTATATGCAAACTTTCTTTTATACACTACCACCATTGAATTAACTACTTCTATGAATCCGGTGTCCATCTTGTTGTGTTAATGAAGTATGGTAACTTGAACCGATGCACATATGTGTACCTAGTCCTACAATGTAACTGACTGACTCATAAAATACTGGACAAATAGATTATTTGGAAATGTATATAACATATTCATTGAAAAAACAGTGAGTATTCTATATAACCTGATAAGTCTGTAAGTTCGATTCCTGATGTTGATATGAATGTATGTTGTTAAGTCATCTCATATTCTATTCATTCTTATATCATAGAAATGATAAATAATCAATATTGAACAATTTCTTTGTTTTCTTATTTTTTTTTAAATTAATTATAGTCAATTATAATTCGTGGAACATTGAATAATATTGCTGAATTAAATAATTATATACCGGCATATATTAATTTCTCTGCTCAAACAACAAGTAATCGTACTCAAGAAATTATTGAAAGTAAATTAGAAAAGAAAAAAAAGTATCTAATTGGTGCACCTCAAAATAAACAAATTATATTATTTATTGATGATTTAAATATGCCAAAACAAGATCAATATGGTAGTCAACCACCTATTGAATTATTAAGACAATATCAAGATTTTCATGGTTTCTATGATAGAGATAAATTAGAATGGATTAATATTCAAAATATGATATTATGTTCAGCATGTGGTCCACCAGGTGGTGGAAGAAATTCAATTACTTCAAGATTAATAAGACATTTTGCTTTATTTGTTATACCTTCACCATCAGAAATAAGTTTAAAACAAATATTTTCTTCAATTATTAATGTAAATAATCCGAATGAGTTTTGTGGAGATTTTTTTAGAAATTTTCACCGATTGAAATCATGAGTCAGTTGAAGCTAGATCACCATTGAAAATCTGGAAGCACTGGACGGCTGTTTTGTCCTAGTATGTGACTTCTAAGCAGTGCGTATCTACGATTCCGCACCACACGTGGCTCGAACCTAGGACCTACTGGCTTCGCGCGCGAGCACTTAACCACTAGACCACTGTGTTAATGTTTAACTTCAATTAATCCATGAAGTTGCGCCACCATACACCATTGTCTTCAGTGAGTTTCTATCTTACAACAGACCTGGTTGAACTCCACTGGTAACAGCTTCTCATGAAACGGCCGTCCAGTGCTTCCAGGTTTTCAATGGTGGTCTAGCTTCAACTGACTCATGATTTCAATCTGTGAAATGTAAATAATGTTATTTTTGAAATAATCACTTTTGACGTGATACTAATTAATAGACGATTCAATTAGAAGTATGTAAGAGATTTTAAGGTTATGGCGCCAATTTCAGTGCTTGTACAAAACGTGATCATTGAACGGCTATAACAAACAAAAAAACGGCGAGATTATAATTTGTGGACGAATCAATCAGGTATAAGATAATAGATCTCGGATTTTAACGCGAAAGACTTTCATCCATTTGGCTAGATAAATTTCTGGCATTATAGTTGATGTCTGTTCGTCATGAAAACCTTATATATAATTCCTAACTGAGGCAAATTATGACAATTATTGCGAACCGGATAATAAAAGCACCAGTAACACTGGCTACAATCAGGTACTACAATATATACGGATGATTGGAGAGCGTACGGACTCCTACATAGACTTGGTTATGTGCATCGTGTGGTTATCCACAAGTAGCATTTTGTGCACTCAACAACCGGAGTGCACACTAACAATATTGAAGTTATGTAGTCGAGGCTGAAAGAGTATGTGAGACTTTATTATGGCTCCAGAGACCGACTATTCTGTAGCCGTATGGATGATTTCCTTTACCGTATGCATTACGATTTCAGGACCTCTGTACCGCTTTTTAACCGTGACAAGTTTTTGAACCACGTATAAGAAGTGTATCCATTTTATTTCCTTGGTTTTGTATAACACAGTTTTACTCTATACTGACTGTTTGCCGATTGGCTAATATTTCTCAAGTTCACTTAAGATTCGTTCAAATGCCGTCCATCAATTAGAGTCTCCCAATCATTTTTTTTTACACAATCACTTTTCATTACAATTTACCAGTCATTCTTTTTTATTCTGATCATTGTTGAACATTCATTTATATATATTAAAACATATGGTAAGCTATTAGTGAATTCCTATAAGTAAACTCGGACTAACTGTCTTCACTTTCTGCCTTCTGAAATGATAATTAATGATTGAACGGAATTTATGCAGTTATTGCTTGGAAGTTAATTGAATTCAGTTCAGTTATTTCATATTTTGTGGTTGAACTCCCTAGACGGTCAACATCGAGACCAACAAGCTGGATTCCGTAAGAATTGATCGTGTACTGACCAAATCGCAAAACACTATGGATCATTGTGGAACAATCAATTGAATGCAATTCATCACTCTATATCAACTTCATTGACTACGAGAAAGCATTTGATAATGTGATAAGGACAACACTATGGAGGCTACTTCGACACTAAGACGTAACTGAGAACATGGTCAACGTCACACGGAATTTTTAAGATGGATTAAACTGCAAAGTCGTGCATGGAGAACAGTCGACAGAATCGTTCGAAGTAAAAATCGGTGTCAGACTAGGTTGCTTACTCTCACCCTTTCCATTTCTCCTGGTGATCAATTTGATCATGAAAACGTCAACATCTGAAGGGAAGCACAGGAAACAGTGGACATCTAGGATGCAGCTGGACCATCTAGACTTCGCTGATGATCTGGCTCTTTTGTCGCAATCGCGACAACAAATGCAGGAGAAAACGACAAGTGTAGCAGCAGCCCCAGCACCAGCACGTCTCAACATACACAAAGGGAAAAGCAAGATTCTCATACACAACACAGCATGCAACAATTGAATCACATTTGACGGAGAAGCTTTGGATTGTGTAGAAACCTTTACATATCTGATCAGCATCATGGTGGATCAGATGCAGATGTGAAGGTGCGGATCGGCAAAGCAAGAACAGTATATATACAATTGAAGAACATCTGGAAATCAAAACAACTGTCTCTCAACTAACACCAAGGTCAGCATTTTCATTACAAATGTCAACACAGTTCTATTGTATGGGGTGGAATTCTGGAGAACTACGAAAGCCATCATCCAGAACAGACAAGTGTTTATTAACAGTTGTCTAGGTAAAATACTTCAGATCTGTTGGCTAGACACTATCAGTAACAACCTACTGTGAGAAAGAACAAATCAGATTCCAGTGGAGGAAGAAATCAGGAAGAATCGCTGGAAGTGGATAGTACACACATTGAGGAAAGCACCCAACTACGTGCGTCACAAGGCAAGCCTTTACTTGAAACCCTTAAGGCCAAAGGAGAAGAGGATGACCAAAGAACACATTACACAGAGAAATTTAAACAGATATGAAAAGATTGAGCAACGATTAAATAGAACAAAAAAGTAGGGCCCAGGACAGATTGGGTTGTAGAATGCTGGTCGGCGGCCTATACGTGATTGAGAGTAACAGGCGTAAGTAAGCAACTAATATTTTGTAGTTTGTATATATTAGTTGAAGGCTCTAATATACCTATGGCATACGTATTATAGTTAAGAAATAAACAACAATCAAATAGGTATACTGTAATATCAGTTGCTAGTACATCAATCGTCTGGTATAACGTAACTGTGGTAAAACAGTTGACTAACTTGTACTTATTAATTTAGTCACATAATTAATTATCCAGATTATCAGTATTCAGACTATCTAACATTAGAAATTAAAACTCATAGTATAAAGATATTCATCATAAAATTCAAAAAGTAACCTTTGATGGTCGACTGTAAGAAGCAAATGAGAGTTTTATTATTAATCTCGCGTAAATAGTCTTAGCCATGTTGATAGATTCAGACTACTTGGTTAGGGGCCGCTGTGACTATCGTAAACAATGTTTAGATATTGTAGGTGACATGGTTCAGAATCGATAATCATGGCGTAGGTGTATACACACTCTATCTTCCTTTACACTATAATATTAAGATCGCTTCATATCTTTCTTTCTAAGAACTATTTCTTTCTTCCCGTACTATATCCTTATACACAATCTTTCGTTTATATATTATCACCTCTGAATTAACTACTTCTATGAACCCGGTGTTCATCTTGCTGTGCTAATGAGGTATGGCAATTTGGACCGATGTATATATGTGCCTGGTCCTACGTTGTAGCTAACTAACTGACTGAGGTAGGATTTATTCTCCTCTGACATCTTTAATCACTGGTTTGAATGATTTCCTAGTGATTAATTGATAATTGAAGTGGAGGATTTTTAAAAACAAAAACTAAGTTTCATTTATATTAGTTCAAGCAACATGATAGTGACTTAATTTCATGTATCCATACATAAATTTTCATTGAATTACTTTTGTAATTTTTTTTCTCTTCTCAGGGTTATCTACTTGAATTTCCTCAAGGTGTCCGTAGTGTTGGTGATTCAATTGTTAATGCAGCTGTTGAAATATATTCTAGAATGGCTAAAGAACTATTACCAACCCCAACTAAATCTCATTATGTATTCAATTTAAGAGATTTGTCAAAATGTATTCAAGGTAAGGAAAGGAGTAAATATTCGATTAGATCTGAGGAGAACTATATCTACAAGTTTTTAAAAGCTGCAGCAACAATAATTTGGAAGACTCTCCCGGCCTCTCACATTGTACGAGCATTCCATGTTCATAAATAAATGGTTGATCTGGTTATCTAAAGTGACATCAGCCTCATGACTTCCGAAGGAACTCGGCTTTCACTATAAGGCATCATAACTCTTCTAAATGATGACCTTCTAACTCTCAGGGCATAGTTTAGATAGTTTGAATTTTTTTCTGGTTGGCGTTTTTTTTAGCAAGTTAATTTTCTATGGGATGAGGTCGCTAACCCCATGTCCAACCCTCCTTCTTTATCCGAGCTTTAGACCGGCACTATCCCTAGAGGGGCTTCAGACGGAGTTTAAAAGCTGATTCTATCAAAATACAATATCCGATTCTGTGTTCTTTATACTCATTAACCATAATTTTGAACCTTCTAGTTGTTTGACGTAGAAATTGTTTTTACGTGAACAGACACTGAAAATCTATAAAAGTGTTTTATTAAATGTCTTTAGTGTTTTCTTTCCTGAATAAATAAGCACTAACATACTACTCAATAATTATCAGTGAATTTCAGAATGAAATAAACATCTTTTCGTACCAATTACTATCAATGTTGTCTATTGAAAGTCTGTAGTGGCTGTGCTTCGTTGACCAATCACCTTCGTAACCGTTACCATATAATCGTCAACGCTGTTTGAAATCAGAAGGCAAAGAGAAGCAGCGACTACAGTTTTATTTGCAAATAACTCAGACCACAAAGCAGTGAGGCGAATGAGTGAGTCAGCAAACCGAGAGAGTGTAGAGTGTTAAATGTACATGTAATATATAGGGAAATGAATGGATCATCGAATCAGTTAAGCAGCTAATGATAAAGCTAGCAGAATGAATATATATACGTAGGAGGTAAGCAATGTTCAAGCATACACATATTTCATACAAGCACAACAATAAGAAAGGTACAATAAGTTGTTATGGTACGGATGACTGTGTCCACTAAATAAGCTAACAGAAGGGCTTGACCGAATTAAATGAGAACAAACTCAATTGCACGTGAGGGTCTATGGGTTTATCTTTCTAGAATAACAAAAATACATTAAGATAAAATGTTTGAAGCAATGCATCAGTTAACAGAGCTGTACGATCATGTAGAAGAGAAGGGGGTCAATGAGGTTTTCCGTGAAAAATACAGAAAACTAAGATGAAATCATTGTAATACTTTGTGATTTACTGTAACAGATTATTCATTTTTGTATGCTATATTCTAACTGACCAATAAATGTGTCATGATGTTCACATTAACAACGTTAAAGCGATATGAGGTCACCACCTTACACAACATTTAGTTTAACATACAAATTCTCTACTACAGAGTCTTGTCTTATGTAATCTGTTTGTCATTTGAGATTTGTTAAATCGATTCAATAATCAGATTATCAGTTCAATCTCCTTGGTCATCATTTGAGTATGCTTTATAATCTACTGAACTCTTATAATAATTAGCATTGTGGTGTGTATTACTGATGTCGACAGATATAAGTAGTAAGTATTACTAATAGTATGTGGTATGCTTAGCGGCAAAAGGTTAAGAAGATCGAAGAGAAGAGAACGAGAACAGAGAATGATTGGTATGGAAATGAAGGAACAATAAAGTATGAGACAATTGATAGATATTTTGAAAATGAAGTATTACCACTATGGTTCTCAGATTTTACTACCAGATTCCATAATTCAATATTCAAGTACTTTTTGTTCTCGTTCACTACAGTATTACTATAAGTGTATAAAATATAACGTAACCTTCCCCACTAAGTGATATCAACATTGCCATTGTGATGTATGCTACTTATATCTGTCGACATAATAAGTAGTATGTAACACCAACCGAAAGCTAAGATGATCAAATCGAAGATAACGGGAACAGAGAATCATTATTATGACAATGAACGAACAATGAAGTTTAAAACAATTGATGATGAATTTGTAAATGAAGTACTGAACGTATGGTTTTTCATATTTGATGAAAGAACTCTTTAATTTTATATTAAAATATAATTGATTGTCCCCCACCTATATTTTTTGTTCATTACACTATCACTACAGATGAGGCCTGAATAGAAGTAATCGTAGTTAGTATCACAAGGGTTTTTGTGGCTATTATAGTAATTTCAATAGTTGAAATCATGAGTCCATGGTGGTCTAGGTTCAATTGACTCATTATCTCAACTAATCATAATTAGTATCAGAAGGGGTTTTGTGGAGATTGTAGTAATTTCCATAGTTGAATGCACACTGCTGAGGAGTCCCACAATAGGACGAAACGGTCGTTCAGTGCTTCCAAGTTTTCCATGATGATCTAGCTTCAATTGACTCATGATCTCAACTATAATTAATATACTGAATTCATCTATCATTATTATATTTAATTTTACAGGCGTTTTACAAGGTGATGTAAGTGTTATCCGTAATAAACAATCAATTAGTCGATTATTCTATCATGAAGCTCAACGAGTATTTCATGATCGATTAATTAATCAAGAAGATAAAATGTTTTTCAATCAAATTCTATCAGAAATGGCATTGAAATATTTCGGTGAAGTAAGTCATCTTTATTTGTTTGTCTAGTCGGTCTTTATGATTCACGGTTTAATAGATTTTATATTTGAATATAGAATGATAACAGGAGAGACTCTAATTTATGAACGTGATAACTGAGCGGCTAATACAAATAAAAAACGGCGAGATTATAATTTGTGGACGAATCAATCAGGTATAAGATAATAGATCTCGGATTTGAACGCGAAAGCCTTTCATCCATTTGGCGAAATAAACTTCTGGCATTATAGTTGATGTCAGTTCGTGATGAAAACCCTATATATACTTCCTAATTAAGTCAAATTATGACAATTATTGCGAACTGGATAATAAAAACAGCAGTAACACTGGCTGCAACCAGATACTACAATATATACGGATGGTTGGAGAGCGTACAGACTCGTACATAGACTTGGTTATGTGCATCGTGTCGTTATCTACAAATAGCATTTTGTGCACTCAACAACCGGAATGCACATAAACAATATTGAAGCTATGTGATCGAGGCTGAAAGAGTTTTTGCGACCTTATCATGACTCCAGAGACCGAGTATTCTGTAGCCGTATGGATGATTTCCTCTACTGTATGCTTTACGATTTTAGAATCTCTGAACCTCTTTTTAACCTTGACAAGTTTTTGAACCACGTATAAGAAGTGTATCCATTTTATTTCCTTGGTTTTGTATAACATATTTTTACTCTATACTGACTGTTTGCCGATTGGTTAATACTTATCAAGTTCACTTAAGATTCATTCAAATGCCGTTCATAAATTAGAGTCTCGCCTGATAATATAGTTCCGTTGATCTCTAACATTTAATCATAGTTTTATTATCATTAAACTGGAATTTTTTATATACAATAAAAATAGTGTGTCGTTAATTGATGGTTACCTTATTGTTATTCATTATTCTCTGCTTTCATCTACTTTAATACATATCTTACTTAATATATTGTCTTTCTTCATGATGATGGTTACTCTTTGTAAAGATCGTCGAGTTTCATAGTTTATAACACGAAATGACCCTCAACAATGATTGTGAAAACCAAGAAGTACTAGCTAAATGGGACTCGTTGTGAGTTCACATCTACGATATTAACATATATCAACCCCATGACTATAAAGTCTCTCAGGAGGAAGTGTGTATTATTGAGTCGGTATCCAGTGATTTACACCTCTAAAGACTATCCAGTGCTTTTTGGCCTTCAACAGTTGTTTAAATAAGGCCAGTTCTCAGAATAAGCTACTCATCCCTTATTTTTCCATGTGTAAGAGATAAGGTAATTTAAGTGTCTTCAAGAAATTATTTCAGTGGTTTACAGTAAATGTACATCAAAAGATGAAATAGCGATTATGAAGGTAGAAGTCGTTTAATGCAACAAAATGAGATACTTGTTTACAGCCAAATTAATACAAAATAAGGACTATTAAAATTCGTTTGAAAGTCGAATGTTTATTGAATTCGGATTTGTAGGTCATCTATGAGCCAACAAATATGAGGTTTTACAACCAGGACCATTTATTCCCCACATTTTCAATGACCAATCTGAAACCCATAGTTCTCCAACATTGCCACTTCCACCAGCCTTTGGTGTGGGATTTTGGTTCACAGTGTGATGGCGTGACCTCAGAAGGTGCTGTCCCATGGGAACGAGTAACTGAGCGTTGCCTCAAGATCATAAAGCCTGCATAGAGTTGATGTCTTTAGATTCTCCTAGTAGAACACCTTTTATCTGCCAGTCTGGGTTAAGAGCCCACATTCACCCCTCAATTTTGTTGAAGTACCTTCGCCAAGTAAGGGCAGTGAATATGGGTTCCTAGGAAGAGAATTTTGGCTGTTTATGGTTTATTGTGGCAATTGAGACGACCTACTAATGAGTAATATAATACTTTGTCAGGGTTTAGTGACAACATCTTTTGCTGGTTGTTTACCTATCCGCAATCATCAGTTTTACCATTATTCTGTTTCTTAATTGCCCATTAGTCAGAAGTATAGCTTTCAGTCTCATAACAAGAAATTCAGTCGTAAATTTCGAAATAATTTCAGAAGAGGTTTTGTGGATATTATAGTCAGTCAGTCAGCCAGGACCAGGCACATATATGCATCAGTCCAAATCGCCATACCGCATTAGCACAACAAGAAGAACACCGGATTCATAGTAGTTAATTCAGTGGTGGTAATATATAAAAAAAATATTGCATATAAGGAAATAGTAAAGTAAGAAGGAATTAGTTCGTAGAAAGCGATTTTAATCTCTTAGTTTATGGGAAGACAGGGAGTGTATACACTGACGCCCTTGTGATCGATATTGAGCCATGTCACCCAGAGTCTCCAGCCATTAGTTATTATATTCAATAGTTGAGATCATGAGTCAGTTGAAGCTAGACCATCATGGAAAACTTAGAAGCACGGAACGGCCGTTTCGTCCTCTGTAGGACTCGTCAGCATCGCGCATTCACGATCCCGCCTCGTGAGATTCGAAACCAGGACCTATCAGTCTTGCGAACGAGCGCTTAATCTCTAGAATAAATAACATGTCTGTTTATTAGCCAAGTTATCATTATTTCTCAATACACAGAAATTATTAAATTCCAAGATTGATTTATCAGTCATGTAACTGAATTCGGATTGATTAAAAATGTTTAGCTCAAAGTGTTGACATCAAAATGAATTTAAACTCAACACCTTTTATTCTCCGATTGTCCCTTGTTACTTGCTTACTTAATTACTTACGCCTGCTACTCCTAATGAAGCATAGGCTGCCGACCAGCATTCTGCAACACACTCTGTTCTGGACTTTCTTTACTAGTTCTATCCAATCGTTGTTCAATCTTCTCATGTCTGTCTCCATTTCCCTGTGTAATGTTTTCTTTCGTCTTCCTCTCTTCCTTTCGCCTTGAGGATTCCAAGTGATGAGGGTTTGCCTTGTGACACAAGTAGTTGGGTGCTTTCCTCAATGTGTATCCTATCCACTTACAGCGATTCTTCCTGATTCCTTCCTCTTCCGGAATCTGGTTTGTCCTCTCAAAAAGTAGGTTGTTACTTATAGTATCTGGCCAACGGATCCGAAGTATTTTGTGTAGACAATTGTTAATAAACACTTGTATGTTCTGGATGATGGTTTTCGTAGTTGTCCGAGTTTCCACCCCATACAATAGAACTGTGTTGACGCTTGTACTGAAAATGCAGATTTTGGTGTTGGTTGAGAGACAGTTGTTTTGATTTCCAGATGTTCTTCAATCGTAGATATGCTGCACTTGCTTTGCCGATCGGCGCATTCACATCTGCATCAGATTCGCTGTTCTCATCAATTGTACCCTGTACATGATATCATTTCATAATGATAAAAGAATCAAAACCTGCTTTTTGTTCCAATATGACTTCTTAGTTAGTAGAATGATAAACGAGTTTTTCGAAGCCTAATTTTAAAAAATTAAGCGGCGTCAAATCTCAAGTTAGTTGTCTTGGAGATGTATTTATTGGAAATCTAGTATGAAGCAGTAGTCAGTTGAGCCAAATATGTTAGTAGTGAAAAAAGTGAATTACCACGCTGTTGGTTTACGGAACACATCAAATGACTAATTCATTGAAATTAGAAAACTCAATTATTGGATTCAAATTCAGTCATTTAGATGTTATCTTATCTGTCTTGTAAGTAAAAGTGTTCAGTATCAAGCAGTCACAAAGTTTGATTTAAAAGAAATCGTCCACTGTAAACCTGGGTTTTTTTAGTGAGTAACCGACCAGTTAATACTGGCTCTTGACAAAAATTAATCTTTAAAGTACATAATTCTATCCAAAGATTCACTTGGTGTTGTTTACTTGTATATTCTCATTGTTATTTAGGACTGCAATTGATCATTCTCTTGTTGGCATATGTAAATCTTGTGCGGACTGCCTCGATATCGCCCGAAGTCACAAGCTTTATAAGCGAAAATGGATAATGGCTAGCAATGAAATCCAGGACAAAGGCCTCATCCTATTTGAGACTGGTCAGCTGGATGTACCTGTATCTCAGAGTTGGTATTCACTCGTGCGGGGTCTCGAACCCAATACCATTTGCTCCTAACTCCGTCGCGTTATCCACTTAGCTACTGGGTCCTAAAGCATTTAAAGCGAACGGTACTGGGTTCGAGTCCCGGAGTGAACATCAACTCTGAGAAACAGGCACATCCAGCTGACGAGTCCTAAATAGGATGAAACATGCATCGAACTGGATCCCACTGCTAGCCACTATTCATTTTTGCTTATCCAAAGAGTGTTTGAGTAAATATTAAATTAATTCGTTTTTTCTTAGACTATAGAAGCAGAAACATTTACAAAGCATCCAATTTTATTTGGTGATTTTCTAAGACCTGGTATTCCACGATCTGAACGATTATATGAAGAAATAAATGATATGGATAAACTGAAATCATTGTTAATGGATGTAAGTATAAAAGATTAGGAAGTGGGTTCTCTGAAATATTTGTTGTTTATTTCAATATTTCTTGTATATATTATTGTTTGGAAAGATCTATTTCATTAATGTGTTTATGACCTTCTGCTGTCTTAATTGCACGTCTTACATTCTGCAGTCTATGTATAGGAACAACAATAACAATAGGGGGCGAATTTGCATGCATATAACATACAATTCTCTTTGAACCTATCACATAACAAAAGCACCATGCACTGTCCCATCTCCCTTGGCAGATCAGGCAACTCAAAAGTCACGAGAACACCATTAGGACATACGACAGGCTAGGTACCCCGAGTCTATGTATATTTTTACATATTTTTCAGTAAAACAAAAACAGTAATCTGGTTGAAATAAGACAGTAAGATAAACTAATCGCAATTAAGATTGCAATTTGATGGTCACATTATAGCCAATTGTACTAAACGACCGGTTCATCCTAGTGTGGGACTCATCGGCAGGGAGAACCCACGATCCCGCACGCAAGACTCGAACCCAGGATCTTCGATCTTGAGCGCAAACGCTTAACATCTAGATCACTGAGCTGTGATCCAACGGTGTTAATATCTAACTTCAACCAATCCACGACCATCTTCCATAGTCTGAGATAGATACCTGTCTCTACCCGATCGGATTAGCTCTACTAGTTACGGCTTCTCACTAGAACTCCGAGAATCATCTCTCGAAGATAATCACTAGTGAGCACATGGTTATTGTCAACTTGGGGTTATGGAGATTGTTGGGTTTTCGATTCTCATCGACGGAGATGAAAATTTTTGAAAATTGTATTTCTGAACATTTACTTGTTAACACAACTTATATTACTGACGATTGTCTAAATGTTCAAACGTATACATACAGCTTGATAATTGTCTTTAGGTATCAGTTAAATGGGACATATTTAGGATAATGCAATGTATATCTCTAAAGGAAAGCCATATCTATTAAACACTACCTGAATACTTAAAAATGAACTTTCTATCTGGATGCATTTATACTATAATTATCATAAAACAAGAAATGGATATATGAAATCTCTTACTTAATGGCTGAATATACACATGGAAGGGAATTAATGCCGCTATTCATAAAAGAAACATTCAACCACTGTGGTATAACTTATTAAATAATAATGATAAAGATCATAAAACAACCAATAAGATCTCTATTAAGAAAAGTTTGGTACTAGCTAACAGTAGAATTCTACGCGTGACTCGTCAGATGAATGTGGTTTAATCTGTGTTGGTATTCACTCCAAGATTCGAGGACTCAGTGTCTTTCACTTCAAATGCTCAACACATTATCCACTAATCTTCTAGGTCCAGATAGCCATTGGTCTTACTCATCGAATCAATCAACTCAGGATAATATATATTTCAAATAGTTTAATGGATTGGAGTTCTTAACATCAATAACACATGAAATAATTGAGTGTTCTAACTGAGTAGATTTTCTGTTGTATTATTTATTAATCTTTTCTCTATAATCATATAAAAACTCTTCTGTAAAGATTTCATTTTAAATGCATCATTTCTATACAGTACTTGGATGATTACAATATGACAATGTCAAAGGATGTGAAACTTGTCTTCTTTGTCGATGCTATTGAACATGTTTGTCGTATTGCTCGAATAATTAGACAAGATAGAGGAAATGCTTTATTAGTTGGTGTTGGTGGTACTGGTAAACAATCATTAACTAGGTAAAATAAACGTCTTTTTCTTTAGTAGTGAATAATATAGATAACTGTTAGTCAGTAGTATATTATGGTAGTAGTGTAAACTAATCTGTATGATAGGTACTTCCAGTTACATGAATGACTCATTTAATTTGCTTTTTATTTGATGAAGTCTACGTATCAATTGAGATCAATATTGGAGGGTAGTGAATGATATTGTTCAGAAAAGACTACAGAAGTTCAAATGCATTCGTTCCTTCTCTCCCTCAAGATCTTGAGGTTCAGCAATCTTCCAAATGTACCTTTTTCGTTTTTTATTTTACAATCACATTGTCAGTGTTCGAACCTTTTCAATATGTTTGCTGCTACAATATTATGATTCCTTAGTCATCTTTCTTTTCGAAATCATCTTCTTGTGTTCATAGAAAATAGCAACTTGAACCAATACATGTATGTACTAGGCTCAGAGTTAATTATGACTGATTGACCAACTGAATACTGAAGCTTTTTCATGAACTTGAATGATCGTAAGAGTAGGTAATGAACTTGAATCACTGTCAAGTTAAACATATCAAATCGAGTGTAGTTTTGATGAGTGATGACTTGAACTAGTCAGTTACCCATTTAAAGACAATCTGTATGTTCAAATTACGATAGCTCACATAAGCACAGTGAAAGGAGATATTAATATAATTAGGACGAAAGGAAGTAAACGATAGCATGCATAACAGTAGAACTGGCGGTTTAATTTCAAAAGTCCTACTTTATTCTAATCGGTCAGTTAATTAGTCAATAGTGAGTCAGAAGATCTTAGATTCAACTACATTCCATTTTCGTTCCATTTTCTTGATGTTTTGATAAATATGAACTCCGCCTGGGGTCCCTCCGGGGGCTACTGCCGGTCCCAAGCCCGGATAAAGGAGGGGAGTTGGGCATGGGCTTGACGACCCCATCCCGTAGAAAACTAACCCGCTAAAAAAAACGTTAGCCAGAAAAAATTATTCAAACCTTGATAAATATGACTATTAACATTTTATTACATTTTGGTCATTTTTCCTTATGATGATGGAAATCAGATTGAATTAGTAGACATAATTGTGATATGATTATCAAACAAGCTGCTTAGGATCTTTCTAGTAGAGTTAGTTTATTCTTCACTGAATAGGAGGATATTACAGTTTTCATAGACTACAGGGAAGGGTGTCGTGTAGATAATCACTTCCATTCAGAAGTTCAAACTCTTACCTTATAGTGATTTGGTTAAATGTTCACAACTATGGTAAATGATTTAAAACTAATGATTATGTCTCATAGTTCTTAAAATGTTATTATTCGCCATCTCATTCGGGTTGGTTTAAATACTTGGATAGTTTCAATGATTCCAACGTTTCTGTTAATTACAGTATTCAAACATACCAATGAACCGGACAATATATATATGTATATATATTCTACTCTAGACTTAATATTATGTAACAGGTTGCTCTTTATTTCAATAAACGATCATTCTAACTCATTATCCGGTTCTCAGTCGTGAGTCAGAATCGCGTATCGGTGTTTCACGTAAACCCTAATCTAATGATCTGTTAACCTGATGTTTTATTTAGTATAGTGTTCTAATACACCTAGTCTATTATGTAATACACCACATCTTATCATCTGCTATCAAGCATTACTAAGACCCAACTCATAAAGTTGTCAGTTTACGTTAATTACCTTAATCCTAAATCTAAATGTAACTTCCGACTCTAAATTCTAATCGCAATCTCTTACATTAATCTATTAATCTCTTTTGATCTGAATAAGTAGATGAAATTTTTCTAGGTTACTTCAACATCAATTAAAGGTTGTCTCAAAATTATAGTCTCACTAGTTGTGACTTATCGGTTATGCTCAAGTTCTTAAATAAATGAATGGCAAGACTATAATCTATGGGCAAACCAGTCAGGTATACGTTAACAGGTCTCTGATTTCGGCGCGAAATTCACTCATCCATTTGGCTAAATACATTCATGGCATTATAGTTGATGTCAGTTCGTGATGAAAACCCTAAATCTAATCACCAACTGTAAATCGTAATTCTAATTCCTCACACAGGTTTATAACCCTCATTTGATCCTGATTATTAAGTAAATACTCTCAGGGTCAGTCTAGCGTCTCTCAAAGGTCGTCCACAAATTATAGTCTCACCGACAATCGTACTTCAAATCGAACTGAGGATCATCAGGTTTGATATTCAGCGTTTAACCTTCGGACTATTGAAGTAGTATTCGATAATTTACACATTTAACTTCAATCAATTCACGATATTAAATTCACATGGTATTGTTTGTTTGAATCTTCCGATTGATGTTTAGAACTGTAATTGATCAGTCTCTTATTGGTATATGTGCATTCTGTGCTTATTGCCTCGATATTGCCTTAATTCACAAGCATTATAGGCAAAAATGGATAGTGGCTAACAGTGGATAACGCGATGACGTCTGAAGTGAACGATACTGAGTTCGAGTCTGCTATGACCTTGAAGCGCTTTTACCCCGTCGATACTTTGTTATGACTTGACCTTGATCTGTCTAGTCGAGATTATGACTTTGGCGCAATAGGCTGAACGGTTTAACCTTGAGTCTAGTACGCGTCAGTTCGAGATGGGGTAGAGAGACGAAAACTATTCTACCACCTGATTGGCTGGTAAGCACGCTAGTAAGAGAAGACAAGACAGTTGGAACACTCTGAATTCGGATTAGTGCAAAAATGTACACAACGTACGATAATTTTGGAAAATACAATTATGTCCAAAACTGGGAATTAGGGTAGAAAATAAGGTACAAAATATTATGATTAAATTACAATAGTTTCGGAACAGAAAAGGGGTATGGCAATCAATGATACATCGAACGAAAGCTCATGTTCTGTAGAATAAAATAGGGACAAAAATAGATATGTGTTTTACAAGGTTTGAATAAAATGAAATAACGTCCCGAAAAATAGCTTTCGTAGTTTGTCTGGGCTTCTTATTTCTTTGTTCACAACAGAGTCTCAGAGTGAACATCAACTCTGAGATGTAGGTACATCCAGCTGACGAGTCCCAAATAAGACGAAAAGCGCGTCCTAGATTCCACTTCTAGCCACTGTCTATCTTTTCTTAAAATGCTTGTGACTTAAGGCTAGTATCGAGACAATCCGCACAGGATGCACATATCCCAACATGAGACTGATCAATTACAATCTTCAATAACAATGGGAAGATACAATTAAAACAACATCAAGTAAATTTAAACTTCACCTCATTGAACAAGTAAGTGGCTATCAGGACTCAACAGCTAAGTGGTTAACACGTTGACATTTGAAGCAAACAGTATCGAATTCGAGTTCCATAGTAAATATCAACTCTGAAACGTAGGTACATCCAGCTGATAAGTCCTAAATCAAACGAAACATGCATCAAACTGAATTCCACTTCTAATCACTATCCATTTTTGCTTATCATTCATAATATTGTTCATAATCTAACTTATCAAATTTATTGATTGAGATCATGAACCGATTGATGTTAGACCACCATTGAAAACTTGAAAGCATTGTACGGTCGTTTCGTTCTATTGTACTATACTCCTTAGCAATGTTCATCTACAATCCCACTCGTGGAATTCGAACTCAGAGCCTTCAGCTTTTGCGCGCGAATACTTAACCTATTAAACCACTGAGCTAGCCGGTCGGTATCCAATGATGTTAATATTTAACCTTAACTAATCCACAAAATTACTCAACTATATTCCATTGTACTATGGTAGATACATAGATTAACTCTACTAGTCACGGCTTCTCATGAAGCTAATCATTAGTGAACATATGATAATGATCGAATTTAATCATCTACATTAGCTATCTATTGTAATCATGATCTAATTTATCAAATTTATTGATTGAGATCATGAACCGACTGATGTTAGACCACCATTGAAAACTTGAAAGCATTGTAGGGTCGTTTCGTTCTATTGTACTATACTCCTTAGCAATGTTCATCCACAATCCCACTTGCGGGATTCAAACTCAAAGCCTTTAGTTTTTGCGTGCGAATACTTAACCTATTAGACCATTGGGCTAGCCGGTCGGTATCCAATCATGTTAATATCTAACTTAAACTAATCCACAAAATCGTGCAACCATATTCCATTGTACTATGGTAGATACATGTCTCTACCCGACATGATAATGATCACATGTAATCATCTACATTAATTGTCTATTGTAATCATTCATCGAATGTTTTTATTCTTTTTTTTCTTTTGAATATTTTAGATTAGCAGCACATATCAATGATTATCAATGTTATCAAATTGAATTATGTCGTGGTTATGATTATGTATCCTTTCATGAAGATTTAAAAAAACTTTATTATATCGCTGGTATAGATAATAAACCAACTGTATTCTTAATAACAGATAATCAAATTATTATAGAAGAATTCTTAGAAGATATTAATAATATATTGAATTCTGGTGAAGTCTCCAATCTATTCGATAATGATGAATATGAACATATTATTAATGATTGTCGGTTAGCAGCTAAAGAATATGGTATCATTGAAGGGAATCGTAATGGAATTTATGAATTTTTTATTAATCGTATTAAAAATAATTTACATATTGTATTATGTATGTCACCAGTTGGTATTAATTTTCGTATAAGATGTAGAATGTTTCCATCATTAATTAATTGTTGTATTATTGATTGGTTTATTGAATGGCCTAAAGAAGCATTATATAATGTTGCTATGTATACATTTTCACAAGAGGATTTTGGTTCAAATGAACTTAAAGTAAGTTATGGATTATTATTATTATTATTATTATGAATATGAATTTAAGTGAGTTATGGTATAGTCAGTTTTAATTATGTGTTATCCTAATCAGTTAGATTTTCAACAACAACGTAGAACATCGTCAGTATATACGTACATCAGTTCAAGTTGATATACCATATTAGAATAGAAATACAATTTCACTGATTGAAATCATGAGTAAATTGAAGCTAGACCACCACGAAAAACCTAAAAGAACTAGACCCCATCTCATAATAATCATCTGCTCATTAGTGATTAACTTCAAAAGATACTCTTGGAGTTCTTGTGAGAAGCCGTTACCAGTAGAGTTCAACCAGGTCTGTTGTGAGATAGGAACTCACTGAAGACAATAGTGTACGGTGGCGTAACTTCGTGGATTGGTTGAAGTTAGACATTAACACTGTTGGACGCAGGCTCAGTGGTCTAGTTGGTTAACCGCCTGGCGCGAGACTGATAGGTCCTGGATTCGAATCTCACGGGATGCGGGATCGTGTATGCGCACTGCTGAGGAGTCCCATACTAGGACGAAACGGCCGTCCAGTGCTTCCAGGTTTTCCATGGTGGTCTAGCTTCAATTGACTCATGATTTCAATCTGTGGAATTTCTAAAATCTCCACAAAACCCCCTCTGAAAAATACAGTTGTCAATTCAATTACAATAGTCGCAGAGGTAGTAAAAGTATAAGCAGTAACCGGAAACACTAAGTTTTGAAGATGTTATTCAAGGAGTATAATCCAGTGAAATAAAATTGGAAAGAGAAAACAAGGGACATGAAGAATTCATAAGATTAGAATTCGTAGGAACACAGAGTCGATGCACCTGCGCACACCATTACAAACTATTTTGAGCCATGTCATTTAAGGTCTATAATCATCGGTTGCTATCATCTCGCGGATCACAACTAGGTAGTCTACACCTACCAACATAACTCAGTCCACTTATCAGTAACTTAATGGATTTGTGCCACGTTTCGGTCTGGCCACCCTTAGCTCTCTTACAACTTACTCCTATACCATTGAGCATCGTACGTCGAGGCAGTCGGTGGTTGGGCATACGTAACACGTGTCCCAGCCATCTCAAGTGATGAAGTTTCACTACTTCATCAATCGATTTGCCATCCTTACCTAGTACCCGTTTCTTAACAACTGAATTACTTACTCGATGGTCCCAGGATATACGAGCAATGCTTCGAAGACACATATGATCAAATACTAGTAAACTACAAATATCCTCTACTCTTACCGGCCATGTTTCACTGCCATAAAGTAGGACAGAACGAACTGCTACGCAGTAAACCCGCCCTTTGGTTGGTAGACGGATATCTCGCCTACGCCATAAATGACGCAAGTTGGCAAAAGCCAGTCAAGCTTTCTGTAACGTTAATTGGCTAATCTGAATAATTCAATTATCTCAATGATTGGAATAAATAGTCAATAAAAAAACAGATAACACTCAATAGTTTATTTCAAATATTTGCTGGAATTAATTTAGTTACTCTGCCAGTTTGTTGATGTAGCCATTAGAACAGCATCTAAATTCTTCAAGAAAATGTTAAATAACATTTTCAAGAAATACAGAAGCATTAATCCATGTTCAATTGCTCAAAATCAATTCAGAATTTAACATAATAGTTGAATTCATGAGCCGATTAAAACTAGACTACCATGGAAAACCTGGAAGCATTGGATGGCTGTTTCTTCCTAGTATGGGTCTCCACGATCCCCCTTACGGGACCCAAAACCAACACTTTCGATCTAGCGCGCAAACGCCTGTGTGGTAGTTACTCACTGAAGACAACGGTGGAAGGTTGAGCGATATTGTGCATTGGTTGAAGTTAGACATTAACACCGTTGAATGCCTGCTCAGTGGTCTAAAGGTTAAACATTTTCACTCGAGACCGAAGGTTTTAACCTCGAGTCTCATATGCAAGATCGTGGATGAGGATTTCTGATTAGTTCCATACAAGTATGAGACTGCCGTCCAATACTTCAAGGTTTTTAATAGTGGTCTAACATTGATTAGTTGAAATGAGAATTTGAGAATTTCGGTAAGCAAAATAATTCTATTCCATATTATGTTAAAGGAAAATGTTTCTAGAAGCATAGAAAAGTTAGAATTACTGAATAACAATAATATTCTTACTCATTTTGAATATAACATTTAGCTCACTTGAATTCTATGGATTCCATGAAAATCATTAGGCTCTATATACATATACTGTGTATTGATTACTTTAAGTGTTTGATTTGCATTCTTCTCGTTTCCCATGTCTAAAAGGCAACCAGCAAATGTGAACGTGCTTACTAAGAGATTTGCAAGCCATGTGTTTGATTTCTTACAAAATTCTAGGTGAGCATTTTGCTATAGAGTTCTATACTAGAATGAAAATGTCATCCCTTATTTTTCTCTTTCCAAATTTATTTCACTGGATTAGACCCCATGAATAACATCTTCAAACACTAATGTTTCCGATTATTGTTTATACTTTTACTACCTTTACCACTATGAGATTTGAAGCGATAATTGTATCTCCGTTCTAATGTGTTATGTCAACTTGAACTGATGTACGTACGTACTTACGAAGTTCTATATTGTTATTGACTAATTGACTAGTAATTTCAATAGTTAAGATCACGAGTCATTTGAAGCTAGACCATCATGGAAAACCTGGAAGCACTGGATGGCCGTTTCGTTCTATTGTGGGACTCCTCAGCAGTGTGCATCCACGACTTCGCCCCCTGCTGGATTCGAACCCAGAACCTACTGGTTTCGCGCGCTAGCATTTAACCACTAGACTACTGAACCGGCCGGCATCCAACGGTGTTAATGTCTAACTTCAACTAATCCACGAAATTGAGCGATACATTCACCATTGTCTTCAGTGAGTTACTATCTCACAACAGACCTGGTTGAACTCCACTGGTTACTACTTCCTACTAGAACTCCAGGGTATACTTCGTGTTTCTGTCATAATGTCAGTCTATGATGTAAACTACAAACTTTTACAATAGTCATAAGTTTGTAAAGCTAATAGATTTTTTATTTATTTCTATTCTTAACAGGAATCTATATCAAAATTATCTACCGATATTCATTTAAGTGTTTCAGAGGCAGCTGTACGTTTTTATAATGAATTAAAACGTCATTATTATACTACACCGACAAGTTATTTAGAATTGCTTGGATTATATATGACAATGTTGAATAAAAAAACAAAGTGAGTTAGTTCATTCTAATTAATAAGTCAAAGATTATTAAAATTTACAATTGATTGATCACTGGATTAGTGATCCATGTCATGTATGTCAAGTTCGTCTTAGTGTAGATCAAACCCTATCTACCAAGTTGTAACTTGGTTCATACAGTTATAATTGTGATTATCATCAAACAATTGTTTATTTCTAAGAAAAGATGGATGATGGCTAGCAATGAGATCCAGGACACGCATTCCTAACCTATTTTGAACTTGTCAGCTGAATGTATCTGTATTGCAGAATTGATGTTCACTACAAGACTTGAAACTAGTATCGTCCACTTCAAATGCTATCATGTATCTCCACTTAGTTATTTAGTCATAATGGCTATTAGCTTGTGCAATCGGGTAATTCGGTGTTTTTATCACTCCCTAATGCATTTTCTTTCTCTTTTTTTGTCTAGAGAATTAACTGATGGCCGTGATAAATTTCGTAATGGTTTAAATAAAATATTAGAAACTAATGATTTAATTGCTAAAATGGAAACGGAACTAACAGCATTACGTCCAACACTTGAAGCAAAACAACGTGATACAGAAAAATTAATGATAAAATTAAGTGAAGATCAAGAACAGGTAATTTATTATATTCAATGTTAAATAGATAATGATATACAACAATAAGTCGTACTTCATTTTAAAACTTGAAACTTATCAATTAAATGTTGTTGAAGTTAGACATTAGCACCGTTGGATGCCGGCCGGCTCAGTGCTCTAGTTGTTTAAGCGCCTGTCGCGAGACTGATAGAGCCTAAGTTTGAACCTCGTGGGGACGGGGTTGTGATTGCGCACTGCTGAGGAGTTTTATACTAGGACGAAACGGCCGTCAAGTGCTTCCAGGTTTCCCATGGTGGTCTAGCTTCAATTGAATCATGATTTCAACCAGTGAAATTATCAATTAAGTATAAACATATCATTGTATATGTACTTCCAAAAAATGATATGACTTAATTACCTATTACGTAACCATAGCTACTGGTTTATCTACTCGTGATTGTCTATTCCATGTATGATCACGGGTATTCTACTCTGTGGACGCTCTAATTAAGATGAAACAATCATCCGCTTTCCTCTAAATTTTCATTGTTTACCACATGATATTAGTTTTTGATGAAGTATACCTTACGAATATTCATAAAATCATCTAGTTATTTTGTGTTGTTTTATTTTTCTTCAATCCTTCATTATCAGGCTGACATTGTTCGTAGTCGAGTTAAAGAAGATGAAATGTTGGCTAAACAAAAAGCAGCTGAAAATCAAATTATAGCTGATGATGCACAACGTGATTTAGATGAAGCAATACCAGCATTGGAAGCAGCTAATAAAGCACTTGATTCATTAGATAAAAATGATATATCTGAAATTCGTGTATTCACTAAACCACCACAATTAGTACAAACTGTTATGGAAGCTGTTTGTATTATGCTTGGACAAAAGTAAGAATATATATGTATATACAGTAACCGCGGCATACTTAACTGACATGATACTTGCTACTGGAATCATGAATTGGATAACTGAAGTAATAGATAACTGAAGATTATAGATAAGGATTCAACTGACTTCTAAGATAAATCAAAATGATACATGAATATACCACTATTTAAACATAATTTGTTTACAGTCAGATTTTTGATTGAGATCATGAACGGATTGAAATTAGACCACCATTGAAAACCTAGAAGCATCCAATGATGTTGATGCTGGCTCTGTGGTTCAGTAGGTTAAGCATATGCGCACGAGACTGAAGGCCCCGGGTTCAAATCCCACGAGCAGGATCGTGGATGCATACTTCAGAAGAGTCCCACAATAAGACGAAACGGCCGTCTAGTGCTTCCAGGTTTTCAGTGGTGGTCTAACATCAATCGGTTGATGATCTCAATCAAAAACTTAATAATCTCAACAACCTTTATACTGATACAGTCAGACTTATTTATACTAAACTGAACGGTATTTAACTCCGAGTATTTAATAACTTTCCATGTTAATACATTTACAATATAATACAATTAAACATACAAAACTAAAAGATGCAACTAAATGACCAGGTTATACAATCACTCCTTCTTAAGATTTGATTACATGGTAATAACGATTGGAAAACAACTTTATATGTCGTTGACACTGTAATACATTAGATAATTCTTTACCATATCAATGCACTTTGTCGGTTTTACTTGGAGAACAACAGTCAACAAGTAGCACGCTATTTATTTCTCCTACTTGAACAGTTGGATTTCGATCTGTCATTCAGTCACCAATCTAAGTGATCAGAAGTTATCCGGGCTTACGACCGGTAGTAGCCCCAGAGGGGCTCGAGACGCATCACACTTGACAGAGATTTGGAGGATCTAAAGATTTTTACAGATCTGGGCAGCATCAATGATGAGCATGCTGGATCTGATGCAGATGTGAATGCACGGATCGGCAAAGCAAGAACAGTATATATACAATTGAAGAACATCTGGAAATCAAAACAATTGTCTCTCAACCAACACCAAAATCAACATTTTCAATACAAATGTCAACACAGTTCTTTTGCATGGGGTGGAATCTTGGGCAACTACGGAAACCATCATCCGGAACAGACAAGTGTTTATTAACGATTGTCTACACAAATACTTCGGATCCGTGGGCCAGACACCGTCAGCAACAACTTACTGTGTGAGAGAACAAACCAGAATCCAGCAGAGGAAGAAATCAGGAAGGATCGCTGTAAGTGGATAGGATACACATTGAGGAAAGCACCCAACTGCGTGCGTCACAAGGCAAACCCTCATCACTTTAAATCCTCAAGACCAAAGAAGGAGAGGATGACCAAAGAACACATTACACCGACAAAAAGGAAACAGATATGAGAAAAATGAATAACAATTGGATAGAACTAGTAAGGAAGGTTCAGAACAGAGTGCGTTGTAGAATGCTGGTCGGCAGCCTATGCTTCATTGGGAGTAGCTGGCGTAAGTAAGTAATTAACTAATAGTAATTTGATAGTTGAGCTCATGAGTCAATTGAAGCTATACCACCTTGAAAAACTTGGAAGTACTGGACAACCGTTTCGTCCTAGTGTAAAACTCCTCAACAGTGCACACTCATCTAACCAAATAATTTGTTATATTTCACCTAATCATTTACCATTATTATTATTATTTCCATTTAGAGGTGATTGGGCAACAGCTAAAACTGTATTGAATGATTCCAATTTTTTAAGAAAATTAGTTGAATATCCAAAAGATGATATAACTGATGGACAATTGAAAAAATTAAAAAAATTTATTGATAATCCTGAATTTATACCAGAAATTGTTGAAAAAACAAGTAAAGCTTGTAAATCAATGTGTATGTGGGTTAGAGCATTGAATTTATACGCTCATATATTTCGTACTGTGGAACCAAAAAGGAAACGGTATGATCATATTCTTAGATTTTTTTGTTTTAATATATATATATCTTTAGACTGTTTTGTTGGTTGATCGATTGATTGATTGATTAGTTGATTTACTGATTGGTTGATTGATTTATTGATTGGATGATTGATTGGTTAGTTGGTTGGTTGATTGATTTATTGATTGATTGGTTGATTGATTGAATAAATCATTGATTTTGTTGTATTAGGTTACTTTCCTTTTCCTTCTTTGAAATATTTCCAAAAGTTAAATATTACACTTTAATACCAACTATCTTGCTATTGTTCTTGGAATAGCATTAGATAAGTGATGTGTGTGAGAGAATAGTAATGATTGGGTGTTCGCTTCGTCAGACATGTAGATAGTCGAACCGGTGTCAGATGAGTTATATATTCCCCTATCTTTATTATTATAACTGACTCATTATTGATTGTTCATTGTTGTTAGATTGTGTCGGATTTTTGGTGTGGAAATATATTTGAGCTGTGGTCAGGCTAATCACGTGTTCTTGATCTGAGACGTGTCAAAGTCCTGTAGAATAGACACCGGGAGGGAATCTTGTGTAGATATTCGTTTAAAGTAAATTAACGTCCCATACGTATAAACGTGGAAAACCAACCGCTATAACAATAAGATATGAACTGAAGGTAGTAAAATCAAGCCTTGGGTTTATTCAATAATATTTATAAAAGTACTGACTTGAAATAGTGAAGTACTGAAAATTATCTATGGTAGAGTCTAATAAAATGAAAAGTTCTTGATTACTAGTATGCTAGACTAAAAATTCATACAACTACAAATTGAAATGATGAAGGTTTATAACTTAGGTGAATCTCTTTAGTAGGATTGGGTTTGTTTGAGCTAAATGATTTAATTATGAAGCTTTAATTATCATCCTTATCCAATGTAGAAATGAGCTTTTTGATTACTCCATAGGCATTGAGTATTCTCGTATTCCCGTTCAATGCTTCGTTAGGTCAACCTTCCAATTTGCGATTGATTGTTCTTCTCGACATAAATTGTTAAATTGAATGTATATTTATGGGTGTGCTGATTACAGATTGACATGAACCTCGTGCTTTAAGAGATTTTCGTTTATTCTTGGGATTTTCCCGACCTATTGATTACGCATCCATGTAGTGTCTTAAACTGTCTAATATACCCTAGTATCCTATTTAAAACTACCTCATTCTCTTACTTCCAGATTGTAATCAGTTAATGTTTGTGTTGATGACGTCGTTCAGAAGAACGATGATAGATCCACGACCAAACCATCCAGCTCAGAGAATAAAACTCCATAAAAAACAGAAATATAACATTTGTTGATCCACGGCATAGTTGATTTAACTCATAATAATCAGTTATGTATATCTATAACAGATAGATAATGTATGCATCATTTTTTCAAATTGTTGTAATGGGCATGGTCTGAAACTGATACTGATATATGGTGTGCTACGCGAAAAAAAACCCACCTCCACAAATGATTATTTGAGCAAGAACATAACAGTGAGCGAGAAAGTATCATTGTCTACCGAATAAAATGCACAAAAACTCTCTTGCTTGCTCTATATATATATATATATATATATATATATATATATATATATATATATATATATATATATATATATATATATATATCACTCTAATCCTTATAAAATCGATCCATTGCTTATTCAATGAAATGAACTTGTTCTTTAGGTCACATTTGATTACCATCGATGGTCCTTCTCATTAGGCTACATTTTTTTATTATTTACAAAAGACATACATATGTATATCTAGAGTCTTTAACTAAGGAAGTTAAGTGAAATAACCCTAAAGGAATCATAGCAACAGGATTGTATTCACTCGTAACCTCTTTATTAATTTTTATTCTTTCATCTGTTCCTTGATGTTTAATTTTACATTGCATTCTATACTATTCCTCTTTATCTTATTACTACTATGGTTTGGTTGTATTGTTTAATGTAAGTTCTGCTGCATTATTTATCCAAAATATCATAGTGATTAAAAACACAAAAATAGGGATAGCCAGACGTATTTGGATGAAAAATTACAGAGTTATTTGATAAAATATGAATACTATACGTTCACTAATTGATTTGTAAAATGTCCATTAATTTTCCCACAATTTATTGTTCTTTCATTTGCATACCAATTACTTTCCCCGACCGTTGTTGGTGGTCAAGCTTGCCTATCATGATGAACCAATAGAGCTATACTGGCTACAATAATCGTTCCTCAAGGTCCTAACATGCCAGACAGATCGATTAAAGAGCGGTAAGACTACAAGCAACAAACCCAAGATCCGAAGGCGAAGTCGTATTGCTGACTGTACAGAGGTGTGACAGCAGTAAGGTGTTTCCTTCAGACAGCCAGTATAACAGCGATTCTACCTTCCCACAAGGAGGGGTGGGGTTAGAAATGGTCGACCCTAGAAATGCACACCTCACCTTATCCCATGGATATCCGTCTCCAGCGGTAAGGTCTCAACAAGTACAGAGTCAAACCGAAAATTACTCACAACAAGGTCGTGTATGACTGACCTCAAGCAGTTGTCCCTTGGACATTGCGGTCACGCTCTCAGGTCACTAAGGCCACCTCTAATCCAATTTTCTTCTCAGGTACCTTCGGAAGAACCCTTCCACGGTGTCGGTAACTGGGAAGTGATAACCACCTTCATACCTCTAACAGCACTGAAGACCACTCCATTCATAATCAACCTCCCTCTTGTCCAATTACTTTCTGTTCCCATTCTTTTTTATTTGATCTCAACCATCTACTACCAGGCATTCTATTTCTCACTAACATTTTATACTACTTATTTTTACATAAGCAGCGCAGACATACCAATTACTCTCTTTCCCTGTTCAATTTTCTTTGATTGTCTCAAACCTTCTGTTACCATGTGTTCCAATTTCAAGTGGTGTTACATAGTACTTATATTTGTCGACACTAGTAGCATACACCACAATACCATCTAGTCTATAAATAACTGATTGTTTGTATTTGTTTTTTTTGTGTGGAAAGAACAGACTACAGTAAAACAAAAACAAGGATATTGATGTCTGACCTCAACCAATCCACGAAGTTGCGCGACCATCTTCCATTGTACTGAGGTAGACGCCTGTTTTTACTCGACATGGACTAGCTCCGCTGGTCACGGCTTCTCGCCAGAACTCCGAGAATTTTCTCATGAAGCTAATCACTAGTGAGCACATGGTAATTATCAGTTTAGATGGAGTGTGGAGATTGTCAAGTCTTTTTTTAATTAAGATCATCAATCGATTAATGTTAGACCACCGTTAAAAACCTGGAATCACTGGACGGCCGTTTTGTCCTATTGTGGAACTCTTCAGCAGTGCACATCCATGTCGGGTAGAAACAGGTATCTACTTCAGTACAATGGAAGATGGTCGCTCAACTTCATGGATTGGTTAAGGTTAGACATTCACATCATCCATCCAGTAGGTTAAGCGTTCTCACGTAAGACTAAAGGCCCTGGATTCGAATCCCGTGAGCAGGATCATGGATGCGCACCGCATCATCAATCGGTTGATGATCTCAATCAAAAAATAAAACTTAACAATCTCTACACCCTATCTTAATTGATAAAAACAAGGATAGTTTGTCGTCCATATTTACAGTTCTCTTCTATTTCTTTCTATATTTTAGTTTAGAAGAAGCAAATGCCGATTTAGATATTGTCATGCGTAAACTTCAACAAAAACAATTAGAATTATTCAATGTCGAAGAGAAAATTACATTATTACAACAAGAATATCATCAATCAATGAATGAAAAAAAGAAACTAGAACAATATTTAACCTTAATATCAACTCGATTAAAACGTGCTCATAAATTAACCACTGGTTTAATGGATGAACAAGATCGTTGGAAATTCTCTATAGAACAATATAATATACAATTAAATCATATTATAGGTGATGTATTGATAGCATCCGCTTGTCTAGCATATTATGGTGCATTTACAATTAATTATCGTCAAGATTTAATGCAACAATGGATTCATCGTTGTCATGAATTAAATATATCTGTTAGTGAAGAATTAACTTTATTTCATATTCTTGGTAATTTATATGAAATAAGACAATGGACAATACAAGGTTTACCAAAAGATTCATTTAGTATAGATAATGCTATTTTAATGACACATTCAAGACGTTGGCCATTATTTATTGATCCACAAGAACAAGCTAATCGTTGGATACGTACAATGGAATTACAGAATCAATTAAAAATTATTAAATTAACCGATACAAATTTATTAAGAATTTTAGAAAATTGTATACGACTTGGTTTACCATTATTAATTGAAGATATTGCTGAAACATTAGATCCTTCATTAGAATCCATATTATTAAAACAAACTTTTATATCTGGTGGTCGTTTATTAATACGACTTGGTGATAATGATATAGAATATAATCAAAATTTTCGTTTATATATAACAACTAAATTATCTAATCCACATTATTTACCTGATATATCAATTAAAGTAATAATTATTAATTTTACTGTTACATTAAATGGTTTAGAAGATCAATTATTAAATGATGTTACTAGTATTGAAAGACCAGAATTAGAAGAACAACGTAATCAATTAATTGTTAAAATTAATACAGATAGAAATCAATTAAAAGTAAGTGAAATGTTTAAGGTTTTTTTGTGTTTGTGTTTGTGTGTGTGTGTATGTATGATACCTATCAGTGGCCCCCAAATGACTTGATATGGCTGCGAGTGGGGAAAGTCAGTTCTTTCTCTCTCGCTCTCTGTTATAACCTTGAATCGCTTTCACTCCGTCAATACTTTGTTATGACTTGACTTTGATCTGTCTAGTCAAGATTATGACTTTGGCGCAATAGGCTCAGCGGTTTAACTTTGAGTCTAGTACGCGTCAGTTCGAGATGGGGTAGAGAGAGAACTATTCTAGAACCTGATTGGCTGGCAAGCACGCAAGTAAGAGAAGACAAGACAGTTGGAACACTCTGAATTCTGAATTCGGATTAGTGCAAAAATGTACATGAATAAATAAGTGAATATCCTGACCACAACGTACAATAATTTGGGAAAATACAATTATGTCCAAAACTGGGAATTAGGGTAGAAAATAAGGTGCAAAATATTATGTGTAAATTACAATAGTTTCGGAACAGAAAAGGGGTATGGCAATCAATGATACATCGAACGAAAGCTCATGTTCTGTAGAATAAAATAGGGACAAAAATAGATATAAGTGTTTTACAAGGTTTGAATAAAATGAAATAACGTCCCAAGAAATAGCTTTCGTAGTTAGTCTGGGCTTCTTATTTCCCTGTTCACAACACACTCTCTCCTAATGCTATCACATGACCACATGCATCCTACTCACTGCATTCTCGCGGCATTACTGTTGTTTAAGAAATTGAAAAGATAAAAAGTGAATGTCCGGCGATTTCATCCGATTGGTGGATACGGAGGATTCACCTAGGGGAGTTGGAAAACCCTCATTACAAACCATTGGTGTCTATGGGCCCCAGGATCCTAAGGAAACAAATGGAGTGTGAACCAATTATCGGACAATGGTTACCATAAGACTGCATCTCCTGACGTTGTCCCACTGCCATGTGGATTAGATCTTTAGGTCAAATGATACCACCTGTTTCGGTTTGGGTACCCGGACAGTATCCTAGCCGTCACATAAATTGAATAACTTATGTGGCACATATCTATTTGGTGCTTTCTTGTACCAATCTTTATGTGTTTAAATAAATTAATTAATTAATATAAAACCCATCAGTAAGTTTTGTTTGATTATTTACACTTGTAGGAAGCAATTTCCTACAGGTGTAACTCTAAACTATTCTCTAGACTGTCAAGCACAGAGTCTTGGTTTAGTCAAAGTCAGAACAAGTAAGCTATTTGGCTTGATAAAACTACTTTATCTGTTACTAAAACATAAATTAACATCGTTAGTGTACAAAATAAACAGTACAGTCTATGAACACAGGGAAAAACGGAGACAAATAACTTACCGAACAGTAGAGTGTAGGAAAAATGAGTCAACAAGGCAAATATTGTTTTACAATGAACATCAAACTGTGATTGGTTAATAAAAAGATACAGTCGTACAAGGTCAAACAAGGTTAATGTGGTGGTGGACGTTTCACTTTGTCATTGGTGAGTTCGTTTATCGATCACACTATGATTCGAATAAGTATTTTATGGGATTATTCAAGAGTTTATTAACTTAATTAAAGTGAAACTAAATAAAATCAATATATATACATGGATTTAATAATTTCCAATAATCAATATTTATCAATGTGATTATCGATAAAACTATTTTGTTGATTTTGAGTAATTTTGAGAAAAAACGATCAATTGTATGCCTTAGAAATATTGCTCACATCTGCTGGGAACACCGGGTAAGTAATAGTGAGGTTATACATCAGGGTATTAGGGAATGATGGCAAATCAGTTGATGAGGTTGTGAATCTTCATCGACTGAGATGGTTGGGCCACATGTTGCGTATGCCTGAACACCGATTATCACGACGCGCAATGCTAACCGGTGTTGGAGATGGTTGAAAGAAAGTTAGGGGTGGCCAAACCAAAACGTGGCATCAGTGCTTGAAGTCAGTAACTTGTAGTGTTAGCCATGTTGGTAGATGCAGACTACTTGATTGTTGTCCGTGTGACTATCGTAACCAATGGTTAGAGACTCTTGGTGACATGGCTCAGAATCGACCACAATGGCCTAGGTGTATACACTCCCTATCGCCATCTGGTTTTGATTTTACTTTAATTTAATACAAACATTCAATCCATGTATGCATCTCATTAAACTTCAAAGGATTGTTAGCTACAATATTATACTTCTTGTTCAATAGGTATTAGTTGTTATTAGAATTCGAAACTTTACGTTATTCGTTTGCTTACATTACTTTTATTCGTTTATTTAAACACATAAACATTGGTACAAGGAGGCCCAAATAGACATGCGTCACATAAATCTAATGATTTATGTGAAGGCTGGAATACTATCCGGGTGCCCAAACCGAAGCGGGTGGTTTTCCTAGGGGGCTACACCCTGAGCCTTTGACCTAAAGGTCTAATCCACATGGCAGTGGAACAACGTCAGGAGATGCAGTCTCATATTAGCCGGTGACCAATAATTGGTTCATACCCTATTTGTTTCCTTAGGATCCTGGAGTCCATATATACTAATGGTTTGGAATGAGGGTTTTCCATCTCCTTAGGTGAATCCTACGTATCCACCAATAGAAATTATTACTTATAGTTAGTCCAGTACTTACTTACTTCAGATGTAATTTGTTTATATAAATTCTTTTTTAAGATAAAATGTGAACTTTTTTCAGAAAAAGACTAAGCAGACTATTCATATCATCTATCGCTTCAAGTTTTGTAGACGGTTTATTGTTTGTAATGAGGTTTGTATTCACCCACTTTTTCGGTAATCAAGACTAAACCTAATCAGTTTTTATTGCCTTACAGATGTTTCATTTTTACCTGTGTTCTACCAGTTCGACTGTAAGAATTAGCAATAAAACCAAAAAATGAATGTTTCCTATCAATTGGATATTCGTCAGTTGAATTAGTCTGTAATAAACTATTATTGTTGTCTAGTTAAATCAAGAGTAAAACTGTTATTGATTGATGCATTGAGATGATTTCCATTTTATATTACTTAAAAATGAACTTTAAAATTGTAAATTATTGAATTCGGATCCAGTGATTGAATAGTAAGATATCAATATTCAGAATTCGATTCGAATGAAATGCTACTATGAAATGTCATACTAATTTGAAAAAAGACATCCACTATTCTTTGAATTTCAATGATCATCAGTTCATTAAATCCAGAAATCCATTTTCAGATTTCAATAAGCCGATAGATAGATAGATATCCTCAACGAAGAACATTGGTCAAAGCTGGTTAGCGTTTTTTTTTTAGCGAGTTAGTTTTCTATGGGATGGGGTCGCTAACCTTATGTCCAACCTTCCTCCTTTATCCGGGCTTGGGACCGGCAGTAGTCCCAGAGGGGTTCCAGACGGTGTTGATCAAAGATAGCTGTTGGGATATTCAGAAAAATATCCCAAAAATTATCTTGTTAAGTCTAATGCTATCCTTAAACGTGAAATGGTGTCATTTTCCTATTGGCCAATATTCACGGTAGTCCTTATTGTATAAATATGCATTTGTCTGTAAAGTATTATTCTTATTCTTATTCTCATTCTTCTGATCTCATGAACAATTTTCATCTACGGTTCATGTTCTGACATATTGGAGATTGAGGAACAGTATTGGAGTCGTACTGGGATATCTGAAGTTGGTCAGTCGGCCCCCGAACGCCCTGGTACGGCCGATAGTGGAGAGAGTCCGCTCTCCCTCTCGAAATGCTCTCACATGACCACGCGTATATAGCCTCTGCCAGGAAAGTCCTACTCACTGCCTTCTCGTGGCATTATTGTTGTTTACGAAAATGAGAGGACGAAAAGCGCTTTAATCGGATTCCAAACCAATGATGCACATGGGCTCCAGTATCCTGAAGGAACAAATGGTGTATGAGCCAATCATTGGTCACCGGCTACCATGGGACTGCATCTCCTTCCGATGCTCCACTGCCTTGTGGATCAGACTTTTAGGTCGCAGGCTCGGGGTGTGGCCCCCTAAGATAACCACCTGCCTCGGTTTGAGCACCCGGTCAGTATCACAGCCCTCATACATATCGATTGAGATTTGTTTGGTGCATATGTATTTGGTGCCTCCTTGTACCAATATCTATGTGTTAAATTAATAATAATCGTTTCAAAATATCTCGGTTTTGTTTAAAATACCAATCATCCTTTGACTAACATTCAATGTTTCCACTTCTATCAATATATTTTAGGAAACAGAAAATAGAATATTGAAATTATTATTTGAATCTGAAGGTAATATATTAGATAATGAAGATTTAATTAATACATTAAATGAATCTAAAATAAAATCAAGTGAAATCACAAAACGTTTAACGGAAGCAACATTAACAGAACAAAAAATTACAATAGCACGTTCCAAATATTTACCAATTGCTACACGTGGTTCTGTTATGTATTTTGTAATAACATCTATGGCTGAAATTGATCCAATGTATCAATTTTCATTGAAATATTTCAAAAATGTAAGTGAATTGTTATGTAATTAGTTTTTGTGATTTATAATGATACCATTCATCACAAATAATTGATGACTGGATGATGACCAATTTCATGTGTATCAAGTCCTTATTAGTGCAGATCGAATGCTATCGACCAAGTTGTAATGTGGTCACTAGTCTAGGTGACTCAAAATTGCGTGCACTATGTTGAGATAAGATGATGGTTGAAGGTAGTCAATAGGAAACCCTGGACACGGGTTTCGTGTTACTTGGCACTCGTCAGTAAGGTGTACTTGTATTCTCGAGGGAACTGGTGCTCCTCGTGATCGACCTTTTGTAGGACTGAAATGTATTCACGATTGATTGATCATTGAGTGGTGATCAATGTCATGTGTGTCAAGTCCTTATTAGTGCAGATCGGATGCTATCGAGCAAGTTGTAATGTGGTCACTAGTCTAGGTGACTCAACATTGAGTGAACTATGTTGAGGTAAGATGGTGACAAAGGGTCGAATCCGTCAGAGAGCACTAGTTCCCTCAAGATTACAAGTACACCTTGCCGAAGAATGCCAAGTAGCACGAAACCCGAGTCCAGGGTTTCCTGTCGACTAGTGCCCACAGTGTCGAGTCACCTAGACTGGTGGTCACATTGCTACTTGGTCGATAGCATTCGCTCTGTACTAAGAAGGAATTGACACACAAGACATTGATCACCACCTAGTGATCAATCAATTGTGAAGTGAAAGTTCTCAATGTACTCAAACGATTCTTTTAAAATCGTTTCAAGAAGTACGGCTGAACAGGGTTTAAAAGGAATTCTTAATAAAAATAATATTACTATAAATAATCCTATCATGCAAATTAAAATAGCACTCGTCAGCAAGATGTACCAAATAGCACGAAATTTGGGTCCAATGTTTCCTGTTGATTACCTTCAACCACCATCCTATCTCGATACTATTTATCAGTAATATGAGATTGTAAACATTGAGTGGCGATATAGATTCAAACTTTGCAGGGATTATCAGTTCTTTTAAGATTATGGATATACTTGGAAAATGAGTATTGGAGTGTATGAAAGTGAAATCAAGAACTTTCTGTCAGCTGTATACAACCATCTTACACTGATGGAACGAATTGCACTGTAATAATAAATCTCATGATGTAATCGAATCTGTTATAGATTAACAAGAACGTCTTTGTTTTTTGAGAAATATGATAGGAAAATATGCTTCGTTTTCAGTCGTAATAAAAGCGGATACATCTGATATTGTATTCTAATGCAAAATCATTATTATTACTGTTAATTAGTTAGTAAACAATGTCATACACAATGAAGCTGTTTTACTTAGATCTCTAAACTCGAAAAACAATAAAGAATGTAATGAATGGTAATAGTTGAATTCATAAATCGATCTAAGCTAGATCACCATTGAAAACCTGAAAGCAGTATACAGCCGTTGCATCTTACAGCATTCTACATCCACGATCCCGCAAGTGGGACTTGGACCTAGAACTTTCAGTCTTCCAGGTTTTCAATGGTGATCTAGATTCGATCGACTCATGAATTCAACTACTAAAATTACAGCAATCTCCATAAATCCTCATTGTAGTCATGAATTTATTAAATGAAATCGTTTCTGACATTCATTTTGGGCTAATAAACTCAAAAACGTTTTTAAACACAACTAATTACAAAGAAAAAGTATTCTTAATGAAAGTTTAAATAATAAACTTGACAGATGGCGATTTTATACCTTATAGCAAAATGTGAGATTCTAACCTAAACTATCATATTCAACGTTAACACTGGACGAAGGAGGAAAAATTCATAATCTACTTTATGATCAACAGCCTGGATTCTGTAAGGATCGATCATGTATCGACCAAATCGCAACACTACAGATCAGTGTGGAACAATCAATTGAATGAAATTCATCACTCTACATCAATTTCATTGACTACGAGAAAGCTTTTGATAATTTGGACAAGACAACACCATGGAGGCTACTTCGACACTACGACGTAACCGAGAACATGGTCAACACCACACGGAATTCTTAGGATGAATTAAACTGCAAATTCGTTCATGGAGGACAGCTCACACACTCGTTCGAAGTAAAGATCGGTGTCAGACAAGGTTGCTTACTCTTACTCTTTCTCTTTCTCCTGGTGATCGACTGGATTATAAAGACGTCGACATCGGGGGGGAGCGTGGATCATCGTGGAAATGCAAGACTCTTCGATACAACACAGCATGCACCGATGGAATCACAAGTGACGGAGAATCCTTGGAAGATGTAGAGTCCTTTACATATCTTGTCAGCATCAATGATGAACATGGTGGATCTGATGCAGATGTGAGGGCACGGATAGGCAAAGCAAGTGCAGCATATCTACGATTGAAGAATATCTGCAACTCAAAACAACTGTCTCTCAACCAACACCAAAATCAGCATTTTCATTACAAATGTCAACATAGTTCTATTGTATGGGGTGGAAACCTGGAGAACTACGAAAACCATCATCCAGAAGATACAAGTGTTTATTAACAATTGTCTACACAAAATACTTCATATCCGTTGTCCAGATACTATCAGCAACAACTCACTGTGTGAGAGAACGAATCAGAATCCAGCGGAGGAAGAAATCAGGAGGAATCGCTGTAAGTGGATAGGATACACATTGAAGAAAGCACCCAACTGTATCACAAGGCAAGCTCTCACCTAAAATCCTCAAAGCCAAAGAAGGAGAGGAAGACAAAAGAACACATTACAACGAGAAACAGAGACAGACATGAGTAGAAGAAACAACAATTGGATAGAACTAGAAAGAAAGGTTCAGGACTAACTGAACTAGAGAATACTGATCAGTAACCAATGCTCCATAAACAGGTATAAACACGAAACACTTTATTTGTAAATGTTTTTTGTTTATTTTTGATTTCGATTCATATTGCAGAATCTGGTATTGTGTTTCTAGACTCAAGTGGACGGGCTAGGCGGACATAGGACTAATGAGGACGCTAGGCCGCTCATACCTCTCGGACGTCATTAATTTGGCATAGTGCTAACATTGTATAAGTCGTATGTTGATTAGTGGATAAATCATGTGACAACAAGCGGGACATAAAATCATAACAGAACTCTTTTTTTTTCTTTTTTTTCTTTTTCAGTTATTCAACACAACGATACAAAATTGTCCAAATGTCACTACATTAGATGAACGTATACAAATGTTAATCGATTCTATTACTATAGCAACATATAATAATATTTCACGTGGTTTATTTGAACGTGATAAATTAATCTTTTCATTTATGTTATGTATTGAAATATTAAAACAAATGAATCAAATTACAATGAATGAATGGTTGTATTTCTTATTAGGTATACCTAATAATAATAATATTATAACTAATACTAAACAACAATTAGAACAACCAATTCATACAAAAAATTGGTTAAATATAAAACAATGGAAACGTATTATTGATTTATCACAATATTTTCCAGAACAATTTCATACATTACCTAATGATATATGTAATTATTCAATTATTATTGATTTTAATCCAATAATGAAACAGTTACCAAGGCAACAACAACAACAAGATGAAGAAGAAGAATTAGGTATTTATAGATTAACTCCTAAAGATCATCAAAATACATTACCACTTAGTAACTATAATGAAACATTAACATCATTTCAAAAATTATTACTGATTTCAACATTTTATGAAGATCAAACCATTAAAGTAATAAGAGATTTTATATATTATAATCTTGGTAAAGAATTTATTGAAACTCCATCATGTCATTTATCAATATTATATAAAGAAATAGATTCAATTACACCATTAATATTTATATTATCAAATGGTTCAGATCCAATGAATCAATTTCAAAAATTTATTAAAGAATTTAATTATATAGAACGTGTACATATTGTATCATTAGGACAAGGACAAGGTCCAAAAGCGGAGAAATTAATTCATGAAGCATGTAAATTAGGTGATTGGGTATTTTTACAGGTAATGATTGAAATTTTTTTCCAAAAAAAATGATTTGATTAGAATGATATTGTTTGAATAGAAGGGGTGACTAAATGAATATATGACATTAGTCACTAACCTTCTAGTTTGACCCTCAAATGACCCCTGGTACGACCGAGAGTGGAGAGAGTCCGCTCTCCCTCCCGAAACGCTCTCATATGGTCACGTGTATATAGCCTCTGTCAGGGAAGTCCTACTCACTGACTTCTCGTGGCATTATTGTTGTTTACGAAATTGAAAGAGTTGGTGGATATAGAGGATCTACCTAAAGGAGTTGGAAAACCCTCATTCCAAACCAATGGTGCACATGGGATCCAGTATCCTGAAGGAACAAATGGTGTATGAACCAGTTGTTGGTCACCGGCTACCATGGGACTGCATCTCCTCACGATGCTCCACTGCCTTGTGGGTTAGACCTTTAAGTCAAAGCCTCGGAGTGTGGCCCCCTAAGAAGACCATCTGCCTCGGTTTGGGCACCCGGTCAGTATCACAGCCCTCACACATATCGAATGAGATTTGTTTGGCGCATATGTATTTGGTGCCTCCTTGTACCAATAACTATGTGTTAAAATAAATAAATAAAAATGAACCTTTTAATCTGAGCCATATTGGTAGATGCAGATTATTTGGTTAGGGTCCATCGGTGACTATCGTAACCAATGATTCGAGATTGTGGGTGACATGGCTCAGAATCGATTACAACGGTGTAGGTGTATACACTCTTTGTCTTCCTTTAAAAAATGAGATTAAAATCGATTCATATCTTTCTTTCTACAAACTAATTCTTTCTTCCTGTACTATGTCCTTATATACAATCTTTCTTTTATATATTATCACCATTAAATTAACCACTTCTATGGATTTCGTATTCATCTTGTTGTGCTAATGAGGTATGACAACTTGAACCGATGCATGTATGTGCCTGATCCTACGTTGTAGCTGAATGACTATCTGACTGACTGCATTTTTGAGGACTATCTTGAACTGATTGAGTCCGTTAATATGCCGAAGAAAGGACGTATTAAACTTTTGTGATGTTGTCCAGTCCGTTATTCAGTGATTCTTGAATTTCGGTTTCATACCCGACCGTTGTTGTTACCTTGATGTGGTGGTCAAGCTACCCTATCATGATGAACCAATCGAGCTATACTGGCGGGAACAATCGTTCCTCAAGGTCCTACCATGCCAGACAGATCTGTTGAAGAGCGGTAACAATAAAAGCAGCAAACCTTAAGCCCAAAAGTGAAGTCGTATTGCTGATTGTACAGAGGTTTGACAGCAGTAAGGTGTTTCCTTCAGACAGCCAGTATAACAGCGATTCTACCTTCCCACAAGGAGAGGTGGGGTTAGAAATGGTCGACCCCAAAAATGCACACCTCACCTTATCCAACGGATATCCGTCTCCAGCGGTAAGGTCTCACAAGTACGGAGCTAACACGAAAATTACTCACAGAAAGGTCATGTGTGACTGACCTCAATCAGTTATCTATTGGACACCGCGGTCACGCTGTCAGGTCACTAAGGCCACCTCTAATCCAATTTTCTTCTCATGTACCTCCAGAAGGACCCTTCCACGGTGTCGGTAACCGGTAAGTGATAACCATCCTCATACCTCTAACAGCACTCATGATCGCTGACTGACTTCAGTTTCTTCTTGGCGACCAGTAAGTGATGATCTGAGATTATATCAGATTCTCTTTTGGTTCTCATGCTCTCCATCAGCTACCCTGTTATAAATACACTTTTATTCAAACTACCTTCTTTGGTGAGCATTAATCACAAACTTAGTAAACTGTAAGGATCTCAACAGTTTCTTTTAGGCAAGCATAGTTAAATCATCCAGGTAATGAGACGCAACATTACTGAAAACTCTGATATCATAAAGCTGTAAAAAGGTTTTTTTGGGAACAGTACATAGGATACTCTAAAATAAATGAATGTTTAAGATGAATGGAGTCTGGTTCACACTGATTATCCTGTCTGGGATGATTTGTGCCTATTGTTATTTGCTCATGATTCTGGCTGCTTGTGGAATATATTTCCCAGTTTCGAACATAGACTTCTCTCTCTAGTTAGTGTGGCTGGGACACATCAGAATAGCTGGCTTATTGGTCTTTAGTCACCGAGTTTTTATTCCGTTCTCAAATTAGGTGAACTTGTAATCGCTTCAAATATAGCAATTGTTAACCAATATTTCTTATGTATCATATAAAAATTAATGTTCCTGTTTCATTAATAAAGTAGTTTTAGTTCCATAAGATGTTAATAATGAAATCATTTATAGAAGAATAAATATTTTCGTTTGAATTCAACCCTACCATGTTACGACCTGGAGCTTTTGATTCAACTACATTGTATGCAATTTTCCCGATCAGTGATAAGAGTGGAAAGATTGAGAGATGATTAGAAGGCTTCAACTTGGAAAATCAATTGATGATATACACAAATCATGAGTAATTATATATTTGTCCGATGTGAATTAAATAACGATATATCCATACACCATTTAGTGCTTCCAGCTTTTCCATGATGGTCTAGCTTTAATCGACTCATAAATTCAACTATTAAATTACTAAAACCTCGGCAACCCAACCCGGTTTCTTATATATATAGATCATCAACGTTTTCAAGTATATAACTAATTTCCCCTAACTACCCACCTAATTTATGATTCCTCATCGACTGTTCAACCTTGAAATGATATATGAGCTGTCTGGTTTTTTGTACTGCATGTAGTGTGCCTAGAATTATTCAGCCTATCATAGCTAGTTCCTTTAGTTAATTCACAGTATTCATATATAAATATATATGATAGTAAACTCACAAAGTGATAACTCATTCTAAGGTAAAATGATAAGTTACAAAAATGAACTACATGTTCTTCATTTAGAATCCCCGTTCATGAAGCTATTACGAAAGAAGATATCACTAACACGGTACATTGTCTTAAGGAAGATACTTAAATTATCTGGACATTCAAGGATAAAAGAGTTCGTAATAGAGGTACTAATCAATGAAATACCTAAATTACACAGTAATTTAATCTTTTGATTCAGTCAACTATTTAATTATACGCAGATTAATTATTCAACGTAAGCGTCCGTCGAACCAAACGGAAAGAACTAATGATCATTGTTTAGAAATATCAAGTGAAACCTATCCAAGCAGCAGTACGACTCATATCAACAAGTAATCATTATTTCATGGGCTAATGTCATATTGTAGTTTAACAGGAACTAGTTTTTTTTCTCTCTAGCCTATTCTCATACCAGTGAATGTTGCTCGTTGATGTAGATGGTAGTTAAGTATATGTGACACATGATCCAAATCACTTCAGTTAATGAATCGTTATCAATCATTCACCAATTATTAAGTAAGTATAAATTACTTATTTCTATTGTACTTAAGAAACAAAATAGTAAAATCTATGAGATGATGGAGAAGATTTGTAGCTCAGATGAATGATTTCGATGAAGTTTTGTTCTCTGAGCTGAATGGTTTGGTCAACTTAGCGAGTAAAACTCCATCGAAAGTAAAAACGATCTTCAATTTAACGTTGCCTTTCTTTGTTTGTTTTGTTTTATTTTGAAAGAATTGTCATTTAGCTGCTTCATGGATGATTCGATTAGAAGAAATAGTGAAACAACTTGCTGAAAATCCTAAATCAACACATACAGATTTTCGTTTATATTTAAGTTCAATGCCATCAAAATCATTTCCAATATCTGTATTACAAAATTCAGTAAAAGTAACTAATGAACCACCAAAAGGATTAAAAGCAAATCTTATTCGAGCATTGAATGATATATCAATGGAATCATTTAATACACATGGTATGTTTACAATGTTGGGAATGTGTTCCATTTACATATGACATAATTTTCTGTGTAACTCGAGGTATATATTTTGAGAAATGATTCAAATGTATGTAATTGATGGTGATGATGATGATGACCATATTTCACCTTTATATATTTATTATGATTGATAAGCTAAATATGATCATGAATTGATGGAATGCCGTCAACCATTAAACAGAATTGTATTATCAGTAGTAATAATGATAGTAATACAAATAGTTGTGTAGTTTATGCTACCTATGTTTGTCGATGTAGGTAATATGCAACACCAATCGAAATTAGAAAACCTGGCAGAAGTGGGCCTTGGTACAGCCGAGAGTGGGGAGAGTCCGTTCTCCCTCTCGAAATGCTTTCAAATGGCCACGCGTATTTAGCCTCTTCCAGAGAAATCCTACTCACTGACTTCTCGTGGCATTACTGTTGTTTACGAGATTGAGAGAACGAAAAGCGAATGTCCGGCACTTTAACTGGGTTGGTGAATACAGACAGTCCACCTAGGGGAGTTGGAAAACCCTCATTCCAAACCAATGGTGCACATGGGCTCTAGTATCCTGAAGGAATAAATGGTATATGAACCAATCGTTGATCCCCGGCTTCCATGAGACTGCATCTCCTGACGTTGCTCCACTGCCATGTGGATCAGACCTTTAGGTCGAAAGTTCCGGGTGTGGTCGCCTAAGAAAACCACCTGTTTCGATTTGGGCACCCGGGCAGTATCACAGCCCTAACGCATATCTGTGTGGTGCATATATATTTGGTGCCTCCTTGTACCAATATCTATGTGTTAAAATAAATAAATAAAGAAAGAAAGAAAGAAGATCAAGTTGAAAAGAACAGAAGGGAAAATAGAAAAAAAATTGTGAACTAGAAGAATCATAGACAATGTGAAGGATAATTGATGAAAGCTTGCAGATGAAGTATTCAGTGCATGGCTCTCACATCTTACCTGTAGTTTTGTCTTAATATACATTAATTGTCCCTATTCGTGTTCTCGTTCATTACAGTAATATTAATAGTAATTAGGAGTCGTAGTATAGTGTATGCTACTTATATTGACAGATATAAGTAGTAGGTAACACCAATCGAAAGTGAAATGCATGTCATTAGAAGATTGAAAAGATTCAGTTGAGCAGAACACACATGGAAACAGAAAGTTATTGTAACAACAGCATATTTGAAAGAATCATGAAATACGTAAAGGACAAATGATTGAAGATGTGCAAATTACGTATTTTGGTGTACGGTTTTCATACTTTATGAAAACGCTCTATAATTGTAAATTTATTTTGTATTATTTAACCGAATCTTCCCACTAAAGTTTAGGACTGCAATGGATCAGTTTGTTATCGGCATATGTGTATACTGTATGGATTGCCTTGACATCACCTTAATTCACAAGCATTATAAACCAAGATGAATAGTGGTTAGCAGTGGAATCCAGGTTGACGCGCGTTTTTTCCTATTCGAGATTCGTCAGCCGGATGTGCCCGCATCTCACAGTTGGTGTCTACTCCGGGATTCGAACTCAGTGCCCATTTGGATGCAAGTATATCCAGCTGACGAGTCCCAAATGGGACGAAATGCGCATCAAACTGAATTCCAATGCTAGCCACTATCCATTTTTGCTTATAACTCTGTAATTGTGTATCAAATAATAAATTGCTTTTCTCCACCTGAGTTCTTGTTCACTACATTAATAGCAGCAGTAGTAGAAGTCACTTTCTAAAACCAACTTAAGTTTTTATATAATGTTACGTCATTTATTGATTCTATATTATACAATAATGAATAGATTGTTAACATTAGTGCTATAACTTGTGCCCTGTGTCCTATTAATATATAACGTAATGATACTGCCAATTAGAGAAAGGTGAATTATCGACCGGACGAGTGACGTATAAAACACGTACGAGCAGTCTGGAATCCTTATCGGTCCTGCTAACTGCCTAGCTCAACCTGTTAAGTCCAGAACGCAAGTCACAGCCTCTACGATATGAATCATTTATTTCAGACATACTGGGTTTATATTACCAACCAGACAGACCACATCATACCATAAAATAAAAAATAACATTTGTACAAGATTGGCTGTGAATGTGGGGGGTAGTGATTAACAGACAAGTCATTACTCAAGAATGGTAAATCGTAAAATTATAGTTCATAGATCAAACTGAAGCTCATAATAAGAGGTATATGAATATGTTTAATTTAGTTATTTAACAATTATAGAATATTTTAATCAGTGAAATTTCTAAAATCTACACAAAGTCCCCTTCTCATAATAATCATTTGCTCACTAGTGATTGACTTCAAGAGATACTCCTAGAGTTCTAGTGAGAAGCCCTTACCAGTGGAGTTCAACCAGGTGTGTTGTGAGAAATCACCTCACTGAAGACAATGGTGTACGATGGTGTAACTTCGTGGATTGGTTGAAGTTAGACATTAACACCTCCGAATGCCAGCTTAGTGGTCTAGTCGGTTAAACGCCTGTCACGAAACTGATAGGTTCTGGGTTCGAATCTCGTGGGGTGCGAGATCGTGGATGCGCACTGTTGAGGAGTCCCACACTAGGACGAAACGGCCATCCAGCGCTTCCAGGTTTCTCATCAAGGTCTAGCTACAATTGACTCGTGATTCTTATCGGGATATAACAGTTAGTAAATGTAAGATAATAATGAAATTGTAGTGAACAGAACACGAGTGGGGACAATCGAATGTGTTAAGAACAAAATTACAGACTATCTCAATAAAATCTGAATACCATGAAATCAATCGTCAATTTGCAAAATATCAATGCATCATATCAAATTGGACTGTTTCCGTTGCAAACACTAATCCATTGTCTCCCATTCCATTGTACATGCGTTTTCTTACAAATTCCATTGTGTTCTCGTTCTTCCTTTCTTGATCTTCACCTCATCTTCTGCTGGCAGATATTACGTTTTAACTCGCGTCATATGCTACTCATATCAATATAAGTAGCTCACACAACAAAATGATCTAACATACTTACTTATCATGTTTTGTTTTTTTTGTTTTCTTCTCTAAATATTATTGATACAGTGTTAAGAAATGATTGGCGTAAATTAGTATTTGGTATTTGTTTCTTTCATTCAATTATATTGGAAAGAAAAAAATTTGGACCACTTGGATGGAATATTAATTATGATTTTAATGATTCGGATCGTGAATGTGCATTATTAAATTTAGAAATGTTCTGTCATGAATCTTATATACCATGGGATGCTTTAACGTATATTACAGCTGAAGTTAGTAAAAGTTGTTATTTCACCTCCCCCCCACACACACACTTTTTTTACATATAATATACTTATCTAAAGGACATAGAATGATATGACTTAATAAGTGTATCTTTGTTACTAAGTGTTTTCAATTTCCCGTTGTTGCCATGCAGGATTGGAATCAATCAATATCTTTTTTTTCTCGGTATATGTACATTCTGATCGAATTAATTAGTTTAGTTTAACTTTAGTTTTAAGTTGAATTGTGACTAGCACCGTAACTCAGAAATGGGCGTTTCATCTTGTTTGAGACTTATCAAATGAATATACCTATAACCGAATATTGTTGTTCATAATAATATTTGAACACAGTACTATTCTCTTCAAATACTAACGAGATATTCATTGAAATATTAAGGTAACTTAAACATTAACATTGATAAGTCTTGCAGATTGAACGCTATATTCGTCTCCTAAGCTATTCTGTAACCCCCAAGCTAGAACTATACAGCGACCTGAACACGAGAGAGAAGACTCAAGCTATGCGAGAAGTAGTTTACTCCAAAGTTCATTTTAATACAGAAAATACAGGATTTTTATAATATTTTAAATGTCCTTGGGTTGCTAGAAGATTCTGGAAATGCTACTAAACATAGTAACAGTGTAGCAACCAGCCAATCAGAACCTCTCACAATTGATTGATCACTGGGTGGTGATCAATGTCATGCTTGTCTAGTCCTTATTAGCGCAGATCGAATGCTATCGATCATGTTGCAATGTCGCCACCAGTCTAGGTGACTCGACACCGGACTAGACAAGCATGACATTGATCACCACCCAGTGATCAATCAATTGTGATTACATCTCAGTCCTACAGGAGGTTAGTCACGGCTCGGATAGCTCAGTGGTAACGTCTCTGACTGTGAAGCTGGGTGACACGAGATCAAATCTGTCAGGGAGCACCAATTCCCTCAAGATTACAGGCACACCTTGCTGACGAGGTCCAAGTAGCACGAAACCCGGGTCCGGGGTTTCCTGCTGACTACCTCCAACTACCATCTAAAATCAGAACCCCTACATGTGACATTTCGCTCCCTTGATATTTTCGACAAAAACTTCAAGTGAACACTAATTGGACGAAACGCTTCTTAGTGATTCCTGATGGTTGTTTGTCTTTTGAAAGCAATTTTCTGGATCACCTCAACAACATGTCCAGTAAGTGTAAACCAATAGAAATCTTAATAGAAATAGATCTTTGACAAAAGTATTATTTTACATTTCTTATTCTAGATTACATATGGTGGACGTGTCACTGATTTCTGGGATCAAAGATGTTTACGTACAATACTTCAACGTTTCTTTCATCCATCTACATTAAAATCAGATTATGTTTATTCATCATCTGGTATTTATTATCCACCAACTAAAGAAACTTTAATAGAATATATGGAATATGTATCTAGTCTTCCATTTAGTTCAGGACCTGAATTATTTGGTATGAATGAAAATGCTAATTTAGTATATCAGGTAATAAGTGTTCTCATACAAAAGTATACATATAGTTTAATATTAATATATTGCTTTATAATAATCACTAGTGATTAACAAGTAGTGACAGTACAGTCCTACAAGCGGTTACTGACGATGATACTGTATGATACAGATATTGAAATCCTACACAAATCATAAGTCCCATCAGAACTATAGAATTATGATTTATTAATGATTATCAGTCAGCATGAATCATAGATCAAGTAGGATTTACTGTGAATTTACTTTACGCCCGAACTAATAAACGAAATGTTAAACTGCAATTTCATCATTTGAACTTTGTTATTACTAAAGAGGATTTTGAATTGTGACTTTATTTAGATGAGAATACTTCAAAAAGGTTTTGACATTTATAAAGAATGAATAACAGATGAAAGCTTGTACATTAATAAACAAACTAGAACACTAAAAGTTACCCTATGACAACTGTTGATTAATTTAATAATTGAATTCATGAGTCGATTAAAGTTAGAGCACCGTGGAAAACCTGGAAACATTGGATGGTCGCTTTACTCCAGTATAGGATTCCTCAACAGTGCACATTCACGACTCCACTCTCGGAATCGGAACTCAAGACTTTCGATCTCTTGCAAATACTCTTAACCTCTAGATCATAGAGCTATCATCCAAAGGTATTAATTAACAAATAAATATCACTATTTATTATGTGAATGATTTGATTCTACACATACTTTAATTAATCTATGCTACTATTGGATCTATAATAAATATGAATGATTAATTTGTATTTGATCGTATCCAGAGACATAATTTTCTCACTGTTCTATAGTTACGCATATACATACTATCATTTCTTACATGATGAATGACTTCTACATCACAATATTGGCGTTCATGAACTTATATCCATTCTTAAATCTTTCCTTGAATCATGAGTTAAGCATTACTACTACCTTTTTTTTATTTTTCAACCTTTCTTTGAATCAAATTTCTCATTTTCAGATTCTGATAATGTTTCTAATCATTTCTCTCGTCTATTTCTCATCTTATCAAGTTCGTCTCATGTTGTAGTAATGTGAATTATCGAAACTGAAACTCATACATATTAATACATGAGTCAACCTTGTCGATAATTTTTCTTTACGGGTCATGTTACATCATACTACTTAATAATATTCAGTAGTTATGTGTATCCCACTAATATTATTATTCAATATTATGATCGGTTATATAAATGCTAACCATTTGTACATTTATTTCAATGTTTCAGTTTGTTTTATTATATGTAATAGCATTTCTTCACCCCGCCTTTTAGGTTATTTCATCGATGTTATATGTGACACCCCTTGATATTATTTTCATTTAACAACTGAATTTCCAGAGGTGTTCTGTTCTATTTTCATATTCGTTACATTTCTTGCTTGATACAATAATGTACTGTCTTCTGATTTATAGTCAGTTTCGTGAATTTATCTATATTTTGTCTCATTTCAATAATCCACTTTCATTTTGAATAACCCTATGACAGTCTAATGGTTAACTTAATATCTCATGATTTGAGGCTTGCAAATTATCAGTATTTATGTTATGCTTCATATTCATAACATATTTTCAGATAAATCTCGTCATTCAGTAATGAACTTCATACATAACTCGGGTTTTGGATTAGAGAGTTTAAAGATGTTCTGCAGTGATGGTACATAATTTCTTGAAGTCACTAACTTCTAGTCTGAACCATGTTGGTGGATTCAGACTACTTGGTTGGAGTCCGCGTGACTACCGTAACCAATGGTTAGAGACTGTGGGTGATATGGCTCAGAATCGATCACAATGGCTTAGATGTGTACACTCTTTGTCTTCTTTTAAACTATTAAATTGCATTATATCTTTGTTTCTACCAACTAATTCCTTCTTCCTGTGCTATATATAATTAATTAAAAACATAAACATTGGTACAAGGAGGCACCGAATAGATATGAGCCACACAAATCATTCGATTTGTGTGAAGGCTGGGATACATTCCGGCTGCTCAAACCGAAACAGGTGGTTTTCATAGCGAGCCACACTCATAGCCTCCAACCTAAAGGTCTGATCAACAAGGCAGTGGAGCAATGTAAGGAGGTGCAGTCTTATGGTAGTCGGTGACCAACAATAGGTTCATACGTTATTTGTTCCATCAGGATCCTGGATCCCATGTGCACCATTGGCTTGGAATCATGGTTTTCCAACTCCCCTAGGTGAACTCTCTGTGTCCACCAACCCGGTTAAAGCATCGGACATTCGCTTTTCGTTCTCTCAATTTCGTAAACAACAGTAATGTCACGAGAAGTCAATGAGTAGGACTTCCGTGTCAGTTGCTTGATACACGATCTTTCTTTTATATATTACTACCATTGAAGTAACTGCTTCTATGAATTTGGTGTTCATCTTGTTGTGCTAATGAAGTATAACAACTTGGACCGATGCATATATGTGTCTGATGCTACGTTGTAGCTGACTGATTGACTGAGCCAATGTTCACTCTACATTGTCAACATAAACAATGAACATTATAGTTTATAATTCTGTTTCTTTTTTGTTCTCTATTCTCAATAAATTATTAATAAAAGCTTCAAGAAACAAATAATCTATTATCTGTTATTCTTAATGTTCAACCACGTACAAATACAATGAGTACAGGGAAAACAAATGATGATATGGTTTATGAACAAGCTGATTCAATATTGAAAAAATTACCAGAAAAAATTAATATTGAAGATGCACGTCCAGATTTATTTGATACGGATAGTAAAGGTCGGATAGATTCATTGACTACTGTACTTACTCAAGAAATTGATCGATTTAACAAACTATTAAAAATTATCAAGGTACGTATATATATATATATATATATATATATATATATATATATATATATATATATATATATATATATATATATATATATATATATATATATATATATATATATATATATATATATATATATATATATAAATTGAATAATTATAATTGATATGATAAGCAAAGATGGATAGTGTCTAGCGGTGAAATCCAAGACGCCCGTTTCGTCCTATTTAGGACTCGTCAGCCAGATGTACCTGCATCTCCGGGTTGATGTTCACTCTGGGACTCGAACCCAATACCGTTCGTTTCAAATGCTTTGAGACTCAGTAGCTAAGTGGATAACGTGACGGAGTTTAGAGTGAACGGTATTGAGTTCGAGACCCTCCATGAGTGAATACCAACTCTGAGATACAGGTACATCCAGCTGACCAATCCTAAATAAGATGAGACCTGTATCCTAGATTTCATTGCTAGCTATTATCCATTTTTACTTATAAAGCCTGTGACTTCAGGCGATATCGAGGCAGTCCTCACAGGATACACATACGCTAACAAGAGACTGATCAATTGCAGTCCTAAATAACAATGGGAAGATACAAGTAAACAACATAAAGTGAATATAACTTCACGCCATTGCACAACCAAGTGGATATCAAGACTAAGTAGCTAAGTGGATAAAGTGATGGCGTTCGAAGCGAACGGTACTGGGCTGGAGTGCCAGAGTAAACATCAACTCTGAGATGCAGATACATCTAGGCTGACGAGTCCCAAATAGGATGAAACACGCGTCGAACTGGATTCCACTGCTAGTCACTATTCATCTTTGCTTAGAGCTAACAATACAGTCTAAAATTACAAATTTGACTATATATTGTGACTTTAATTCAATTACTGAAGCTTTCTTGTAATATATTGAGTTACACTGTACTTACTTCCTTAGCTTTCTTATAATATAAGTAACTGTGAATAACAGATAGATAGTTCATTTATGACATATCCTGTTCATCAATTAAGGATGAACTTGTTAAACTAACATTTCCTTCATACATTAAAGCTTTGCGAAGAAGAGGATATATTTACATAAAATTGAATTGACCAGTTTCATGATCTCAATTGTCATTACCTCCACATTGAAAGTTTGTTTTAAAACAACAAATCATAAAAATTAACAAGATATGTTTAATCCCACAGAAATATCATTATGGAACTAGATGAATTACAATAAAAGTATTACAGTTAAAACATTCAACTTTCAACGAATGATCTACATTGTTCAAAATTCACTCCAACTAGTTCTATGTGAACAATGGCACATGAACAAACAAACATATAAAGTATGACTCAAGTTCTGAGTATATGATGGTGTACTTAGTTACCAAGTCGTTGACTATTAGTTAGGTACTAATCTGTTCCGATCTATAAATATAGTTGTGGCCATTGTTTCATATTTCATTCATTGATAATAATTTTTTATTGTAGATTAATATCATGAATGGATCAATGTTAGATCACCATTGAAAACCTGAAAGACTAAAAGTACTTGATTCGAGTCCCGCATGCGATATCGTGGATCCGCGCTGCTGAGGAGTTCCATATTAGAATGAAACGACTATCCAAATGCTTCTAGGTTTTCATTGGTAATCCAACATTGACCCATTCATAATGTTTATCTAAACTCACCAATCTCCACAATCCTATACTGATAGTAGTTTTTTTTTATTCTTTAGAATTCTTTGAAACAACTTCAAAAAGCAATTAAAGGTTTTATTGTTATGTCAGAAGATTTGGAAGGTGTATACACGGCATTTATACAAAATTCTGTACCAGAAATTTGGTCATCTAAATCATATCCAAGTTTAAAACCATTAGGTAGTTGGATAAAAGATTTAGTACTACGTTGTGATTTTATTAACACATGGATGATTAGAGGAAAACCTCTTTCATTTTGGATATCTGGATTCTTTTTTCCTCAAGGTAAATATATTTTTTTGTTTTTTCAGTGAAGTTGTAGTTGTATGCGCTCTTGTGTGTGAAACTAACATATAGAATATATATATATATGGATTTCAATAGTTGAGATCATTAGTCAACTGAAGCTTGACCACCATGTGAAAACCTGGGTCACTTGTGAGATAGTAACTCACTGATGACAATGGTGGATGCGTCGCTCAATTTCGCGGATTAGTTGAAGTTAGACACTAACATTATTGGATACCGGCTGGCTCAGTGGTCTAGACGTTAAGCATCTACGCGTGAGACTGATGCGTCCTGGGTTCGAGTTCCGCGAGGCAGGGTCGTGGATGTGCATTGCTGCGGAGTCCCATAACAGGAAGAACGGCTGTCCAGTGCTTTCAGGTCTAACTTCAATTGACTCATGATCTCAACTATTGAAATTACCACAATCTCCACAAAACCCCTTCTGATATATATGGATCATAAAAATGTATGCTAAATTGGTTTATATTGATCAGAAATGTTAGGTTAGTGCAACTATTTAAAAACACTTCCGAGAATTTATGTTTCAATCTTTTGTCTGAAAAATCTAGCTCAAACTATTGTAGTCAAGAGATTAAACTCCCCAATTCAGGGTTCATATGATTACTTGTAGTCAATATTTGTTGATTCTATGTAATGTGACTTGAAATCTTTTATAACTGCGTAGATATGATTAATAAATTTTGGGCTTCATTTCAATTTTGCATTTTAATCTAATCTTAAAACTATCAGTTCCATGTTTAATTATTTCTATCATCGTCATCCATATTGCAGTTATTTTCTCTTGTCCTTATCTTTAGCTTTTCATTTGGTTAATTTCTTCATTTCTTATGCTAGTAATCACTACGGAAACCAAAATTGGTCAGTTTTAAAATCTATGAAATCGTCGTTAAATATTGTGAATATTTTGACTGAATATTGCGTTGATTAGTCAGAACCGACTACCAAAATTTACCATATTATAAGCAATTCAATATAACCTCAGCAATCTTACTTACTTATGCCTGTTAACCCTTGTGGAGGAGCATAGGCCGTTCATCAGCACTCTCCATCCAACCCTGTCCTGGGCAATCCTTTCCAGTTGTTATTTTTCCTTTTTATATCTGCTTCTATTTCCCGACGTAATGTGTTCTTTGGCCTTCCTCTTTTCTGCTTCCCTTCAGGATTCCAAGTTAGCGCTTGTCTCGTGATGCAGTTTGATAATTTCCGTAATGTATGTCCTATCCATTTCCATCATCTTTTGCTAATTTTCTCTTCAGTTGGAAGCTGGTTTATAACCTCAACAATCACTGGCATAATATTAATCCATTTCAACAATCTCGTTTTGTTTGAATGTCATGTGAAAAAAAAAGACTTACTGAAATGTTGTATGATAGAAGTGACAATAAAAACGGCAAGTATATAACTAACTCATAAGTAGTAGTATTTCATATAGGATTAATCTGTCCAAATTCTCAACATTTGAAAAGGCACTTTGACAGTGTACTAGACAGTAGGGCGAACCCATCAATATCCATCATATGAAAGTATTTATTATCAGAAGGGAGTTTTATGGAGATTTTAGTAATTTAATAGTTGAATTCATGAGTCATTAAAGCTAGACCACCATAGAAAACGTGAAAGTACTGAATGGCCGTCTCGTCCTAGTATGGGACTCCTCAACAGTGAACATTCACGATCCTGCTACCGGGATTCAAACCCAGAACCTTGATTTGTGCTTCTGGTTGCTTGTGGAATACACTTTCCCTCTCCTGAACCTCGACTTCTCTCTCTATTTAATGGGGATGGAATGTATCGGAATAGTTAACTTATTTGGTCATTGTATCACACAGTCTTCGTTCCGTTTGTAAATAAGTTGAACTCTTGATCACCACAAACATAGCAATTTACCTTTAAATTACAATTTCAATATTGAATACAACAGAATAATTACTGAAAATGAAAATCATGAAAGAAATAAACACTGACAAGTAGTATCTCTTAGTGCATTTATTATTCAGTACACATATACAAGATTCCACTCATTGTACTGCACAATTTATCATCGTTGAAGTTGTTTGACAAAGTGAATTAGTTTTTACCGTAGTTTCTTGATTCAATGATTTCATAACACAATGATTACGTAAGGACTTTTATCATTATCTCGACAGATTGTTGATAACATCTAAAACCAACAAAAAGTGTATCAGTAATCGTCTCTACCATTTCAAGTATAAGTAATATTTTTATTTCAATGGTTAAGATCATGAATCAGTTGAAGTTAGACTATTATGGAAAACCTGAAAGCACTAGACGGCCGTTTCGTCCTAGTATTGAACTCCTCGGCACTGCGCATCGACAATCCCGCCTCGCGAGATTCGAATCCAGGACCTATCAGTTTCGCGCGAGCACTTAACCACTAGACTACTGAACCGGCCGGCATCCAACGGTGTTAATGTCTTACTTCAACTAATCCACGAAATTGAGGGACACACCCACCATTGTCTTCAGTGAGTTACTATCTCACTATAGACCTGGTTGAAATCCACTGGTCACTGCTTCTCACTAGAACTTCAGGATATATCTCTTGAAACCAGTCATTAGTGAGAAAATGTTGATTAATATCATATGGGTTTTGTGGATATTTTTATTTCAATGGTTAAGATCATGAGTCAGTTGAAGCTAGACCACCATGGAAAACCTGAAAGCACTGGACGGCCGTTTCGTCCTACTGTGGGACTCTTCATCAGTGCGCATTCACGATCCCGCCTCGCGAGATTTGAATACAGGACCTATCAGTGAATGCGTACTGCTGAGGAGTCCCATACTAAGTAAGATGAAACGACTGTCCAGTGCTTCCAGGATTTAAATAATGGTCTAGCTTCAACTGACTCATGACCTTAACCATTGAAATTACTATAATATCCACAAAACCCATCTGACATCAATATTTTTTATCTTGAACATGAAGAGAATAATAATTGTTCCCTTTCCCCCCCCTCAAGGTATACATAAGACTAACTGAAAAATCAGATCATTTACATAATCCTGTCTTAATAACATGCATAATACATAATGATATAAACCAATAAATCGGCGAGACGATAATTTATGGATGAACCAATCAGATTTAAAGATAAAAGGTCTCGAATTTTAGCGCGAAATTCATACACTCATTTGATGAAATATTATTTCGACATTATAGCTGATATTCATTTCGTAATGAAAATCCTAAATCTAATTCTTAATCTTAACCATGAATTGTAAATCATAATTCTAATTCCCTATACTAGTTTGTAACCCGAGGTGAACATTTTCAAGATCATTTTGATATTGCTCAAAGGTTATTCATAAATTATTATTCAAACTAATCTTCAATATTCCTATTGTTCAATACCATTGAAAAGAATGAGAACACAAGTGGAGAAGATCGAATGTATTTTAGTGTAAAATTACAGAATCTCTTAGTAAACTGTGAAAATCACATACAGTAAATACTACATTTGCAAAATATCCCTTAATTGTCTCAGACTTGTTTGATCCTTCGTCTCTACACTAATCAATCTCTGTTCTCGTTCTCTTCTTTTCGATCTTCTTAACCTTTTGCCTCCAGGTATATTTCACTTATGATTGATGGATGATACATACTACTTATGTCTGTCGACATCAGTAACATATACCGTAACCTGTTTGCTTTTTTCACAACTTCTTGAGTTTATTTTAATCGATTCATATTTGAACTGACATAATGATGATATTAGTAAATGTAAAATTTCATTCCAGCAATATTTGTTATCATTAATTCACAAATTAAAAGTTCAATCCATCAACTTTGTTTAAATCGACCAAAGTAGTATATATCTACTCCTATAAAATTTGGCTATAATTTGAAGTCCAGTTCACAAACATATATCTTTTTAATAGTTAAGATCATGAGCACTGGATGGCCATTTCGTCCTATAATAGGACTCCTCATCAATGTGCATCCACTACTCATGATTTCAACTATTAAAATTACTATAATAACCACAAAAACTCCCTCTGATATTCATCAACATATGCTCACTATAGTGACTGGTTTCAAGAGATATTTCCTAAAGCTCTAGTGAAAAGTAATAACCAGCGGAATTCATTCGGATCTGTTATGAGATAGCAACTCACTGAAGACAGTGATGGATGTGTCGCTCAATTTTGTGGATTAGTTGAATTTAGACATTAACGCTATTGGATGCCGGCTCAATGAGACTGATGAGTCCTGGGTTCGAATCTCACAAAGCGAGGTCATAGATGTACACTGCTGAGGAATAAATGTCAAATGTAACATACTTATTATTTCATTTTCATTTATTCTAGGTTTTCTAACTGGAATTTTACAAAATTATGCACGAAAATATAATTATCCAATTGATCATTTAACATTTCATTTCAATGTTTTACCATATTATCGTAATCAAGAAGAAATTTCTATAGCTATATCAAAACTTCGTTTAGGTGAAATATTAGAAGTTGATAAAATGATAAATAAACCAAAAGATGGTGTACTTGTACATGGATTATTTATGGATGGTTTCAGGTAAATATTTATAATATGATCTTTCTTAACTATTTAGATCTTCCTACTATTGATGTTTAAGACTAGAATTGATCAGGTCTTTGCTTATAATGTTGATGACTTAAGGCAATATCAAGGAGGTGAGACTATAGTTGATGAATGATCTTTGAATGAATCTTAAGTGAACTTGAGAAATATTAGCCAATCAGCAAACAGTCAGTATAGGGTAAAACTGTGTTATACAAAACCAAAGAAATAACGTGGCTACACTTCTTATACGTGGTTCACAAACTTGTCAAGGTTAAAAAGAGGTTCAGAGATTCTAAAATCGTAAAGCATGCAGTAGAGAAAATCATCCATACGGCTACAGAATAGTCGGTCTCTGGAGCCATGATAAGGTCGCAAATACTCTTTCAGCCTCGACCACATAGCTTCAATATTGTTAGTGTGCACTCCGATTGTTGAGTGCACAAAATGCTACTTGTGGATAACGACACGATGCACATAACCAAGTCTATGTACGAGTCTGTACGCTCTCCAATCATCCGTATATATTGTAGTACCTGGTTGCAGCCAGCGTTTCGGGTGTTTTATTATCCAGTTCGCAACAATTGTCATAATTTGACTTAGTTAGGAAGTACATATAGGGTTTTCATCACGAACAGACATCAACTATAATGCCAGAAATTTATCTAGCCAAATGGATGAAAGTCTTTCGCGTTCAAATCCGAAATCTATTATCTTATACCTGATTGATTCGTCCACAAATTATAGTCTCGCCGTTTTATTTGTTATGTGCACAAAATGCCCTCTGAACCAATCGTACGTTAGTAAAAAGTACTGAAGTTGGTTCTGTGACCTTGAAATCTCTCAAACGCTTCTGATTGGCTCGTCCATAAATTCGAGTCTCGCCATCGAGTCAATACACACAGGATGTACATATGCCAATAAGATACTGATCAGTCGCAGTTCTTAATATCAAGTGGAAGATAAAAACATCACAAAATGAATTTAAACTTCATCCCGTTGCACAAGTAAGTGACTATCAAAACTCAATAGCTGATAGCGTTTAAAGCGAACGCTACCTGGTTTGAGTCCCGGAATGGACATCAACTCTGAAATGCATATACATCCAGCTTGCAAGTCCCAAGTCAGATGGAATGGATCCCACCGCTAGCCATTATCCATCCTTTAAATGATTTCTTCTTAATTGTTGAAGAAACTATGAATATTAATACGAAACGATAATCTCATTTAATACAAAAGACAAAAGTTGAATTTGGCATATGTCAAAATGGAATGTATGATAAAATCGTCAGAGATATCTAGCCTAATTGATTATTTTACTAGCCTTAATCATTAACCTTGATTTAACTATGTTGCTTTTCAGTATCCATGTTAGTATTGACTTTCGCTTAGTTATTTACAGTAGATTGATATCATGGATTTGTCTAATGATATTCAATTAGTTGCAATTCACTAAATGATCACTAGATCAACGTCCATTCTGATATTTTTAATAATACAAAACGATAGCCATCTAAACGTATTCAGTCAGTCAGTCAGCTACAACGTAGGACCAGGCACCTATGTGCATCGGTCCAAGTTACCATACCTCATTAACACAACAAGATGGACACCAGATTCATAAAAGTAGTTAATTCAGAGGTGGTAATATATAAAAGAAAGATTGCGTATAAGGATATAGTACAGGAAGAAAGAGTTAGTACGTAGAAAGAAAAATATGAAGCGATTTTAATCTCTTGGTTTAAGGGAAGACAGAAAATGTATACACCGACGCCATTGTGATCAATTCTCAGCCATGTCACCAAGAGTCTCCAATCATTAGTTAAGATAGTCATGCGAACCCCAACCAAGTAGTCTGCATCTACCAACATGGCTCAAACTAGAAGTTAGTGACTTCAAGCACTGATGCCACGTTTTGGTTTGGCCGCCTCTAACTTTCTTCCAACCATCCCGAACACCGGTTAGCATTGGACGTCGTGCTAATCGGTGTTCAGGCATACGTAACACGTGGCCCAACCATCTCAGTCGATGAAGATTCACAACCTCATCACCTAAACGTATTACTGTAATTAGTAGGAAATAATCTATCATCAAAAGGTTAATACAAATGATATATGCTAAACTTTCAAAATAACAATCAACCTAAACTTGGAGTCAACTTAAAATTCATAAACCTACCTCTAAAAACAATCTTCATTTGAACAAACGATCCCGTGTGCAAAATCACGGATGCGTGCTGCTGAAGAGTTTCATATTAGAATGAAACAGACGTCCAATACTTCCAGGTTTTCAATGGTTGTCTAACATTGATCTATTCATGATCCCAACTGAAGGCAATAATTTAATTAGGGAGAGACATCGATAGTTACAAAACAATGAACAGCTATTCGATGGTAATTTAGAACATTTTAAAAATACAAGTCAAGTCAAATTTATCCTACTTTTAAGTTCTTAATTTTATAGAGACGACAATCTGACAGAAATAAGAAAAAACAGCACTAAAATGAACAAAAAGAATAATATGTTATGATATAATCAGGTTTATTTTATAACAACAATACAGGCATGTTCGGAATGGGATTCTCCCCTCGAAATGCATCGACATACGAACTAATGACAGGGAATGAAGTAGTTGGGCGTGTCAACAGCTTCACTTATCTAGGTAGTCTTATTAGTCCTTGTGGTCTGGTGTGTGACGAAATCTCAGCGTGAATACAGAAGGCTCGACTAGCTTTTGCCAACTCTCGTCATTTATGGCGTAGGCGAGATATCCGTCTACCAAACAAAGGACGGGTTTACTGCGCAGCAGTTCGTTCTGTCCTACTTTGTGGCAGTGAAACATGGACGGAAAGAGTAGAGAATATTTGTAGATTACTAGTATTTGATCATAGGTATCTTGGAAACATTGCTCGTATATCCTGGGACCATCGAGGAAGTAATTCAGTTGTTAAGAAACGGGTACTAGGTAAGGATGGCATATCGATTGATGAAGTAGTGAAACTTCATCACTTGAGATGGCTGGGACACGTGTTACGTATGCCCAACCACCGACTACCTCGACGTACGATGCTCAATGGTATAGGAGTAAGTTGTAAGAGAGCTAGGGGTGGCCAGACCAAAACATGGCACAAATCCATTAAGTTACTGATAAGTGGACTGAGTTATGTTGGTAGGTGTAGACTACCTAGTTAGGATCCGCGAGACGATAGCAACTGATGGTTAGAGACTTTGAATTACATGGCTCAAAATTGTTTGCAATAGCGCAGGTGTATCCACTTTTTGTGTTCTCTCAAATTCTAATATTCTAAATTCTCCTTGTCTCTTTATTTTTCTCTTCCCAATTTCATTTCACTGGACTATACTCCTTGAATAACATCTTCAAACTCTAATGTTTCCGGTTACTGCTTATACTTTTACTACGTTTACCACTGCGGGATTTGAATGGACAACTATATCTCTGTACTAATATGGTATGGCAACTCGAACTGATGTACGTACGTACGAAGTTTTACGTTGTTGCTAACTGACTGACTGACTGTAACATTTAACAGCAAATTGATGTTTATGTAGACACATTCAAAGATATCTCATTTCCTTTTCTTTTTATTAAAATTTGTCCTTCTATTGATGATATCAATGCTGTGAGTATCATCCAGATTAGAATATACAACATCTGCTCTATTACATATCCTTTTTTATATTCTTGAAATAACTTTTCTTAAATATTATTTATTCAACTATAAATTCTTAATTTCAATGGTTAAGATCATGAGTCAGTTGAAGCTAGACCACTATGGAAAGCCTGGAAGCACTGGACGGCCGTTTCATCTTAATTAGTATGGGGCTCCTCAGCAGTGTGCATCCACTGATAGGTCCTGTATTCGAATCTCACGAGGCGGGATCGTGGATGCGCACTGTCGAGGAGTTCAATACTAGGACGAAACAGCCATCCAGTTGTTCCAGGCTATCCATGGTGGTCTAGCTTCAACTGACTCATGATCTTAACCATTGAAATTACTATAATATCCACAAAACCCATCTGATATAAATTCTTAGTTTATTTTCTTTTATTATTTTGTTTAAGATGGGATGATAAAACAATGCAAATAACTGATTCTATATTAGGTGAAATGTTATCTATTATGCCAATAATACATATGAAACCAGAAATGGATTATATACCAGATTCAAATGATTATATTGCACCATTATATAAAACTGCAGCCAGAGCTGGTGTATTATCAACAACAGGTAAGTTTTTAACATTAAGGTATTTTCTCTTTTGTTTTTCTTTACATTTCATTGTTACTATTTAAGGACAATTTCATTTGTAGGTAGTATTTGTTACAGATTGATATCATCTAAGTTATTAATAAAAAGCAGGTAGAATAGGCACAACCCATTTAGAAATGGAAATCAGGACCATCATCCCTCTCTCTCTCTCTCTCTATGAACTCTAGTTACTATGACCACTAACCAGGTGTCCGATATTACAATTTGGAATTCAGTTTAGTTGCTATTTCATTCTAATCATTCTAAGTCACTAGTGACAACTGTTTCACTGGAGATACATTTAAATTTCAACACTCTTTACTTTTCATCATAATTCATCTTGAATATCTTATTTGAATCTAAATTGAATTTGCCTTTTATATATGTATATATTACCTGTTATTAACTTATAATAACACGTATATCTGTCTCAGTTGTTATTACGGACTGTTTTTACTAAATATCTAAGTATCGTTGTGTTGTTTTCTCTGAGCTGGATAATTTTGTTAAGGCACTTGCACTGTCCTTTTGAACCACATCATTAACCAGTATTTCATATAGAAGTGAATTCATTTTATTTTACAACTTCATTCTGATCTTGTTTGTAATTTGTTATCATCGTAGATTTATGTTGCATTGATTTGTTCTTGCCTTTATGTTGATTGTCTTCTTCGGTTGATCTTTGATTTTATGATTGAATGACATCTTCCCTAAAGGGTTGACAAACTGAACCTTTGTCGATATATTTCTTATTGATCTGAATGTTATACTTCAAGAAATTCTCTGATACTCTTATGGTTAATTCGATCTTCAATTTTTAGTCTCACTATATAATAAATGATATTGGCTACCAATAGAAATCTCAGAAGACATTTTCTTACAATTCAGAACTTACTAAATAGACAAACTTGCACTCATTAAGATTGAAACTTATCAGTATCAACTGCTTTAAAATTCAGATAATTAAGTATTAACTGATGATAATTTAACTTCTGTAAACGAATAACGTATCATTCCTACAATTAAAGAACATCTGGAACTCAAAAAAACTGTCAGCCAAAAGCGAAATTACAATTTTCAATACAAACGTCAAGACTCCTACTGTTTGGAGCTGAAACTTGGAAAACTACCATAACCATCACGAAAATAGTACAGGTATTTATAAACAATTGTCTACCCGAGATACTCCATATTCGCTGGCCAGATACCAACAGCAACAAACTACTATGGAAGAGAACGAACTATCTAACACCTAAAGAGGAAATTAGAAAAAGACGCCGGAGGTGACTAGGGCATACACTGTGAAAATCATCGAACTGCAGCACAAAGGAAGCCTTAACTTGAAATACTGAAGGCAAAAAGATAAGAATACATCGCGACTGGAACTGAAGGCAGACATCAAAAGAATGAATAGCAGTTGGCAACAACTAGAAAGAAGAGCTAAGGACAAAATCATGGTCGGAGACCTATGCTCCAAGAAGAGTAACAGGAGTAAGTAATGTAATCAGACCCCAAATGCCCTGGTACGGCCGAGCGGGGAGATTCAACTCTCTATCCCTCTCGAAATGCTCTCAAGTGGCCACGTGCATACAATCACTGCCAGGGAAGTCCTACTCACTTCATTCTCGTGACAGGGGTGTTGTTTACGAAATTGGAGACAAAAAGAGAAGATCCTGTGATTTAAACGGGTTGTTGGATATGGAGGATCCACGTAGGAGAGTTCGAAAACCCTCATTCCAAACCATTGGTGTACATGGGCTCCAGGATCCTAAGGAAACAAATGGCGTATGAACCAGTTATTGGTCACCGGCTACCATGAGACTGCATCTCCTGACGTTGTTCCACTGACTTGTGGATTAGACCTTCAGGTCAACTTTTAAAGTTCATAAATCAGTTTCATACAAATATTTGGCTTAATCATTTAGTTAATTTCATAGTGAAATTTACTTTAACTCAAATAATAATCCCATTATTTTGCTGAATTAAAAAAATATCATGTTTTGTTACCTATTAGTAATGACATTTTATAGTTTGCATGACAATCTTTCAAAATCTGGGAGCAATAAACAGACAATTAATTTTAGAGTAAGACTTCAGAACATTGTGCATTAACAGCCACACTGAAGATTAAACCCACAGCCCTCTATGTACCGCAGCTAGCGCCTATCCTTCAGACGAGTAAACCGGTACCCAATGGTCTGTTTACATATCTCGCTGCAACCAAGCTGCGACATTTCGCGACCATCTTCCAATACCATTGGTAGGTGACAGTCTCAGATCTGGCACATTCGAACTCTATTGTTTACAGCTTCGAATGACTGAGCCTATTTCTACCAATTTCCTTACAACCATCTAAGATCAATATCATAATTAGTTTTTATATGATATCTATCCATTTATCACATGTTTATCATTGTTATTTTGTTTCACTTTAAGGTATGTCAACAAATTTCATAGTCGCTGTTCCATTGAAAACAAATAAGCCTCAAGCGTATTGGATTGAGATGGGTGCAAGTTTACTATGTGAATGTGTAAATCCCTAAGTAAAACAATCTTCAATCGGACAATCAACCATAAAAACAACTTATGTTGATGTATTTAATCTGATATTCCACTTTTATTTACTTAATAACTACGTAAAACACTAATATGATCCTGTTTTATTACTTATCATCTTCAACTATAAAATATTACTTTTCAAATCCCATCTGTCCATACGAGTTAAATGAACAGTCAACGACGTTATGGACTAATGTCATGTCTTTATTTGGTCACCTACATCTTCCTCCTGATTTACTGTTATGCTAGCCAGTATAAAATAGAGTAGGTTGTGGTTAACTGTAGGTGGCACATGTTCCAACTACCTTAGTCGATGAAAGTTTACAACTTCGTTAGCTAACACGTCCTCACCTAGTATACAATGCTTGATCTAAACACCAAAAATCCAGCTGTCATCATCCAGGAGCAATGTCCCGAAAATATTTGTGACAAAATAATACTAACTTAAGTACGTCTTGGAGGCTTGACTATAATCTACCATTCAAGATGTTGATAGATCGTGAAGAAACTGAGTAATTGAAAATCAGTTGAACTAGCTTTCAAAGCACTTTATGGATAGTGAAATAACTACACATACGTTTCAAAGATAGCATAAGCTAACACCACAGAATTGTAGTCCCGGGGGAGTGAAACCTAACATTCAGAACATCAACATGTACCTTCTGGTTGGATTACAGGAGTAATATTTCGTAGGCTTATAACGTAAAAACTAGCCGCACATGTGGAATAGCAGGTTAGAATTGGTTAACAAGGGATGGCGAAGGAATGCTGCTGGAACAAACAGGTTTCTCAACCAATACAGCCCTACTGTATCGTCAGAAAAGCCAATCCCGACTACCGCGTCGAAGCACCAGTCATAGTAGGGCACACATCTTCATCTACAGTCACACTTTTATTAGTGATAAGCCAACACATAAACTAATACCTGTTGATTAAGTAGTTCGACTTCGTGAAACACTTCAAACACATATGGAAAGCGAGCTCTCATAGTCAAATATAATTTCTGTTATTAATAATCCTTCCTCAATAAATTTTCTATGTAATATTTTTCACGTGGTTTACTATCAATCATACGAAAACTATTTTGAAACCTGATCGATCTACCTCCAGTGCTGAAATCTTGTAGTAACACTAACTTTCAGATACCAACCCATTGGTTATATCCATCAAAACATCACTTTGAGAAATATCTACCAAGTCAATCTTCTGCATTAATATAATTCATAAAGACCAAATCTATTATCTTATATGAAAAGTTGATCTCAGAGATCACTTGAGTCTTCAGGGTTGCTATACACAGAAAGAAACAATCATCCTGTCACTACTCGGATAGAAAGAACTCAGCATCAAAGCAATCATCACTAGAACTAAGTTTGTATTTCGATTAACATTATAGTATCTTTTTCACTCCAAACATTGTTACAGATTGTTAATTAAAAGATATCTCTTGTTGCATTCCATGAACTACGAGTTAATACCCACTGAGAAAAAAGGTTAGGTAGTATAACATGGTTTTATTTTACCCCGTTAGGTTTTTGTTAGCTATTTAATTACGACTTGAAAATATTTCGAAAGCAGAATTTCAAATGAATTTGACCAGAAATTATTAACATGTATCAGTATGTCGTAGCAGGTTTAAATACAGTTAAGAGGGCTAAATATTTATGTAGCCTGCCCCCAAATTCCCTGGTATGGCCGAGAGTGGGGAGAGTTTACTCTCCATCTCGAAATGCTCTCACATGGCCACGCGTATATAGCCTCTGTCAGGGAAGTCCTACTCACTGCCTTCTCGTGGCATTACTGTTGTTTACGAAAATGAGAGGACGAAAAGCGAATGTCCGGCGCTCTAACCGGATCCCAAACCAAATCAATGGTGCACATGGGCTCCAGTATCCTGCGGGAACAAACGACATGTGAACCAGTTGTTGGTCACCGGCTACCATGAGACTGCATCTTCTTACGATGCTCTACTGCCTTGTGAATCAGACCATCAGGTCGAAGGCTCGTGGAGTGGCCCCCTAAGAAAACCATCTGCTTCGGTTTGGGCATCCGGTCAGTATCACAGCCCTCATACATATCGAATGAGATTTGTGTGGCGCATATGTATTTGGTACCTCCTTGTACCAATATCTATGTGTTAAAATAAAATAATAAATTATGTAGCCTGTGAACTACGATTAGACTAGAGTTTTTAGTTAATATATTCCATAGAATCTAACTCCTTTAAAAATGCTTTGATTTTAATTACCTTCATCGTCGTCTATTCCAGTGTCAAATTCTGAGTACAGCTTATAAAATTTCGACTGCCAATCTCGTATTCTTCGATAAAATTGCAAAAACTGCTGGCGGGAAATATGCAGTAACTTCAACCACCAATACAAAAGTGACCATGGTGAGATCATATCTTGAAATAAAACAAGAAAACATTCGTATTTACAATTCCTACTGAAACTAAACACAGGATCATCCTGCATATTTAGGCTACATCAAGAGCTCTAGATATACTTTAATTTCATATACCTCACGGGCAGTGTGCTCGAAACATGCTAACTGAGGGCTAATAATGACGCAGGTCTGCAAATTTAGTTAAAAACACAAGGATGAAAGTAAAATCCTTTGTTGTATCAAATGGATAGGAGTGCAATCAGTTTTCCACTAAGTTTATTATTATTTATTTATTTTAACACATAAACATTGGTACAATGAGGCACCAAATACATATGCGCCACACAAATCTCATTCGATATGTATGAGGGCTGTGATACTGACCGGGTGCCCAAACCGAAGCAGATGGTTTTCTTAGGGGGCCACACACAGAGCCTTCGACATGAAGGTCTGGTCCACAAGGCAGTAGAGCATCGTAAGGAGATGCAGTCCCATGGTAGCCGGTGACCAACAATTGGTTCACACGCCATTTCTTCCCGCAGGATACTGGAGCCCATGTGCACCATTGGTTTGGAATCCGGTTAAAGCGCCGGATATTCGCTTTTTGTCCTCTCATTTTCGTAAACAACACCCCCGCCACGAGAAGGCAATGAGTAGGACTTCCCTGGCAGAGGCTGTATACGCGTGGCCATGTGAGAGCATTTCGAGAGGGAGAGCGGACTCTCCCCACTCTCGGCCGTACCAGGGCATTTGGGGGTTTTCCACTAAGTGGAATACATGGGCGATACACTGATTCATTTGAAATGTAATCACGGAGCATCTATTAGTACAATCAGGACTAAACAAACCAATAAATACAGATGAACTAAACCCTAATTAGCTGAGTACACTGTTAGTTAAAGTACCTTAACTATGACCAAGATTTTTTAACAGACTACTACTACTACTACTACTACTACTACTACTACTGGTGTAATAATTCTTGGTGGGCGCTATACACTATAGAAACAACTTATTTGTGAAAATACAAACCACCTCCTCACCACCTATCAAACGAGTGAAGACAATTTTTGATAAACTGAACCTATCGAATGCTACGAGAAATGTATCTTTTAAGGAGAAAAATGTAATTGAATTAGACATTATTGTTAGATTAAATAATTTGTAATTTATACCATCCAATAATAACTTTCGAAAATCTATTGAATAAATGCTGCCAGTTTATTCATGGAGTACAAAACACACACACACACTGTATATATATATATAAATATTACACAAGTTAATGAGAAATATATGATGACTGATGAATTTTAGCTGAGAATGAATTCATAGAAGAAAAATAATAGGAGGATAAACATCTAACATTTTAACTTATTCTATGCAAAGAAAACTAATTGCCAAATACAATGAGAACGAACAGTCATAACAAAGAAACTGTAACACGAAAATATTTATAAACATGAAGTAAATAAATACTCTGAAATAATAACAGAAAAGACATTTTAAAAAAAAAACTAGAAAGTGTCCAATTATAAAACCTTTTATTATACATATATTTAAATATTTGATGATTAAAAGAGCTGTACACATATTCTGATGGATAATGAACTTAATTCAAACCTGTACATATATATTGTATACTGGAGGGGGGGGAGTTTCTTAATTATGCAAAAGCATGTACATTTAATAGTCCAGTAGTATCACAGGTACTACTATCGTTTATGACATTACTATCTTCATCTTCATAATCTATAGGACTATCTTCATCTTCATCTTCATCATCATCATCATCATATACAACAATATTCCACTCCTCTGTTGGAACATCTTCTTTATCTACAGCAGATGGATCTTCTAATTCTATACCTGGTGGAAGTTGAGCTTGTACTTCTTCCCTGTCCATTACACCTTCTTCATGCATAACAAAATCAGTATCGTAATCTTTATACCAAGCCGGAAGACGACGTGCTCTAGACATACGACGATTAGTTGTATTGCTTTCGTTTAAAACACCAACACCACCTGTACTACCTAGAATTTTTATTAGTGAATCGAATCGAAATATCAACACTTACCTGAAGTGTATTCTTCATTGCCTTGTACTTTACGAGTATTAGATTTTATAAGAGTAATAGTACGTCTAGTAACGTCTAAAAAGATCATATGACAATTGAATAAATGCATAATATACAAGAGACACTAAAATGAATATTGTAGATAAAGATTCAGTAAAGTATGCTGTCAAAATTGTTATTGCTTATAATCAGTAGGGATTCTTATGTTGCTGGATGATAAATAAAAACCTAACGGGATTTAATGTAAATTATTTACCAAGTACAAGTTTATCTACTCGGTTTTGATGTACATTATTTGAGGGTTATTCATGTTACCGGACTAAGACTAAACTAACGTAGGTTTCAAAAAAAAGCATTTTGGATACACAGATATTGTAAGCTGTGGAGTTAGCCTTTCGAACTTACATTTGAACAGGATTTTTATATTGTAACATTCCTGGATTAATGGACTGTAAAGGAATACCGGTGAAAGTCAATGTATAAAGCATATGAACAGACCTAGTGCAAAACCATATATTGGTTGAAGTGTTTAAATCTCATTTGAAAGAACCGACAGGATATTAACAGAAAGAAAAGTAGGATTAACAATAGTGCTGATAATACAGAACTAATTTGTAAGAGCAAAATAAACAAGTGAATGGAAGAAAAAGACAAGAGAAAGTATTGAAAATGTCGATCGACTTCAAGTTATAATCCTTTAGTCCCTAACTACTGTTTCGGTCGTTTGGTAAGGGAGTGGTCAGAACATTTGCATCCTGAACGGCCCCATGCTAATACCCAGTGATTGGTACCATATATTCGTCTAGCCACGTTTGACATTCTCTAATATACTTCTGTGCTAGTAAGTAAGAAGGACCAAATCACGTGATGACTGATATTTTCTATGTACCCCGGTAGCCAAGTTTAGTTTAGTTTAGCTTTAGATTACACTTAGACGCAAAGCCTCTGATACTACCTAGCTTTTAAAATCGAAGTATGTAGGTAATGTTTGAGCCAGATGCCCACTAGCTGAGATTTGAGTGATTGGTTAATGAACTGTAAGTCTAACCACGAGTCCCACCATTAGAAGGATAAGCTTCAAAGACAAATACAATTGAATACTAGATATCATATTTTGGATTCTTCAATATATAACGGATTTCTACGCAATATACTTGTCCTTTGAAGGATAGTTATATCACTTGTACCGCTATTGGCGAACAGATATTAAACAATATCAAACGTATTTGAATACAACATTAAGGTAAGTTATTAGGGATACACATCAATAATACAATGTATATAAAATAATTAAGGGATAAAAAAATTGATCATGTAGAAAATGGACTTACTACCATCTACACCAACATCTTCATAAGTATCATCTTCATCATCAGCCATGTCATCATCTCCCTCGCCATCACCAGTCTCTGCATCCTCATCATCTTCGTATCCATCAACAAGTCGATTTCGCTTGGACAACTTTAGCTTTTTCCGTTTTGTGTATGAGTACCGAGCAGGAGGAAGTTCAAGTCCAACATCTTCCCCATCTTCTTCCTGACGTCGATGCTGATCATGATGTCGATCTAACAACATTATCGAATTTGTTGTGAATTCACAATGGTTATATCGACATTTCAGGCGACCAACAGCTCCCCTCGATTGACGAGCGTTTCTTTCTTCAGCGTGCATACTTCGAATGTGCATATCTAAGTCTTTCTTAATCTCGAAAGTGGATTCACAATAACGACAAACGTGGCGACGATTAACTTTCAAAGCGTGAGCCCTTGTAATATGATGATTTAGTTGATTGAAACCTGGGAATCCGCGTTCACCACATACAGGGCACGATATGATTTGACTGCCTTCGTGGGCTTTTACATGAGCTTTCAATGATGCCACATCACTGACATAGGCATTACACGGTAAACACCGAAATTTAGTTTGTAGAGTACGAACAATACGGCAGCTTCTTGTATGCTTATTCAGGTTATATATGCTATCGAAGGTTACTGCACAACCCAAACACTCTAAAGCCAACTAGTTAAATTATACTATTATGTATACTATATAGCTCACCTGTGAAGATGCCATCATAGCGAAATGTTCCCGAAGTTCATGTTCTCTTGTTCGAAGATGAGCAAGGTAAATGTCATAAGATGAAAAAGCTTTATTACACGTGTCACAACGGAATATCTTGTCCCGGTGAATATGTCGATTTCGATGAGTTTTCATATTTGCTTTCTGAGCAAAACGTTTATTGCAAACATCACAAACAAAAGGTTTTTCTCCTGTATGTGCCCGTTTATGATGTTCCATTGTCCCACCATTATTCGTCATATAGTTACACTGGTCACAATGAAATTTGAAATTGGCCGGATTTCGTTTTGGCTTTTTAGGATCAACATGACTGCGTCGAGCGTGCAGAAATAACTGACTGAGAGTTTCGAAAAACTCTTCACATTGACGACATGTGTAAACTTTAACGAAATGTTTTTCGCGCATATGTTTAGTAAAAGCGTTAGCATTAGCATACATAGCTGGACAAGATGGACAACGGTAAGTGACACCACTAGATTGCCCTGTTAAAGCAACGAAACCAGGTCCTATACCTGATGCATCATAGTATGCTTTGGAATTCGGATCCCAAAGTTGCATTTGATCTGCCGGTAACTCGATGACCTGAGCCCCTTCCATACCAGGATCTGTGAACTAAAAGGTATTACGCATTGAAATATTGGAAGATTACCTGTAGATACTCTGTACCATTCTCAGCAGCAATAGCTGTAACAGCACCCGAAGCAATCAGACTTTCCAATGTCGCTGTGTCATCAGCAGCAATTAGAACCATTTCTTCACCTTCATTGGACAAACCCATCTCATTTAGTTGCAATACTACTTGCCCATCTTCAGTCTGACTGAACGGTATGGCTGTGTATGTACCATCAGCATTTGCAATGTACGCTGATGGCTCATTAGGATCAACCATTTGGTCTGACATAGTTTGGTGTTTACAATATCCTGTTTAAAAGAGAGGAAAACTAATGAAGCACAATTATATTTTCCCATGTTTAGGAAACATTAAACGAGCGTAACACATCTAGAACAAACTTTTTGATAACAAGCAATATAACTAGTCATGCGATAGAGAAGAGTACCAATGTTGTGTACTAACGGTTAACATGTTTACATCGTTTATCACGAAAAGTCCGTAAATAATTGAAATAGCAATGGTGTCGAAGTTGTATGAACGTCACTGAAAAATTAAATGATAAAAATCCCTCAAAAAAACGAGCTCGAAAAATAAAAATTATGAGACGATGCTAAATCTGTGATCAAGGTTTTATATTTTTAAAACATCAAAATATTTGTCATGACTTTTCTGATCCAGTACAAAGTGATTTTAAAATGTGACAATCTATTGACTTATTCATCAGATACATGGGTATAAGCCACACTGTAAGTGTGAAGGCTACTGAAACTAATCAATTGCCGACACAGATGGGGTAGTGTTTGAACCTGGATGGCTGAAAGTCGGAAGCCTTAACCAGTGAGTCACCACTCCACACATATCGTACTTTAACTATTTCATATCTTGGAGGCTGTGGTTGTCCATTATGGTGACGTAGATGATCTACTCGATCCACCTCAGCTGAAAATGAGATACAAGATGACAACTATGGTAGATGTCATTATCAAGTGTAATGACGCAGCACTTGCTGGATGTAAACAGTATCATAAGCCAAACTCACTGATTTTGTGGATTCTGCTATTTCATCAAGTCGATTGATTCAGGAGGCAATCAACTCGCTTTCGACAGGGAAACTCTTGAAAGTGTAAGAACATTGTTGTTCACTATTTATTATTTATTTTAACACATAAATATTCGTACAAGGAGGCACCAAATACATATGCGCCACACAAATTTCATTCCATATGTGTGTGGGCTGTGATACTGACCGGATGCCCAAACCGAAGCAGGTGGTTTTCTTACGGGGCCACTCCACGAGCCTTCGACATGAAGGTCTGATCCACAAGGCAGTAGAGCATCGTAAGAAGATGCAGTCCCATGGAAGCCGGTGACCAACAATTGGTTCACACGCCATTTGTTCCTGCAGGATACTGGAGCCCATGTGCACCATTGATTTGGTTTGAGATCCGGTTAGAGCGCCGGACATTCGCTTTTTGTCCTCTCATTTTCGTAAACAACAGTAATGCCACGAGAAGGCAGTGAGTAGGACTTCCCTGGCAGAGGCTATATACGCGTGGCCACGTGAGAGCATTTCGAGAGGGAGAGCGGACCCTCCTCACTCTCGGCCGTACCAGGGCATTTATTAACGAAGATATTGGTGTTCCTGAAGGATCGACACTGAGTTTTTTAAAGGATACTCTGATTTCTATCAAACAAGTTAAACGTTCAGCCAGAATGTAACAAATATGGGTCCCTCAACCAAGCCTCACAGAATTCTAGGATGGAGACCATTGTAAAACGAAGTCGATCTAGATCCAGATGCAACAGTCGTTGGTGAGAAATGTTAGGTGGTGTGGAAAAAGTTAATGGATGCTACCAGTCAATCCGATAATAACCATCCCAATAAGATGATAAAATCTGGTGAACGAAAAATGCCGACACTAGAATTTGTGGACGAACTAGTCTTCGATTTTGGCGCGAAATTCATTCATCCATATGGCCGAATAGCACTCTGACATGATAGCTGGTGTCAGTTAGTAATGAAAACCGAAGATCTAATTCCTAACACTAACATTCGATTGTAAATCCCAATCCTAATTCTTCACACTAATTTATCACCCTCAGTTGGCCCTAGAAAATAGGTGGACGTTTTCAGTATCACTTAAGCATCACTCAACGATCGTCCGTACACGAATTTTTACTCAGAAAAGTATGTAATATTATTGTTTGTAAAAATCCGTAGTTTAAAGACTTGCTGAATAGGTATAAAACCACTTAAAAATGGGCAAGTTAAACATGAACACTTTATCGTACAAAGCTTTGGCTGGAAGCATAAAAAACTAACTACAACGGACAATAAATCAGACTAGAATGTTGATTCCAATCCATTAATTTCAAAAAGTGAGAGGGTAAAGCCAATTACTGTCACTCGACGCTGATAAACTCAGCAAAGCTGTCAAGAGTAATATTAATCTTTTCCGAAAACAGAAAAAGAATGAAAGTTACGAGCCAGATTAGAAGCTATGTCCAATAAGGAAAATATCCCATTGAAGTTGTGAAGTAGTCAGGAAACAGAACCGAATGCTATCAAATTTTGTTGGTTATGGTTAGTTCACACCCAAGCACCTGCGGTATGGATGACCTCTTTTAGTGTAAAGGCACCATCAGTTAACATCAAACATCAAGAAACTTTAAATAATTTTGAGAAACTTGTAAAGCACGTAAAATCGCTATATGCGCCTTAATTTTGTTTGTTGATCAATTATTTCGATAACTAACCAGCCATTTCTCAAAATCTGTCCACTGATTGGCTAAGAACTGGCCCAACTTTCTCGATGTCAGTTTAAAAGTCAATTCTGTCCCTGCACTCCGATTTACCAAATCTCGACATAGGAGGCAGTGATAGGGCATACTTCGCTACAGCATGCATTGGAAATCACATTTTAATTGGAAACCAGGATTTTAGTTGTCGCATTTAATGCCAATCCAGATTATAAACAAACGACCTGGCACATATGTGCACCGACCCATGATGAGATTATCAAGACGAATAAAAATCGATCGTTATGTCTCATGGGTATGGGGGTTATAGTCTCACCGGGATTTTAGCACCAAACCCTCGAGATCGATGACATACCGACTCAACACTCTCTGTTAGTGTCTAATAACCGTGATGTTACATCATCTTGGCGGAGCTTTAGATATGGTTTAATGACAAGGTTATCTCAGCCAACTATGTGGGATGCCGACATCTGGCACTAGATGATGTGCTGTCTGCATAAACTGACCAGCCAATATCAACTTAAACTGATGATCCGTAATGCAAAGTTAAGAGAACTCTCATGATGATCACGCTTTGCACTAGGTATAAGGTTTTTTCAGTAAGTTCATAGTGAAGTCACATTAAGATTAAATTAATATTCCAAATCAAACAAGTCCATAGCAGCATTGATACCGAGTAAAATAGCACCACTAAACATATATTAAGCAATTGGAGATGTTATTTGATACTACACAGAACTACTCGACTTTCCCAATAGACTGGATGTCAACATCAGGACCCCAAAGAAAGCCAGGTGGATAACTCATGAACAACCATAGGCTAGGTTATTCTGTATGCGGAGGATGAGATTTCTAATCATGTTTTTTTATTCGACACTGTTCAAAGGAAACTATTGCAAGTGATTAGGTTGAGTCTGGAGACAATATAATGGTATACGTTATATAAGCAGAAGAGCGGTCCGGACTTAGTGAGAAACCAGGGAGTCACCAGGTTATATTTCATGTTAATAGGTTAGAATACAAACCCCAGAAGGTAAACGCTAGACAGCAATGGTTAAAATAAAACCATATATAATAGGTTGTTTGATTTTACGGGGATCCCCTAACATAAAATATAACATTCCATGCTAATAAACACCTGAATACTGAGTAGTCAGACAAGCAAAGTATCTGAAGGGACGCTCCTCTTCTAACAGAGGGACAGTTAAGTAGACAAAGCCGAATAATTCAGAATGGTATGTAACGACTTAACGTTACGCATAACTTACATAGATAAGTCAAACAAAGAATCATCGTGATGGCTACGGTATATCTTCAGAAACATACAAGGCCATGTGACACACACTAGTATGATAATACGTCAAGCATGAATAAACCATATACCAATCGATCCTCCCACCCATCACCAAACACATTAAAATAGTAATTAAAACAACAAAAACCACCTTCAACAAACAAACAAAATGGCGGAAGTCCAAAGTGGGTTTCCTAATAGTGTTAGTACATTCAAACAAAACCGGCTCAGATTGAAAAAGAAGCTATGGTAACAAATTTTCGCAGGATTTGGAATGTTTTGCATTTTCATGAAACATCTGCACTCTTGACAGCGATTCATTTATCGAGTAAGGAGTGAACTTCGTCTTCTCGAAAGAGAAACTGGCCAGGTCTGAAATCCAGGTTATTGCTGTGTTATGACGGGATGAAAGGTAAAAATTTGATTGATTTATTCACTATAATTTTTAACCCGTTTAATTCAACTTGATGATCACTCAGCATAGTATTTGTTTCGTCATCCCCTATGACATTTTATTCCGTATAACATAGAGTATTCTTGTATGAAATATTCATATACGTTATTTATTATGGTTACTAATTTGAAATGGGTGTACAAACCAGCATATAAATGGGTGTCTTTCCGACCAGACGGGTCGGGATCGCTCATGCTTCTGGATGCTTGCGGAATATACTTCCCCGTTCCAGACTTCGATTTCTCTCTCTAGTTAGCGGGGCCGGGACGCATCAGATTATCTAGCTTATTGGTCTTTGGTCACAGAGTCTTTGTTCTGTCCGCAGATTGGGTGAACTCGTAATCGCTTCAAACATAGCACGCTGTGAGATTAAATTATGATTTAATCGGAAAATCAGTGTGGCTCAAACGAACCGTCAAATGCAGCTTATGATGGGGTCGGACGATGCTCGTATCGAACTTCCTTAAGTTGGCTACGGAAAGATAATTAGAAAGAAAATGGTTATAGTTGGATTGAGATGTGCGTTTCACTTTGGAAGGAAGTAGTAAATATCCGCGGCCAAGCGTTTTCATCTTCAAATGTCCGTTAAAAATAAAGGTAGCATTAGTATTAGGAGCTAACATAATCATTCATCTTAGAAATCACTCCATCAAAAGAACAAGTGCATTTTTCAAGTTCTGGCATGTAAAGATATTTACTTGGTTACAGAAGGTGGTCTTATATACTGATACTCTCAGTTACTGCTGACAGTTACTACAATATTAGATCAATTCAGTTGTCGGCTGATAGTTCGCAGCAACTCCAAATCAGACTGGTTTAAAGTAAATCTCTAGAGCTGGTTACGAACAGCTTGTTAAGCAACCGAGAACGACAATGACAATAATTATGAGACGAGATTCACTTACACACACACTGTACAAAAGCAGCTAGTATATTACGGTCGAACTTATTTACAATGACCCTTCACTTATACAGCTGGCGGAGCAAACCACAGTTATCTTATATATGACCTTAAACTATGGATGGAACCAAGCAATTATAAAGATTTTCGAATTTAAGGTGGTGCCTTTGCTCTCAAAGTTAAGTGTTGTCACGAAGATTACAGTCTTTCTGTTACCCAATAAAAGAAAATTCCTAAGAGGGGTGACGTATTGACTACTAGGCTTGTTTGGCGCCATCCAATTCTGTTGATTGTTAGGCTATACTTTCATGTCAATTACTGTCATGTTGCAAAGTGTACAAAAATACGTCATGTAGGAAAGTATTTACTACCAAGTTTATTTTACCAGACTTTGGCCATTCAGTTACCTGCCACTGTGGCGTTTGTACTGTATTCAGTTACTTTTTTGGTTATCTTGATAATAAATAAAAGCGGGGTTGTATCTATCTCTTGCTGTATTCGGCGACTAGGTAAGCTTAGGGTTCGGAGTCTCTGATGTTATAACAATTATACTGTCCGTACAACTTTAGAAAATGACTTGGCAAACAACTTAGCAACCAATTAAACTGCCTATACATCGGGTATATTCTAAGACATTGTGTAGGAAATAGGGTGGTTTGGTTATAGACAAACAAACAAAATTCATACACCGCTCACTGAAGGAAATATAGCACTCACACAAAATAAAGAAATAACATCTGCAAATGCATATTGTTACGCTTCTTTTCTAATAGTAAGTTACATCACTCGATTCTTCAGGTAAGTAATAGATTGCCGCCAAGTTACTAGACTACAATAGATCGCATCTCTGACGTAGATCACCTAATGCGGATACTACTGGAAAGTAGTGTTGAAGTAGTCAATCAATATGAGCAGGTAAAATAGAAGAGTTGTGAACTGAGATGACAGTCGCCAGAATCAGACTACATGCGAAACGAAATTTGTTATCAAATAGAAAATAACACGGTAAAATTTATACAATTTGTGAAACAGTCGTGAGTAAATATGAGCATTAACAATTTCATGGACCAAAGAATAAATATGGTCCGCGAAAATGGGTGAATGAGAATGATAAGTCACTGTTAAAGAATAAGCAAACTTTGATGTTATGTATGGAGTAATTAAAGCAGGGATTCGTTCATTGATAAGCATAAACAAAAAAGAACGGAGAAAAATCTTACATGAGTAGTTAAATGGATGGTAATGAGCTATTAAAAGACAGTGGTGTATTTCTGAATGTTTAAATTTAAATTGGACATTTTGTGCCCAATATCTGCTACGGATCACCGGCCAGTCTCTTTGATATGACTCCTTTCCTTTGACATGTACATTATCAAGTATGGGCTTTTTCTGCAAGGAGGATTTATTCCTTCATCATAACATACCTTGTCCACCTCCAGTATCTTTTCTTAACTTCTTTCTCTTCTAGCATCCGGTTTGTTCTCTGACAGAGTATGTTATTACTGATGTTCACTGGTTAATGAATCTGCGGTATGTTGCATGGGCAGTTGATTGGAGATGTCTACGTCTTTCTGGTGATGATGTTGGTCATTGTTATGGTGCGTGATGTATGAGATTGAGGCTAATACGTAAAATACTCATATGTAAACTCCAATCGTCTACTGAGTGGAAAGGCTGAAAATGGAGGGAGTTTATTAGACCAACCGAATCACATGCATAAGCATTCATTTATATATATTTACTCCATGGAAAAGGAAACATTTTCTTGACCAGTACATACACTTGTTGTTTGGGAGATTTTTGCTTGATACAAAGTGACATTCCACCAAGCGATTTTTGATTGATCCGTTTTATCAGTAGCTCTCCAAGTCTCAGCCCTGTACAACAGAACTGTTTTGGCGTTAGTATTGAACGTCCTGATCTTGACATTGGGTGACAGTTCCCCCGAATTACAGATATTCTAAGGTTATATGGATATTCCCCTTGCTTTACTGGCTCGTAAATTGACCAGGCCCTCTATGATTATCAATGATCCTGCCTAGTTATTGTTATATAATTAGCTGGAGTTTGTTATCAGCTTAAAATACTTGTAAAATTAGGAACAGTTAATCTGTTATAATCCTATCGGTTCTGTTACTCAGTCGACAACAGGAACCAACACATATCACCCCAAAACCTACAAGCTAACACGGGAAAAGGTAAAACTGTAGGAAATGTTTATACTCGAGGTGGAACAAGCAGTAAAAAAGTGCTTGGTACAACCCAGTACATCTTGTAGAGAGAACAAAATATTAAAGCATACAGAGATTTAGAAAACTAAAATCAATATGAACAAATCAGTTCGTTCAATCCCTCTGAATTTGACGACCTGCCCTTACTACATGTATTTCGTGAAAGCAATTTTTCTGTACGTTTTTGTGATACTGTTAGCATTGGGCTTTATATCTTCTATGGAGTTTCTCTTAGAATTTTTACGGTAAGGAAGAAAGTGTTCGGAGCTGTTCTAGATTCTTCTAGTGCATCTTCATTGGGTCCACCGCGTTGCCCGCACCTGTGGAGTAACAAACTTTTCCTTTTCATAGTCACTTCAAAGATAACTCTTTCTTCTCAATATAATATTACCCTCCCTCTAAATCACTTCATCCCAGGTCTGTGTCCAGTACATAGACATATGAATCGGTTTTTTGTTAAGTATTTGTCCGTTGTATTTCCTTTGCTTTTGGGCTCTGTTGTTAAGCGTTCTGTTATATACAAGTAGAAACAGCTGTACGGTTGCTTCCACGGCGTCCCCCCTTTTTATTTCACGACAGCTGTTTTGGACGTATCCAGAAATCACCCAGCTTGTTAGTTAAGTCATGGTAAAGAGCGAATATACATGAGATTCCGAATGAGAGTCAATGAATGTTCTGGATTTACAGTGCGATCCATTGACGGTGTCTATATTAGCTGAGATTCCGTGTCAATTAAGTGTTTTCGTTAGTGCTTTTGTGATGTGCGCTACTTATATCCATATAACTAGAATAAAACGATGGTCAGACAGAATGTATTTCAGTGGAAGTTCGAGAGGGAAAGAATGGGGACGGAGAGCAAACTGTATGAGAATGCATGAACAAGAAAATCTGAGACGATAGACTGATATTTGCGAAAAAAAGAGTCAAGTTTGAGACAAGTGGTTGATGCATCAATAAGCCATTGCTCAATTTTTTTCCTCATCTTTGTAGCTTCATGGGAAGATATACTAATAATCTTAGCGGGTAACTGTTTGTAAAAATTAAAAACAACTAAGTATTTCCTTTGTAAGTAACCGTTTCGTTACGAAAACTTGTAGTACCCCATCAGTTGCGTTGCACATATAATTTTCTTCCATATGACAGTACATTCGTATGGATACTTGTAGTGGCACTGTTCCCTAGCCACACGGTCTACGGATCCAAGCATATAATGACTGAAAAAATGTATATTAGACATGTAGCAGTCAGTAATGGTGGACGTGGAGACATTCATTCAATCGGATGGCATGACTCAACCTTGCAGAAGTGATCATTATGTGTAACTTACTACTATTCACACTAAATATATTATTCCATCTCCGGCTCAAATGTATTCTTCAGGAGTACTAAGTACCGTTGTTATTTGTCACGATACGATGAGTCTGTTTAAAGTGATGCAACTTACACGTAGGATATTACAAATCAGACAATCACATAATAGAAATTCACCGTTTTGGGATCAGGTCTGTTATCAAAGTAGTATTAGTATAGAACTAGACTATAGTTCTATGTACTAACAAAATTTGTAATGCAAAAG